AAGCATTGAAATAATATAAGTGGTCCAAAAAGAACCTCAATCTTGGAAAAAAGTTGAAAAATCCTTAAATTACTGAAAATGATCTTCTAATTTTCTTTCTTTGGAAAACAGCTGAATGGATTATTCTGAAACTTCTTGTACAGAAGGTAAAGTAACCATACAACTTGTTAAAGCTATCCCGACAATGATCCGAAAAAAAACCGTAAAAAGTGAAAAAAATGGTGATCTTGCGAAAAAAGTGATTACTACGCCAGATTTTACCGAATCAAAACAACTATAGTGTCATTAGATAGATTGAACAATGGACGATCTTGTGACATCTAAGTGGTAAAAATTCGCGGGTTAGGCAATATATAATGGAACGCTGAAAATCTATTATTTTCCATTTTGGAGCCTATTCAGGCGCTTTAATTTCGAAAACCTCTCTTATTTCCTTTCTTAAACTTCCTCAATATAGTATAAATGGTCCAAACGGGCCACAATCTTTGAAAAAAGTCGAAAAATCGTTATATCTGTAAATCTGCTTCTAATAGTTTAAGGGAGGTAAAACTGTCCAATGGATCTTTCTGAAAGTTCTGGTACAGGAAGTTAAGTTCCCATACCACTTGTTAAATCTATCCCGAAAATGATACGTAAACAGGAAGTAGTCAAAAAAATATTCGATAATTTAAAAAAAAAAAGACAGTGAAAAAATCAGTGCTGTTGCAACAATCGGGATTTCACCGTCGGGTGTGACCGGATCAAAACATCTAAAGTATCGTTTGGTAGCTCGATAAATGGGCTATTGTATGACACACTTCCTGTCTGATTCCTGAAAGCCAGTTCAGTGCTGCTTGCAGGTCTAGTTATTATTATTATTATTTACCGTGGGAGCCTATTTTTCCATGATCGAAAACAGATATCGATCTGGGGTTCAATTTTCTATCGGGAAACCATGTGGTGGTTACTTGATAAAGTATTTTTGGAACTTTTGCGCAGACCGGAAGTGGTGCATAAAAATTAAAAAACAGCCGTAGCTTCGTCAATTCTGTACAAATGACATTTTCAGAAACCCTGAGTCTTTTCTCGGACGATAGCAGTTGAAAATTTTGAAATTTCGAAACTTCGTCACAGTTTAATAGGAAGTAGTCAAAAAAATATTCGATATTTTTTTTTAAAAAAAGGACAGTAAAAAAATCGATACTCTTGCAACATTCGGGATTTCCACGTCGGGTGTGACCGGATCAAAACATCTAAAGTATCGTTTTGCATGAGTCACTCTTTACGCTATTGTGCCTGTAAAAGAGTCAATTATTTTTGGATTTTCATAAAAGTGACACCATTTGATACATAATGTTAATTGTGACTAGTTCAACTCAATTTAACATTTTCAATGTCAACGAAAATGACGAAATTTGGACAAAAACTGTATTTATAGCCTTCGAAACAAATAATTTATTGAAATGAGTCGTATTGGTTGTTTGTTTAATATTTTGATATTTGATTCTAATCAACTAAAAGAATGAACCCATACGATCATATAGATATCACAAAATGGTTTCTAATTTGTTCAGTTGCGGAGAAATAGGCAATTTTCAACAGGTCACTTTTCAAGGTTTTTTGTCCATAAAAGTGTCAATTATTATTCGATTTTCATGAAATTTTCACTGTGTGATACCTAATGCCATTTACGATTTCATACAAGTAATTTAAGATTTTCATTATCACCAAAAGTAACGTCATTTTGGCAAAAACTGTATTTTTAGCCTTCAAAACATATTTTATTCAAATGAGTCTGATTTGTCATGTTTTTAAAATTATGATATTTGATTCCAATCAGCAAATAGATTGAACCCATACGATCATACAGATACCAGAAAATGGTTTCTAACTTGTACGAGAGAAATAGACGATTTTCTACAAGTCACTTTTCAAGGTTTTTGGTATATAAAAGTGGCAACTACCTTGTTCTGAGCAAAGTTATTAATGTTGGAAGGTTTCCAGATATAGTCTTGATTGTTAAGTACCATTGTTACAATAATAAACAAAGTCTTGATTATTCATTTTTAAATTAAATTATTAAATGACAATTGTGTTGCAATCCATTCAAAATCAAGAACATCTGACTGTCAAGACAGTTCATTATGGGCTTGGCATGTGAATAAATTAATAATTTATTTAACAGTTGAAGCCAAAAGAAAGACCTTGCAATATGCAGATTTAGCTTGTACATAAAATATTTTTATTTCCTATAAGAAGAGTAAACATTTTTTGGTAATCAGAAATACCTAGTTATACATGTAAATAATATGGCTAAACATTGAATGTATAATGTATTGTTCACAAAAAAACCCAACATGTGTTGTTATTCAAATAATTGTACTTTTATCTCATTTATTGGTAATATTGGCCAATTTTTTTACAGAAATGGCTTGATTTTTCAAAGCAGTATTATGGGTTGTTCCTATTGGGTGATCAAGGGAGATAATGGGCGTCCTCGCTAGAAAAGGGACATAATTTCAAAGAGGAGCCGGTCCCACGTGACCTCATTGTATACCGCACAGCATTGTTTTAATGTACATTCAAAACGAACTGATGTGTTGATAAACGTTATTTTTTGTCGTTAATATGGAATTTAATCCCTATACGTCAAAACACGGTCCTTTTACCATCGACATGGTCACATGGAACCGCCTTTTTACTGGCGACGCCTGGTGGGAATTCCTTCAGCGAGGACGCCCATTGGAATAGTGAGTCATTGACCATCACTTTTGTCGTACATATTACTTAATTATACCAATAAACTATTAAATTGTCACAACGCAAATTAATACGTTATTTCTTTAATAACGAAACAAAAATGATATCGGTTTCACAGTTTGTTTTCTTCACAATGTGATTTGATTTTTGATTGTCATGTCACACATTCACACAGTTTATTTTTGATATCTGGTTAACTACACAAGTACACAACCTCGATCTGCTATACTCTTATAATAAACAAGCCAACAGTGAGGCTGATGTCCCCCGCCGAAATTGCAAAATAAATAGATGACACATATTAATTAATCGCACATTTATTTTTTTCACTAAGTTTCATCACTCTCTATCAGATAGAATCAAGATTATCTTGTCCCAAACCATCGACAAATGAAATCGATTAGCTCTGCTTAGCTTCAGCTCGAAATGTTAATTATTGAACTCAGTCAAGACATTCACCTAATGAACATCTACATATACATCAAGTTTAAACATTCACCTAATAGACACCTATGCCAAGTTTGAACATTCTACCTCAATTAGAAGGAGAGTTATTGTGTTCCAAAGTTTCTACCAATCAAATTGCTTATCACTCTGCTTACCCTCAGCAAAAAATGTTCATTATCGAACTTAGTTAAGGTATTCATATAATAAATCTATACACCAAGTTTCATCAATCTCACTTAATTAGAACTAAAGTTATCGTGTCCCAAAGCATCAACCAATCAAATTGCTTATCTCTGCTTACCCTAAGCGGAAAATGCTCATCTTCGAACTCCATCAAGGCATTGACCTAATCAACACATACACCAAGTTTGAACATTCTAGCTCAATTAGGAAGAGAGTTATCGTGCCCCAAAGTATCAACCAATCAAATTGCTTATCTCTGCTTACCCTAAGCGGAAAATGCTCATCTTCGAACTCCATCAAGGCATTGACCTAATAAACACATACACCAAGTTTGAACATTCTAGCTCAATTAAAAGTTATCGTGTCCCAAAGCATCAACCAATCAAATTGCTTATCTCTGCTTACCCTAAGCGGAAAATGCTCATCTTCGAACTCCATCAAGGCATTGACCTAATCAACACATACACCAAGTTTGAACATTCTAGCCCAATTAGGAAGAGAGTTATCGTGTCCCAAAGCATCAACCAATCAAATTGCTTATCTCTGCTTACCCTAAGCGGAAAATGCTCATCTTCGAACTCCATCAAGGCATTGACCTAATAAACACATACACCAAGTTTGAACATTCTAGCTCAATTAGGAAGAGAGTTATTGTGTCCCAAAAAGTGTGACGGACAGACAGACGGACAGACAGACAGACGGACGAACCCATTTTAATAGTCCCCTGCTTTCTTCGAAAGGCGGGGGACAATAATAAAGCTGCATACTGTCTGTGTATGCAGAGGTGGCAATCTGTGGGGGAACAACAAACATGCTTAACCATCTCAGTTTTAGTTATCAAAATGTAGTTTGAGACTATTTTGGGCATAATTTGTGATGTCACCATATTGCAATACGTATTGAATAAATCTGACAAACAAAAGTTGTTCAGTGAAACAGTTTTATCCAATATCACATTTATCAACACTTCTTTTCGACGCCATGTTGGGATAGTTTGACATGCATACGACGTCATATCCTCCTCATTTGTATTTGAGGATCCCTGTTTTACGCAAAACGAAGTGTATTTTTGTACAATATTTCTATCGATCATGTATGTATTTTTTTTGGAGATACATGTAAGAGTTGTACATCAATTAAAATAGGGTTTGACGTTGTTTAGGTAAGACATACATACAATAGTAAAATCAGATTAAAATGATCGCCTTTAAATAGTCTCTTGATTTCGTTACGTGTAGAATCTTGTTTGTAATGTGCATCTTGCCAAATAGCACCAATATGGGTCATTTCGTGTTTCACCGTTTGTTGTTGGTTATTTGTGAAGATTTTTGTGAAATCTCTTAAAATAGACAGCAAAAAAAGCTTTTGTGGAAAATAAATGGATATGATATGTATGTTTAAATGTGTTAGCAGTTAAGATAATTGAAAAGAAGTAAACTAGTTATCAACTTTTGCACCAAGCTTTTGACTGTTCGGATATAAGATGTTAAGTTGTCAGAATATCAAAGAGTAACATTTAACTTGTTGGATAAGGTAAGTATTAGATGGTATTGGGTAAGACATCCTTTGCAGTTTCATGGGCTTTACTCAAGTATGGATTTTATTCCATATTATGTCTACAATCGTCATACCTTAACAACATTTATACAATTGCTTGCTTTTTCTTTTTCATTTAAAGGGCGACATCTTACAGCTACTCGTACATTATCTACTTCTCTCAAACTTTTACCAGCTGTTTCCTGGGAAAAAAAATACACAGTGTTTAAAATACAAAGGATAGGTCAATTTTATTCATTCCTGATGACATTCTAACCAACAATATTACTTAGAAAGTTTTCCAAAGATACTACCGGTAACATACTGGCATCAAACTGTTTTACAGTTCAACTTGTGGAATTGGATAACTACACAGGATATTATGACCTCTGATGATTGGATAAAGGAACTCTTTATTCCTCTAGACTGAAAGTTGACTAGAAAAGAGGTAAGTTTTTATATTCAGTATTAGGCCTACCATGGACCTTATATAATATTATAAGGTCCCGTCGGCCTAGATATTAATTATTATGTGACACAGTATTGAGACTTTAAGTTGGATTAAAAGTCATAAATAGATGATAAGCTTAGATATAACTACTTGCTCTAGCCAATTACTAAAAGCCCCCAAAAGAATATTACGGTACTGCCTTAAAGGAGCTAAATCGCTAACATTTGGGACCTAGAAATTCACAAAAGTGGGTCGCAACGCATATAATACTGTAATATGAATGTATATTAACTGATTTACATTTAATGGTTTCCGTTTTTACTCCAATTTAAAATCAGTTATATTCGGCGAAATAAGTCAGCAATCTCAATCGAGTGCAAATTTCTAGCGTCTAGTTATTCTAGTCTACATAACTCCATTTGATTTGGTGCAATGTGTCTAGTCTCGTCCCTCGAGTCTCTCAATACAACTGGGGCTGAAGTGCATTATGGTACACGATTCGTGTACCAATGTTAACAAAATTATTTTATCTTAAATATCGGATATCAGAAGCTCATCTTTTCCCGGTAAGTTTACATCATCAATGTTGATTTAAGTTGACCAATAATTCGTGTTTTCGATGTCGAAGATTTTGGAGGATTTTGAGTTACGGACTTAGGTCCTTTAATCTTAATCATTGTAAAATGTTATAATTAAATATAGTGGGGATATTAAATTGTTCAAAGGATTTTAAATTTTAAGCAAGGGAAGCTACGGATACATTAAGTTTTATAGAATTTGTAGTTATTAGAGCCCGGGTATGACTGCTACCATGGATGTATTATAAGGTCCATGCTGCTACTATCACTAATGAACCATTTTGAGTTAAGAGTTGAAGTAAACATAACTGACATCTACTTTCATTTTACCTTGCAATGTACGGTAAATCTACGAAAGTTGTCATTTTTAAAAAAGAAAACATGTATACAATCCCATTTTTCTAACAATCTATAAAAGAGGCATTACAAACCAGCATTTTAAGCTATGTTCTATCCCTTGGTTGTCCTAAAATTTTCTAAAAAGCCAACCCTGCATCTAATCAAAACATTCTCAATAAGGCATTTACAGCTCTGGAACAAATAACATGTAGCCTTTTGATTGGTTAAAATTACAGCAACACATAATGACATAAATTCTATTTATAACCACTACCCTAGAACCGTTGCGACGGCTGAACAAGTCAGTTCGTTATCTAATCCAAAAATATGTACTACTTTAAGTACTTATGTGTAAAGACTGTTGCACATCTGAGTATTAAAAACCCCAAAACAAATTCAAGAAGAATGGGCTGGCTTTTGCGAAGAATTATTATTAAGTTATTATGTGGTCTAAAAGCACTTTATTAAATTTGTTTTATCGATAAATATCTAATCAATTATGTTCGGTTAAACATGGAACAGTTGAATGGTAGTCGTTTACGTCTGCTTAGTCCATTCTACAGTGTTTTTTTTTATATTAATTTTTGTCGTTTCTGAATCAGACATTTTTATTTGTTTTGCATTTCTACGTAAAATTAAATGTATGTTGTGGTGTACGCTTGCTGTGAGAGGTGATTTAATTTTTGAAGAACGTGACAGGTCTCACCTACTAGACCTATCATAAATTATATCCAAGTCATCCCGATAAAATATTTGTTGACCGAGGAACTCTTATTCTTTGTCAACGGGATCACATCGGAAAATCCTGATAAACTTTCTCGGTCAACACAGATATCGAACACGAAACCATTAGGTTATAGCGAGCCAACATTTTACTCACGTACTGAACCACCGTGGCTCCCAAACTTTAATTTACAAACTCAACTCTTCTTTTCGTGATGTGCAAGGTTGATTTACTTCCTGAATCGTTGTACCAATAGTCGAAATAAGATGTATTTGTCAATTCCCCAAAGCCCTATTCCTGTTTGTATTGCTAAATTATTTCCAAATGAGTGAACCCTTAAATAAATTAATTAAGCCTTAACCATAGGAAATGTCTATGACCAAAAATCGGTATGCGTTGCGTGACAGGTCGTCACCGAGAAAATATCACTGCAGCTGACAAAATTCATCTTAATTCTGGTTGTTTTGTGACAGTTTATGTGTGAGCTAACCTTAATTTATGCCGAAAATGTAAACCCCAGCAAGTCATTCTCTGTAAATCAAAGACCCGGGGTCAGAGGCATGCTAGGCTTCCGAAGGAGGGTAGACAGGCCAAACGTAGGGCGCATTAGGGGTGGGGGTGCTGCGCCGGGAAATTTCTTTGTTCTGTGGCACATGCTAGATGCTAGAATGGATTAGACGTATATCTAAGCCATGACATACTATACACTGACAAATGGTTGAGAGATTATGATTAAGTGCTGAAGATCTGAACATGAACATAGTTAGCAACAATCCAGAACTAAATGACCTACGAGTCATGAAAAACAAGTATCAAAAGGGACTGGTATTCCTTACAAAGGGTCATTCGATTCTGTGCGCTAATGAAGGAGGAGTATAGCACTTAGAGCAGACTTGTGAAAGAATAAATGCCAATGGGGTTCGTGGTAACGGTTAGTGTATTGGCCTTAGGTATTTCCTATTTTTTTTTTAAAAAAATTTAATTTTCCTAAATTCAATTAGCGAAATAAATAAACAAAGAGCTCTCGATGCCATCTTATGCATCGGATTTTTACTGGATTTGAATCCGATTTTCTGCTCGACGCTCATTGATGATTAAATCCAAAAGTGGATAAATCGAGACAATGTTTGTTTTTATCGTACCGACTTTAGTAATGATGATCGAGGCTAGGTCTAAAATTCAATCGCAAATATCTCGGTTCAGAGTGGAGCAATTTGACTGAAATTTCCAGCTTATTCCATTTACATTATCTAGTTTTTAATTATTTTACTGGAAACTGTCAGTTCTTTATCTAATCATCTATTTAATCCTGCTGTGAAATTCAATCTGGAATCCATCAGTGGAAATCAGGGCCGAGTACCCTTGCATCAACAGTGAAAAACGGGCATATTCTGGTCATTGTCCGCCAAACACACAATGCAATTTGTATTTCAGTATGTATGTCAATAAATCATAAATTATTACTTTTAAAACTAATTTGGGGGCTCCTTTAACATTGGGGACACTTGCTGCAGCCCTGTCAGCACCCCATTTAATCCAGGCCTGGTGAAAATGGATTGGATGTTGAATCCCGAAATGAAATAAAAAAATCTGTCAAAATATTAGCCCGTATCGTTTTCTCCAGAAATTTGTTCCAAACTCCGACAATGTTTGGCCCAGGACAAGTTGTTCTAATGATAAACACAGTTTCTCTACTCATCTGTTTTCAGGGGCGGACTTTGCCTGGGACCACCAGACTTAATCCGAGGTCCCAGAAGGACCAGGGCCCATAGGACCCGATTTAAGAAACAAAATCTAGCATATCGTATTTTTCATAATGGCATCAATCTGAGCAGAATATGATTGACTCGCTTTGGTATATATTTCTTTACATCGCGTTTTATCACTCACGGAAAGCAGCCAAATAAAAGTTACCTGTAGATTTAAATGCTAACCGATGAAAATTTGGCGTTATTGTTTGTTTGTTGCGTAACCAAGTCTGAACAGGTAATTCGGTGTCAAACATCGAATTATTCGCGTTTATAAAAATACGTACCTTAAAGAGGAGTAACCCATCAATTAATATGTATATTTCTCCCAAATTCCATGTCAGAAATAATTATTATGTTTGGCTTTAATTACAAATAAATTTGAAGAGAATTCTGTTTCATGACTATTTATTCAATCTCATTAAGGTTTTGGGTTAAATAAAAGTCCTTCTTTGTACACCTGTGGGAAAATGTGCTATAATGAAAATTTCCGTCCAAATACACAGAGTTATTTCGGAGAAGAGTTTCGGGTATATACATACACTTTATGCCACTGACCAGTTGGTTCCTATTTAACCAAGGTGGTCAAAATGTCCGTCAAAAACATCACCCTCACCCCCACCTATAATACGACATAATGAATATTCTAAGAAGATACCCGTCTTCATTAGCCCAGTCGGTGCAGAACAGAAGGACGTTGTACATCTTTCGTACATAGGTGTAGGAGCCGTGGGGGAGGGGGTGCAGTATCCATCTTCATTAACCCAGTCGGTGCAGACCAGGAGAACGTTAAACCCCATTGTATTTCATATTATTCAGATTGGTGGATACAAAATGTAGGACACAGATTGGTAGATACAGACTGGTGGATACAGCTCTGCAGGGAAGGCGCACCAGATATGCGATATACACAATTTGGCGTGGCTGTGCACCTGGAATCGAGTACACACCAGTAGGGACCATCCTTAGGGTAGAAGGACTAAGTAAGACAACCGGTTTGGAATTGTGGCCTGTAGATGGACCACAGACATACCCACCCCCACCAGCACAAACAGCCCACACACCCACCCACCATCACTCGCATACATTTACAAAGCCGTAAAATTTCACCGGAAAGGGGTCATATTGACAATGAACAGAAAAAGGTCCCGGTAACTTGAGAAGAATTAAGTTTTGTTGCCCGAGAATCTCTGCATGCATTGTCGAAGGTGATAATAGATGGTAGTTGATATTTTAATCAATTCTGACAATTGTACATTAATATATAATTCAAGCAAGCATTGACTTTCAACAGAAATGGGACCAAATGGGATGACACCATTATAACCTCGTTATGTATCAATTATGACGCCAAAGTCATTTAAAATTCTAGTCAAATATCTAGTGTTTCGCAGTATTTAATGGCTTTTCTCGCCATATGATGCTCTCTATAAACAAATTTCAAGCAGATGAACGAGAAGTGGTGCTTTCCTGTTACAGCTTCAACGAAGGCTTATAGATCATCATGGCGGCATTATTTTACATCAGGTTCACAAATATATGTTTTTTGTATGTAGCTATCATGCCAGCGGGTAAGTTTTAGCCTTTTTCCAGTTGAAAAGATGTTGTAATTTTTCCCAGTCTCGAATTATACACATTATTTGCATGTGCATAATATATGGGTAAAACTTTTGATGGAATTCAAGGATTTTCTTCTAAAAAAGGTTCAAATAGAACCCGCTTCCAGGCGGATACAACATCGAGTGGGCGGGACTACAGAATGTGTTCCATTCTTTAATGTACTTTAATAACGATAAGTATGTCGTATGTGTTGTAATTCGACTTTTAATATTGACTACCCATATTGATCGGACTATCCGTGATACAAAATATGTCGCCTGCCTTGGACTTCGGATTTATTTATGCGTAATATAACTAGAGTGATGGTGCAGCGGCTCCAATGAATGCTAAACATTTAAACTGATGCTGAAACGTGAACACACAACTTGCTGATCTAAACGGCATTTTATATGTCAAATTATGGTTGGTTAACAAACCGCCAAATAACTATTTTTCTTGTGGACAGATCGTTTGTGACTGGAAGCAGTCGTCCAGTCGCTGGAACCTTTCATGACTATACACTAAGGGCTAGCCAGTGCATAACGTTGACATAGTTCTGCTGTAGAAAGTCCCGAGTAACCCTGGCGGTGTGGGCACGGGCGTTGCTTTGCTGGAAAACGTTTCCATCACGTGCGAAATGTGGTATGACGTGGGGTCTGAGAGCTTGATCGATGTATATAGCGCACTGCTGTGATGCCGCCTCCTCTGCCTGGACCAAGATTTTGGAACACCACAGGACCCACTCTCTGGTTCTGGCCGATTCCACCCCAAACCATTATGCTTGGACCTGCCCATGAGTCTCGTTCCATGACACATTGGTCAGAATAACGCTGGCCACGTCGATGCCATATTTTAGTCCTGTCATCTGCAGTTGATACGCAATACCGACTCTCATCTGTGAACAGAACAGTTCTCCATTGCCTGTGTCGCAAGTTCCGGTGTTGTTGGGCAAACTGTAGACGTTCACGTCGATGGCGAGGGGTGAGGATAGGTCCACGGTAAGGTCTACGGCAATGGATGTTCTCTCTAGTGAGACGTCGGCGCACTGTTCCCACTGTCTGACGTGCTGTCTCAGATGCCTGTGGTGACCCTTGGTCTACCAGTTCGGGGGCGATCAACCGTGGTGTTGGTGGCCCGAAAGCGTTGCCGAAGCCTGTAGATGGTCCAAATAGGCAGTGTGGCCAGCGTCGAGTCTTCCAAGCGCCTGGTTCCTCTGAGCTGTCGTGAGTCGTGTCATGCTGCTGACGTTGTAGAGTGAATGATTCAACCAGGTATGGGGGTGCATTTTATAGGGTTGGTCCCGATTAACAGCACACGTAGCATGAGTTACATGGAAATCAAAAGGAGAACACATTACCATCTCAGAAGTCAGGTTGCGTTTTTGAGAACATTTCCTGGGTTTAATTCTGTGTTTGGGAAGAAGCATTATTGCTCAGGTAAATTTGGAGATGTGGTCACAAATATACTATAAAAACACTTGGCAAGTTTTATGCAATGCGTCTATTCAGAGTAACATACCAACCTGACGTTTTTTTTGCTGCTTAGTATATATATACCAAACTGTTCATACAATCTAATTGGAATATTAGGGATATGATAAAAGCAAATGGTAAGGTAAAACAGAAGATCCTTTTTGGGGGATGTCAATCAAATCTCCGACAAATCTTAAATAAGTTTATATTTAAATATTTCAGATTGTGTAGTTTTTGACATGAATACACCACCAATGATAGGACCCGTAACAGCCATAGTAGAAACAAAGAAACTATCAACATCAATACGACTTCAAAGGGCCACACCAAGAGATCTCTATATCAAGTTTTCTTCTTCACGAAAGGGAGATTTTAAAGTACGTATGTTGGACTTCATGTGTATATATTTCATATATTAATGTCTTTTATTTTGGTGTATTATTGTTATCTAAAAACAGTGTGCTCTATATTCCTCAGAATCTAGATCTTGATGGAACTCCTAGAAGTACAGCAAGAAATGAATATGTTGGTCTTACGTTTGACTATCATAGGAACATGTATTATGTTATCAACAGAAGAAGAAATGGTGAAGCCAGTATCTTGGTAAATATACATTAAATGATTTTTTATTTATTTAATTATTGTTACCGTAACAAGCTGAAAATAAAAACAAATTCAGTTTACCCTAGTTCATCTATGTTAAAAGGGAAGTACGGGTAACATCACCTTTTTATATGCATACATTGAAATGACCTCGTATATTATCTGAACCCCCATTCTCAAATCTGTTCCTCTTTCGTTCAGATTCTGTCAACGATTATTTTACGTGCACGCCAACGTGTACACGTGACATCGGTTTTTAATCCCATCAAAACGACTAGACACCATTAACCTTGTAAATAATATCGGCCAATTACCTATGATTGTCTATCAGTCAGATGTTTATATTGTATTGCGCGCATGTTTATACAACCCACCACAGGGAAGGAAATTGAAAATCTTTCGTAAACCCCTTATCTGAAATGAAATGAAATGAGGTTTAACGTCCTACTGTTCTGCTCCTATACTGGGCTAATGAAGACGGCCCCTTATCTGAATTGCCAAATTGGTGATTTTTCTTTTTTTCCACATAATACTTAGAGTACAACCGAGATATAAGTAAGTCCCTGCTTATACTCAATTCAGCTATTGAATTTTACATTTTCAAATAAGTATATTTTGGGTGTTATTTTTTAAAGGGATTCTATGCATCTGGAATAAACCCAGAACCAATCCAACTTTACACAGGATTATCATCGACTGTAAGAAGTAAGTCTATTCGTATCGAGTAAGTCTATTCGTATCTGGAATATTGACATCGACTGCAAGAAGTAAGTCTATTTGTATCTGGAATATCTACAACAATGGTTTGTATATACCACAACCTAAATAAATAATTCTTGCTTGGTGGTAATAAAGTCGACCGTGTTATTAAATATCGGTTTCCACAGTAAACATAGGCCTATAGAAATTCAATTACAAAATATGTAGTATGTATAACAAGTTAGTATTATTAAATTGCTATTTCAGGTATAGCGATGGATTGGGTGAATGGTGTTTTATATTGGGCGGATCCGACAGCAAAAGTTATAATGAAAACACCCGTTGAGCCTAAATGTTTAGCCCAGGATTCAGCCCGAGCTATCATTGGTGGTTTGAGCTATCCAATTGGAGTTGCAGTTTATCCCGATAAAGGGTAGGTATAAATAAAATAAAACCAAGGACGAACAATCCAAACCATTAGACAAAATTCGAAGTCCTAAAAAAACGGCATAGGCAAAATAGTGTAGTAAGGCAAAATAGTGTAATCAGCATATGGACTGTTCACCGTGCACAAAATACACGACAAACAGTGGTAACAGGTGTCCGGAAGAGTAAGCTTACCCTGCCTGGCGCCACACCCGCCATAGCTGCATCCAAACTATTAGGCGAAATCTCGGTAAAATAGCGTGATTGGACAATGGACTATCGGTATGCAAGTACCAACACATATATACATCCTCTGTAAGATATAAAACTAAAATGCCCATGTTACGACGAAATACGTAGCGAGTGTGACGTATCAGTAAATCAAACCTGGTGTAATTGTTTTTACAAAGAATGAACATACTATGCCAAACAAATTAATGGTACCAAATAAATACATATTATTATTTTTGCATATAGATATGTTTACTGGACTGACGCTGGTATTAACAGAAGAATAGAAAGATCAGACCTAGATGGTAAATATCGCCGACAGATCATCACCAACGTACGCAACCCACGAGCTATCACTATTGATTATGACAAGGACAGGTACAGTACTAAACTTTGTTTATTAGACAACCCTCAATCACTTCTTTGTCCCAACTTACAAAGCTCCTTATCAGGCGAATGATGATATTCCCCGTGCAGTGAATGATTGGGTGATAAAATTGTATATATTATTTTGTAGAATATATTGGATTGATAATAGAGATTATAACTGTATTTTGGAATCAGCAGATTTGGATGGTAATGGGAGAAGACTTCTAGTTAACGTTATGGACAGTAACTTGTTTGATCTAGACATCTTACAGGTATGTGACACAAATTAATCTAAAAAAAAGGACGTGAGGGTGGTGTGGGGTAGGTTCTGTTCTAGGTAGACAGAAGTGGATTTTATGAGTTTTTTATCTAATTAGTTTGGATTTTCATCAAGTTAGGAGTTTTGCAGCCATTTTGAATAGGTAGCAAAGATGTAGAGATAAATTCTGTTCTAAAAGATACTAAAAATATTAACCAACTTTGAAATGTCTGACAGGAAAATGGATGGTGCTCATGACCGACTTTTTTTATATTTCGGCTGTCATTTCTGTACTAGAACCAGAAATGCCAAGGGCGAAATCTGGAGTCCAAATCCATTACATATGGGCTTTAATCAATACAGACGAGGAATAGTATTAAAAGTAAAAAATAATTATTAACATTTCAGACTCAGAAAGCTACAGTAGTTTATTATTTATAAAAAAAGTGGTTACGTTACAAAACTCACATCACAAAATTATGCTAAACTGAGACTTTGTTTACAGAATTATATCATTGCTACAGATGTAAAGAAAAGTCGAGTATATCTGTACAGTTTAGCGTATAGAAGGTTGATATGGAAGGATTGGATTGGAAAACCTCTTGGTGTTAAAGTTTATTCTCAACAACGTCAAATAGCTTCACATCGTGAGTTTTCATCGATTCTTCTTAGTTTAAGATATACCCTTTGCGGCTTTGGCCATATTTGATCAACGTACTAAAGAAACATACGCAATCAAGAGGTTTGGCTAGCTTATACACTTCTGTAAACCATGCATGATGGAATCTCAGAAAAAGAAAAAAAAAGTATTTAAGAATATCAAACTTGACACTACGGTAGAGAAATAATTTTCATGTTATAAAATATGATTATTGTTTCTTTGCAGTTTCAAAGCCTGAAAACGTCACTGAACTTCAATTTTCAATGGATAAAGGAACAGTGTTTCTCGGTTCTGCTCAGGGTATTTACCGAATGGATAGAAATTATCCAGATCAGAAGTCCAAGGAAAAAATATCTCCGTTTTTACTTAGGAACATGACAACAGCTTTAACTTCTGACGCTCATTCTAAATTCTTATATTTCTATGAAGACGAACTTAAGGTAAAAAACACATTACTTTGAAATCTTCCTTCTCATAGGTAAAGTCCAAGTTTTCAATGGATCTCCAAAAAAGGTTCCTTCCGCAAAGAATTTAATTAAAAGGCGAAAGTGTGGAGAAATGGTACTCATACCTTATCTGAAAGTTTCGGTTCACACATATTCCAGAAGCAATGGCCCGAGAAATCCCTCTCTAGCCATTGCTGTACTGAGAATGAAAACTCGAGTTTTTGACGGAGTGTGTCCATTCTCATCGTCCAATCAAATCTCTCCTGATTACAGTAAAATAAAGAGAATTTTCATTTAGTGCTGATTTCAAGAAAAAAATTACCCTTGGATGCATCGGGAGCAAACATCGATACTCGCATCGGTAAATTTGGCCGTCGCTATCGTAACAAAAATTCTTTGACTCAAATCTCCGATATAAATTCTATAAACGTGTCTGTTTATACCAATTATTACTGCCTACCTTTAAGCAATTGATGTCACGTAGTAATGTATTGGTTGTTGATCGGACTGTTAACCAGTCATAATTTGGGACATAAATTCGCGTTGAGTACGGCAGTGTTTGAGTTGGATTAGGTCTAATCAAACGACACACTGCGAGGAGTATGCGGTTCACAATACTTTCGAAACGATTGCCAAAATAGTTTATGGGGGTTACATAACTATTTTAGAGCCTTCGCGTTCAGTTTTGCGTCCAATAACCCGACAAACGCGACTATTCAGCACCGTTTGTATACTTCGCTAACAAGTGATTAATGCTCTATTACTCCCCCATCACAAGCGACAGAGTTAAAGACAGATCTACCCAGGCACAAGTGGATTGTTAGTCGAGAAGTTTGTCTTCACCTCCATGGGATAACTGGACCTTTTGTGTTTCTTTGAAAACGTGTCACATGAAATTTAATGTATTTTCTACAAGCCTGGCTTTATTCATTGAAATATTCTCTCAGAATAAATTAGTTTGAATAAAATATCCAATATATTCATTTTGTATTATCTAGTTTTGAACTAGTATAGTAAGAACGACCAGTTCTTTATCTAAATCTTACATAATGTATCTTTAATATCATCATGTTAACATACAGTCTATTTTAAGAAATTTGAGTTTTCGTTTTTAAGGACCCATAACGAAATTTTATAATTGGTTTTACACTTATATAAATACTCTATAATGATTGGTATGTCTCCAGACAATCCAACGAATAAAGCTGAATATTTTTTCCGGAGTTGCCGAAAATTGGACGACATCAGAACTTGTTACATTAGCAGTAGGTAAAGTTGAGGGTCTAGCTGTTGATTGGGTAGCGGGTAATCTATATTGGAGTGATAGTAGATTTCAGCAAATCATGGTTTCAAGAGAAGATGGCCGATATCCTTTTACACTGATTAGCGAGGCTGTGAGTAAACCACGTTCCTTGGTGGTCCATCCAACTAAAAGGTACATACATATTTGGAATGGTTGGGTGAATTTTATATTGATAAAATTTGACCCATACAACATTCTTGAGTGAGGTTTATATAATTGCAATTTGTAAATGATTCATTTGAAAGTATTTTCAGCATACCGGTACGTTCAATTTAGCTTTCCCTGTAGTATTTTTAGTAATCAGGGTATAACCCGAATTTTGAGCAAGGGTTTGATTGTAGTACATTTTCTCTGACTTAATTTATATCCAAATAAGATTTGTGTTTTGGTGTGACGTGGATGAAGATATGCCTAGAATAGAACGCTGTGGTCTGGACGGTAGCAGACGACAATCCATTGTTACGGGAAATAAGGCGAGAACTCCTCGAGCATTAGCTATCGACTTCCAAGATGACAGGTAAATGTGAATTTTGTAGCAATATTTTTCGAATCTAGGCGTTTTTATACGCCCACATTGAAATGTTGTCGTATATTGTCGTCGCCCCCGTCCGTCCGTCCGTCGGTCCGGCGTCCACAATTGCTTGTGGACGATCTAGAGGCTAAAGTTAATATCTGATTGACTTTAAATTTATACACAGTGTTTAAGGTCTTGAGACGAAGAAGCCTATTGATTTTCAGCGATTTCCGATAATTACTGCCAGAGTTATGGCCCTTGATCACTTCAAAAAATCTTGTGGATGCTCTAGAAGCGAAAGTTAATATTCGATTGACTTTAAATTTATACACAGTGATTAAGGTCATGAGACGAAGAAGCCTATTGATTTTCAGCGATTTCCAATATTTGCTGCCAGAGTTATGGCCCTTGATCACTTTGAAAAATCTTGTGGACGCTCTAGAGGCCAAAGTTAATATCCGATTGACTTTCAATTTATACACAGTGTTTAAGGTCATGAGACGAAGAAGCCTATTGATTTTCAGCGATTTCCGATAATTACTGCCAGAGTTATGGCCCTTGATCACTTCAAAAAATCTTGTGGATGCTCTAGAGGCTAAAGTTAATATCCGATTGAGTTTAAATTTATACACAGTGTTTGAGGTCATGAGACGAAGATTCCTATGGATTTTCAACGATATCCGTTAATTACTGCCAAAGTTATGGCCCTTGATCACTTTGCAAAATCTTGTGATGCTCTAAAGGCTAAAGTTATAATCCGATTGACTTCAGATTGATACACAGAGTTTAAGATCTTGAGACGAACAAGTATATTGATTTTCCATGAATTTTTATTACTTGATATTAAAAGCTTTGCATACCAAACAAATTCTAATAGTTTTCTGATAATTACTTCGTTAGTTGTTGCTCTTAATCAGATTTTAGTGTATTATAAATGTTTCATTACCGAAAAAAGTAAAAATATGCGACAACCCTTGTTGACTGCCCGGACGATTTAGTTGCTGTGGGCGTATGTTTCGTTGCCTGGCAACCTATCTTTAGTGTTGCTGTGATAAAGAATGCTTGTAAAGGTAAATATCATTATAGGGGCAAAAGATGATACATGGGAGGTCTCGGTATCTACAATTATTTAACTTAGTGGTCTATTGTTTTTCAACAGATTATACTGGACAGATGGTATTATTATACATTATGGCAAGTTAAATGGTACTGGTCAATTCTGTCTTCATAGCTCAGGTCGATCAGCCGTCCGGTCACTGATCATATTTAATGTAAGTATAGAACAGCATATTGAGACATCGAAAACAATCCTTTAATACAAATTAATTTTTTACGTGCAATTTAATTATCTTATTATAAAACGCCCGTGTAAATGTGTCCTTCGTGATCCGACTTTTACCAACAACATGAACAAATAAATTAATGCAAAACAAAAGTTAATAACACTGGTATGTCAGTTTCAAACAATCAATGTTGGGTAATAAATTTTCTAAAACTATTTATGTTACAGAATTATATAATCTGGTCAGATGTAGTTGGTAGATTACACACTGCACATAAGGAATATAGCAAGGGACAAGAACAAATGGATGGTGGGATAGCTTTCTTTGTTGACCTAGTTTATCATGATGAATCTTGTCAACCAATGACCACAAGTAATGCAATTTTAATGGTATTTATACTAAAGACAGTGAAATGAATAAGTATTTGCATTTTTCTGGTTGCTACACGACATGTTATCAGACTGGTAATTTGTTGACGTGCAATATCAATTTGTAATCGTAGGGATTAGCCTTTGTGATGACTGTTCGAGTTTGGTAATTTGGCTATCTAATCTGGCGATGTGCAATATCAATGTTATCGTAGAGATCGACCCATATGATCACTAAACCAGTTTGGTAAATTGCTTAAACATACATTATGCAAGTGCCAAATTTGCCTATTGCAGATCTTTCTTTAGGCCTGAAATTAACTTATCCAGACCATATTCAACTCTCGATGTCATCGCTAGCCTGCGATATTTAGCGGATTGGAATACATTTTTTGAAAGCTGATTAAATCAATAAATGGATAATCGAGGCTTTGTATTTTATCGTACCGACGTTAGTAATAATGATCGTGGCGAGCCTAAAGTTCAAAAGCTAATATCTAGGTTCAGAATGCAGCAATTTGACTGACATTTTCAATATATTCCATTTAAGTTATCTATTTTTTAACTGTTATAGCGAGAACAGTCAACTCTTTATCTAATTCCCCATAATGCCTCTTTAAATTCAGATGATCTTCATTTCTTTTTTTCAGATCCATGTGCTATTAACAATGGTAACTGTGATCATTTATGTCTACCAAATAAAACGGGTTATAGATGTGTATGTGCACTGGGTTACTGGAATTTTAATGGCAGGTGTATTTCTGGTAAGTATTGACTTGTAGTACAGTCTTAAAGAGATAACGAATGACAATGATTGGCAGAAAAATGCCGAATGTCGAAAATGGTGAAAAATGAGACTAATTTAGTGACTGGGATTCAACGGATATGTTTTTTCTCAGCTTAATCTTCTAAATGGAACTTGTAGACCTTTCCCAAACAAACGTAGTGAATATGTTTTATCGCAAATAAATATTTATTTATTTAATTTCTGTGGGATATGGTCGTATTTTATAATAACCTATTTAAATATGAATATACCTGATATGGTTCATCTGCAGCACTTGTGGAAGCATTCTAGAAATTAGAATAAATAAGAGTGACGTCATCATGGATGGACGAAGGTGGTGGCGACACCAATGATCACATTAACATGCAGACCTATAATTAAGACCACACCCTTTCAATGTAGTCTACATGTAGCCTTAAAATTAATGCCATGTATGAGGAGTGCTATATTTTGATCAGGCTGGAAAGCACAGACAGGAAAAAAAATAATATCCACTGAATCCGAATCAGTCACGTTTCGGCATTTGGCCGATCAAAGCACCGACCGAAGCAAAATGGCTAAACCGCATAAGCATAAGGACTAATTCAAGGAATACAATACTATTTATAACTATGTGATTTTAGATTATAACTATAATCATTTCCAGTTCAATTACTTGATGTCATTTAAGATATTTAACAAACACTTCAACATCCTAGATTATCGGTGGGTTCAGTTTGTCCAATTGCCAAAACGAACCGTTTGAGGCCCAAAGAACTTAAAAAGTTCTGGGGGCACCATGAAACTTAACTATGTATGCTGAAATTTAAATAGCGTTTGAAATAATTATATCATTACTATAAACTATAATGCTGCTTGTTTAATTATGTATTGTGGGTTCCTTTGTGTGTGCACTGGTTCGGCTGCAGCATGGTAAATCGGTAAATCATCGCTTGGTATCCTAAGTACGTGTTCTTGTTTAATGATAAATATAATGTAAATATTGTCTTTTTTAGACTTTTAACACACTTTGTTACAGGTGTAGGTGAAGAAAGATTTTTGATATTTGCTGATCAGAGACAAGCTGGGATATATCAAAGACCATTATTTCTGGATGAATATTACTCGATACCGTTACAAAATATTAAACAACCCAGGGATGTGGTGTACGACGGAGTGAAAAAACTTGTAAGATGAAATAAAATCCACAAAAATTTATTTTGTAGTTACAATGCAGTAAATGCATGAAATGGGACCTATTTGTTCAAAAGAATTGATGAACATGACATACAAAGCTACATAATAATTATTTGCTGTACGATTATCTCAATTGGATGAGAAGTTGTTCTAGATAGCATTTGTCTGGTGAAATCTTGAAACCAACATGCTGCCCGCGAGTCACGTGGGATTTTCGGATTCTCTGGTTTCCTCGAACTGCTAAAAAAAACTGCAATATTATTGAAATAAAAATTAATGCACTACGTTCTGTTAGTCACGAAATGATATGATTTCCTTGAGCGGACTCTAAACTTCATTCGTCTCAATTTCTATCAAAATAAAGAAACACTACCACGTGCTTCACATGCAGCAATTTCCAGTCGTTGCAGGGAGGCTGTATGACTATAGATGCAACCCAATATTGTTTGACTGGAGATAGAGAGAGAGAAATTGGGTTTAACGTCCACTCGACACAAACTAGGTCATTTCGGGACTAACATATGGTTTAATTTTATTTACATAATTCGCTTGCGCGTAGGGGTCTTTAGCAGTGGGAGGAAACCGGGTTTGACTTGAGAGTGACAGATGGCTCTGTGGACTATTCACAACTATAAGTCTATTTTTACAGTAATCAGGTGGAACGGGATATTTTGTAACGGCGCCCAGTGGGGTTTAGTGGCTAAATCTATTTGTTAAGGCCAGCTCAATTTTTGTCAAGGTCGTTGAGATGTAAATAGGGTTAGGACACGTGATTGTTGGCGAGATTATAGGTTAGGGTTAGGGTAAGCAGTTGAGCTAGGTCCAGGGTTAGGATAAGGGTTGGAATTAGCGCTAGCCCTGTTTACATCTCGTGACCTATAACGAAAAATTGAACAAACCTTGTCATTTAGCAGTAACCGGGGTCTAGTAGCTGCGGCAGGAGGCGCCAAACCAAACGACCGCAGGTCTTAAGGTCGCGAGTAAACCGAGTAAAACACCTATGCGATTTTGAATCCTACTTTTCTGCATCAACCGAGATAATAAAGAAGGACGTGTATACGGGACTTCCTGTAAAACTAACAAAAAGAAACTAGGCTAAAAAAAGTCCCGAGGAACTTTCTAAGTTAGCATTATCTGCAATATAATGATTCAAATTTAGTTTAACTATATCTACAACCTATGTCTATATATTATTTCATGTTGTAGATATATCATAGTGATATGGCTCTATGTACAGCTATTATCTATATTATAATGATTCAGATTTAAAGGACAATATTGGTGCCAGTCATTATAAATATGTGATAGAGCTCGTTAAATACATCCCAAATATAATTTTAAAGGACAATATTGGTGCCAGTCATTATCACATATGTGATAAAGCTGGTTAAACACATTCCAAATATAATTTTAACACAGAGATCATTGCTACGATAGCTGAGTAATACAGGTTTCCTGAATCGGAAGTGACGAACGCCAAAGGAAAACACGAGTCATCTCTCTATATAACTGACTGGTGTGACGAGTGATAACAGATACACGGCCGAATTTCTGCTCACTAATAATTCCTTCGAAGAACAAAAGTTGTTATATGGGACTGTAAGAGGATACCTGACAATTCAATAAAGTAATTGAATGTCACTAGATAAGAGAACATGAGAAAAATAGAAATAGTCTGTTACCGCTCGTTACACGTACTTCAGTCTGTTATATAGAAGGACAAATCGCGTTTGTCATGTTTGGCGTCAAATTATATTTGGAATGTATTTAACCAGTTCTATCACATATGTAATAATGACTGACACCAATATTGTCCTTTAACTTTCCATCCAATATCTATATATATTCTTTTATATTGTAGATATATTGGAGTGATATAGCTTTAAGTACCATCAGTAGATCAAAAATAAATGGAAGTAACCAAGAAATCATATTTTACCATGCTAGAATGAGTAAGTAAAATGAAATCCATGTCCACATTAACGTATTTGGACACCTTCGTTTCGTTTGATTGTATGGTTATATAACGGGTCTCAATATGGTGACAGGGAAGGTCTATTGGAAATGGAGTCTAACTTTCTATACTTTTTTGCGCCAACCGGGTTAACGGAGACTGACATACGCTATTAAGTATGCTAATGGTGGGTGGGGCGAGGGGCGAAATCTTGCGTGCATGCCGACATATACAAGGGACCTCGGGCGTCCGTACCGTCCAAACGATTAGACGTTGTTCCAGGCAGGCCCTTGGCGTGCACGTCTGACAAGGAGAAAACACGCAAGAAAATCCCGAGGCCTACTAGGTGGTTAGCTACCCAACGCCTTGCTCCCTGGGTCAAAGTGACTCTCGTTATTTGTTTATTGTTTTGTTTATTTCAGTGCCATACACATTATCACTAGACGCCAAGTCACAGTTGTTGTATTTTGTGGATATATCTAAATATATCGTAGTTGTTATTAATCTGAAAAACTATCTGTATTATACAGTAATAGATAAATCAATTAAAATGATCCAAGATGTTGCTTTAGACCCAACAAGAGGGTAAGTAATCAACTGATTTATTATTGATAACCTATCATAGTTTCATTTCCTGGTTTTGAATTATCCGTATCTATCCGTCTATTCGACATTATTAAAGCCAAGTATAACAAGTGTGTCGTTTTACTGTAAAGACTGTTATTCTAAAAAAGGAAATCCGAGAACAAATTCTGTATAAAACATGCGCTGGCCTGTACTGTCATTATTATCTCAGACACATAAAGATGGCGACGTCAAATCAATATAAACAAAAATATAAACCATCAATGGGTGTGATTATGATATGGTTTTATTACAATGTGGCGTAAATCTAGTTATGATTGGTACACGTGTTGTATTTATTATGGTATGACCTTATATTTTTAAAATGAAATGAAATGGGGTTTAACGTCCTACTGTTCTGCTCCGAACTGGGCTAATGAAGACAGGCATACGCCATACAGTGTGCTATGGGGGAAATTTTGCACTACGGCCTACTCTTATATCGAATTCCAACTGTCAAGGGATCTTTTACGTGTACACCAATGTGTACACGGGACCTCGTTTTTTCGTCCCATCCGAACGACTAGACAGCTGTCCTTGTCAGGCCCTCCGTCCTGCATCACTGACAAGGGGGAACCACGCCGGAAAATCTGGATGAACTTTCTCGGCCAATGCAGGGATCGAACGCCCGACCTCCAGGCTAGCGAGCCAGCGTCTTACCCACTTATCCACGTGACCCCCCTCTTAAATTATTTCTTTTTTTTTACATTATGATATATTGTCATTGTTGTAATTATTACAATATGGCCTTTACCTTGTTATGATGTAGTATTTATTATGGTATTGCACGGCATGTTTACATTATAATATACAAAAAGAAACCAGCGGCTGCCAGGCAGGATACGCCAACATTTTGCAAGAGATGGATAGAGAACAAGCTAAAAACAAACGGGATTTTTTGTATAATCAGGGGCAATAATCCAGAAAGTTATGGTCTGAAATGCGTAAATATCAAAAGGGACTGAGATATTTGGGATATAAAGATATGTTTTAAGTTTCATTAAAATCGGATAAAAATTGTGACCTCTAGAGGGTCCACAACCTTGATATTACATACTTTTACACAATTTGCGTACAAAGAGCGGCCATTTTGTCAGGCAGTTTGAATTCAACCTTCATTATGGTGGAATGTTGATAAATTTAAACGGTTTTTAAAATCGGAAAAAAAATTGTGCAAGCTAAAAATGCGATTTTTCGAACAATCTTAGTGTGTAATGGTGATAAATTCAGGAAGTTACGATCCGATATGCCCGAATATTAAAAGGATCCTAGATGCTTGGGTTATAAACATGCATTTCAAGTTTCATCCAAATCAGATCAAAATTGTGACCTCGAAAGGGTCCACAACTTTGATATACCAGATGTTTAGACTAATTGTGTACGAGGGGCGGTCATTTTGTCCCTCAATTTTCGTCCGATTTTCACGAAATTCGAACTCAACCAAAATTACGGTGTAACGGTGATATATTTGAACGTTTGTTTTTAAATCAGATAATAATTGTGACCTCTCGAGGGGCCTCAAGCTGAAAACGCGATTTTTCGTACAATCAGGGGCCATAATTCAGGAAGTTACGATATGATATGCGCGAATATCGACAGGAATCAAGATCTTTGGGTTATAAACTTACATTTCAAGTTTCATCAAAATCAGAAGAAAATTGTGACCTCTGGAGGGTCCACAACCCTGATATACTATATTTTAAAACTATTTGAGTACGAGGGGCGGCCATTTTGTCTGTCAGTTTTGGTCCGATTTTTACTAAACTCGAACTCAACCATCCTCAGGGTGAAACGGTGATATATTCAAACTGTTTTTAAAATCGGATAAAAAATTATGACCTCTATAGGGCCCACAAATTAAACATACAATCGTACAATCAGGGGCTATAATCCATGAAGTTACGGTCCGATACATGCCAACCAATATCGAAAGGAACCGAGGTCTTAGGAAGATAGGCGGGTTGAATGGCTGAATGGTTAGCGTGCGCGCGCTGTATCATAAAGTCTGTCATTGAGTCGACTGGCGTGGTTTCGAATCCCCGGTTGTACGTGACAAGGAGTAGGGTCGCCTGTCCAACCTCGTGGGTTTTCTCCGGGTCCTCCGGTTTCCTCCTACTGCTAAAGACAGCTATGCGCAAGCGAATTATTGAAATAAAATTAAACCATATTATGTTAGTCCCGAAATGACCTAGTTTGTGTCGATTGGACGTTAAACCCCATTTCTCTCTCTCTCTTACGAAGATAAACCTATATTTCATGTTTCGTTGAAATCGGATAAAAATTGTGACCTGTAGAGTGTCCACAAACAAATTGTGTTTGATCAGATATGTTAGCTCTATTACGTCCTGAAAGGTATAAAACCTTCCTGAGCTGACTCGATAAAACACCGCTTAACCCAAAGAGAGAAAAAAAATGTAGTTTAAAGGCGCTAAATCGCTAATATTTGGGACCTAGTAATTGACACAAATTGGTCGCAACGCATGTAATATGAATGTATATACACTGATTTACATTCAATCATTGCCGTTTTTACTCTAATTTCAAATCAGTTATGTTTGGCGGAATACGCGAGAATTCTCAATCGAATGGTATTCTCTAGCGCTTCCCGTCTTCAATGGTAGTATTATTGTGCATGCTCTCCAGATAAGACATGACTTGTGGAATATGTCTAGCCTCGTTCCTCGAGTCCCTTGTTACAAATGGCACTGAAACGCGTTCTGGTACACGTTCCGTGTACCAATGGTAAAATGTTTATTTTGTCTTAAATATTGGTTATCAGAAGCCCATCTTTTCCCGGTAAGATCACAACATCAATGTTGATTTAAACTGACAAATAATGCGTGTTTTCAATGTCGAAGACTTTCGGTGATAATGAGTTAAAGACTTAGCTACTTTAAGTAGGGGATTTAACCTGATTATGTCGATTTCATTTTACATTATAATATATTGTCATTGCTGTAATTATTACAGTATGATGTATATATCTTGTCGTCATGAAATGGTGTTTGCCGATAACTCAACTCACGATGTCGGTGCTGTTTATTCAGCAACTATGGCAGGAGATATGGTAAAACCTATGGTTGTTGGTTTGGGCAATCCAAAGGGAATAACAATGCATGGAGATGGTAAGAAAGGGGAATTTCTAATTTTACTGTTGCTGTTTACTGTAAAAATGTTTATATTACTTGCTTCGCCATGGTCGACAATTTATTGCCGCAGATGCATGCCGATTCAAGAAAACAACCAAATGCACTATGGGGAGATTTTAATAATTTATTTACTTTTCATAAACAAAATAGAAGTAATTTGGGTTGATCCAAAAAGAAAAGCTATTGAGGGAATATCAACGATAAATGGTACTAAATACACATTGAAAAGATTCTTGAAAACAACAGATCTACATGATATAACAGTGGCGGATGGATATATTTATTGGACAGAGCTGGAAGCACGGGCCATTAAACGGTAATTCATATTTTTCCGCCCATCAAACAGAAAAAGAAATGCGATTTTTTAGTTCATAATAACGTTGGAAAAATTGGGACGCTGTTGAAGCTTCATTGAACATGAATTCGATTTCTAGGGCATCGTATGTAATTTACACCACCATGGTTAGCAAACTGTTGGTGGCTGCAACTGAGTTAATTATGTTTTCCCTTCATAATTATTTGCTGCCCAGAACTTCATGGTTTTTCTATGTCGTGTACGCTATATTTTGATCTCATATTTACCATATTAAAAAATAAATTTACTTGTATTCCCGATTCACATTCAATCCAGATCTCCATTTACCAATTTAACACAAACTGAGATATACGGCCAAGAGAAGTTCTATCGTGTACCAGGATTGGATTCCTTTACAAAAGAACCGCTAAACGGTAAGACTATTCTGCAGTTAGCCACGAATATAGAAAGGTGTCGTGTACAAGACAGGATGTGTCTACTCTGTCTAAAGCATCTGATAGCACTCCACGTTTAGTAGTTCACATAGCTAACTAATTTTTGCGTCTTTTTCTATTAGTGTTTAGCGTCCTCTTCCACTGATGGTGATATTGCAGACAAGTTGCCTTATTCTATTATGCGTATAACACACGCAGGGGTCTTTCTTGCCGAAGGAAACCGAGGTAACCGGAGTAAACCCACAAGGTTGAGAAGGCACCCCTATCTCCAAGCCACATACGCTCGCAACAGGGATCGAAGCCACGACCACAAGCCAGAGGTGACACTCTGGACCACTAGACGAACTGTACCTTCATCATTAAAGTACCTAAGAGACTAGAGTCTATGTCGCCACAGCACACACACACACATACAAATCAAAGTATGGGTGTTAAAACAACTTTTTTCAATACAGAATATGTGCCATCCCTCACAAAGTGCCACCCAGGGTACACCTATATCGACACCCTTTCTACGCCACCGACCTTTCTATCTGAATACTGCTTTTAAGCCTTTAGTAATGATTGTGTACTTGTTTTGAATATTGACAAAACCTGTTTTTAAAAACATAATGCGTTATAATTGTTGATGTAGAGAGATGCGAAAAGTTAGTAGAATACAAAGTATTAATAAAGTTTTTTTTTTTATATCAACACAGAAACCGTGTGTTCTATACAAGATAGAGATGCGTGTAGGTTTATGTGTATACCATCACCAAATGGGGCTCGGTGTATTTGTCCTGATAGTACAAGATATAACAGAGGTAGATGTAGGAGGAGATTTCATATTAATTACAAGAAAACAAGTAAGTATATGTCAATGTCATCACAACAAGAATACTAGTAACTGTTTTACGTTACATGTGTATGTCCTGAATTGATAAAACACCATAAAACCACGGCTTCGGGCTACCAGATACTAACGATCGTTAGGGGTCTCATTTGAGGAAGGGTGAGAAGATCGAGTTGCAATATTATCTGGCAATTGTACTGTTCAAACGCGTTGGCCGGTGGTCCTTTGCTCGTTGGACTAGTTTCTTCGTGTTCTTACTGTCATCCGTATGATAGTGTTATGTCCATGTTAACTCACGGTCTCCTTTTGAACCAGAGTATAATCAATTTTGTAATTTTTGTCATTAATTTCGCTATTGAATCATAGGTATCGTCATTTTCGTCGGCGATGAATTCGGGTGCCATCGATGCTAAATGACAAAACATATCAATTATATTTCAGAGTTTTGTTTTACTCCAAACGTTGAAAATGGTAAACTGGTCGGCAATGAACCGGATGTTTACGTTCCTATTGGATACAGATTACAATTTTCATGTAACCCTGGATACCGAGTAGAATGGCGGAAAACCATTCAAAACAATAAAAATGGATACATCTTATGCAATATCGGTGGCAACTGGAATAGAAATCCAGCTTGTTTATGGGGTATGGTGAATATATAGGGTCATTATACTTAGTATCAACCTTGTATATGTAACAAATGGCATGGTCTTATGCCTTTTTAAATTAATGTTAAGATTCGCTTTTGATGGCGGTTAGATATATTCTTTGTCGCTGTCAGGATACTCCGTAACTAACTAAATTATATTTGGGCACACTTGCTGGCGTTTAGACTTGGGTATATTCTATAGGGGTTGTTTAGTAGCAACTGCTGTGCTAACATTTACGTGCTATATTTTCAGCTCTGCCGTACACTATCCATGGTGACAATAGATACGGATACGCCATCCTTCATGAATCTACACAGTTTTTAGTGCCATCAATGGTTCATCTGGTTAATGTCATTTGTATAGGGGGTGGTGGAGGTGGCTTTGATTCCAATAACAAAGAATTTAAAAATATAGAAAAGGCTGGAGATGGACAAGACTCTAAGTTTGGCGACGTTTTAATTTCTATGGGTGGTGAAGGTGGATCTCTATCAACAGGTATTTAAATGTGCCAACCATTTTTTGTTTACTGGTGCTTTGTTACAGGCTTATTTGAAAGAGTGTGAACATACCATTACCTCAATTCCAATTTAGCATAACAAGAAACACAGCTGACTTAAATTTAATGACTCTCATTGTAATACTTTTAGAGAGAGAGAGAAATGGGGTTTAACGTCAACTCGATACAAACTAGGTCATTTCGGGACTAACATATGGTTCAATGTTATTTCAATAATTGGCTTACGCGAAGGGGTCTTTATCAGTGGGAGAAAACTGGAGGACCCGGAGAAAACCCATGAGGTTGGATAGGCGACCCTACTCCTTGTCACGTACCACGCCAATTGACTCAATGACAGACCTTATGATACAACGCGGACGCGCTAACCATTCCGCCACCCAACCCCACACTCGATTTAGATATTAAAACAACAATCTATATATGATATTACGATATATATTTTATAGGTGGAAAGGGTGGCATAGGAACAGTGTTGTTTGGTGGTAATGGAGGAGATACTAATCTATGTCATCATGGCGGAGCAGCAGGTCAAATGACAGAACCAAGAACGTGTTACCAACCATCAACATTTTGTATGTTTTGTGGTGCCGGGGGTCGAAAATCCTCGTGTCCTCTTTGTTCGGGAAAGGTTACCGGTGGTTGCTCTGGTCCACTCAGTCCTTCCGATGGCAGCACCGAAGGTTCTCATTATGGTGGTGGAGCAAGTGGTGGTAGTGGAGGAGGTGGGGGCGGTGCAGGGTTTTCAAGAATGAATGTTGATGTGACGCCAGGTGAAATGCTCACGGTTGTAGTGGGTAAAGGTGGCGCCCCGTCTTTTGCTCCACCGGGGGACGGTATAGTGGTTATATGTTGGGGCGGAACAATTGAAGATTTCTTGGAAGTAAATGTTTATGACTCTTTAGTGAAAAATATATTATGCTAGTTATCTGAATCTGAAATATAAACATTTTAAAATCATCAGAAGTCTTTGGTGTTGATTTGATTTGATAAATTGTTTTGTGAGACGGTTATTGTTCGTTAGGACACCCACCTTTCTTTGCATTTTTTTGCCCCCATTTAAGCCGTTTATTGAAATCGGTCTATTGGTTATTACTGTGGGATCTTTTCTCTCGACGGTCGTCTCTATTAAGGCTGAGATAAGCATTGATAATAATCTTTGGTTTATGGAAATATGCTTTAAACGGCTGATCTGTATTGGAGATGGTATTGTTTGGTAGCAGTGGACTTTCGCTGCCGTCTGAGATCTTCACAGGTTTAAAAGTTGTATATTCATCTATACTGCTGCAAGCAGAGTACGGGTCTTTTGGGGCGATTTCTCTTTTTCTGCTGGCCACCATCTTGTGTTTTATACCATGACGACTAAGCCTTTCGTGATTTTACAAGTAGTATATTCGTCCATATTGTACGCGGTGAATATGTCCATGTTATTCATACTATGACCATTCATTTTGCTCTTTTTGCTGGTTCTAGTCTTTTCTTTGGGTCCAATCATTGATCTGGAGAACTGGCCAGTGAGATGGTTCGGAGTCCTTTATCAACCTGGGGTCGGTTGCTCAAAACTCAGTTATTTCAACGATGCGTTAAATTCTAATGGATCGTTATCTTGTTAACGTGTCGTTTGAAAGTCAGTTTCATTGTCCGTTAGCTAACTGACTGATTAATGTTAATCCAAGAGAAAACTGTTTGGTCATTGGTTGAAATTCAATGTGCAGCCATCAATCGATCACCAGCAGCGTAATTGACTAGTTTAGGCCAGTAGACGACACCTAATAATGTCACCAGAAGAAACATTTTGCTCCAGGATAAGGAACTGTAAAAGATTTTTGCTTTGATTAATAGAAATATATCTTCTGAATAAAAATATCGATAGTTCTTACCCCGAAGTATTCTTATATAGCGATCAGAAACTGGTGGACTAGTTACAATACATCCAATGCGTGCAGACACTGGTTTACTGTACGGAAACATTTTAAGATAAATAATATCCTACAACGCGAGTTCTCTGGGTCTGCCGAGTTTAATAAGAATTAAACAATTTTATCTCGTGTACATTTGTAGCTGGAGAATTATAGTTTAAATCATAAAAAGAGGGTGCTGCTGAGTTTCAGCTGATTCACTTCAGCCGTAAGTTTTTCAACTCCGTCTAAAGTCAACCATTCTGTGGCGCATGTTCTAAATTTATCCCATCTGACTTTGGTAAAAGTTTGTGCCCCTCCCACTGATATAGATTTGACGTGAATAATACATTCTCTGCACATTTGTTTTTTTTTTACTTGTTTTTCTTTGGCTTTGCCAATGTTTTCATTAATTTTTCTTTGGCTTTGCCCATGTTTCTTCAACTGAAACAGCGTATAATTGGTCGAATCACGTCACATGACCTTGAAAGTCTAGAAAAAAAAAAAAAAAAAAAAAAAGCAGCACACAGCTAAATCTATTTGTTAAAGGGACAATAACACTCTTGCTGGCTTGAAAGCTCCAGAAAATAAATAATATCTCTATCTAAGTACTAGATGTTTAAGTGTCCTACCTGTTGTGTAAATTATCCATTACATCCTATTTTACTTGTCCAGAGGGTTCGAAAATATTTTTAAATCGAAGTTTCATTTGAAAAGGTTTACGTTAGACGTTTCAAACCATTATGTTGAATTTTTCAAAATTTTTAAATAAGGTGTGTTAAGATGAAATTTGTATCATCAATTAATTGACATATTCTAAAATAGTACAATTTGTTGACCAGAATAAAGATTGGGACATATTATTCAGTTACAACAAGAGCGGTATTGAGCCTTTAAGGGCAGCTCAATGTTTGTCAAGGTCGCTGAGATATAAATAAAGTTCAAAAAGTTCTAATTTACACATAACTTTTGGAAATTTGACTGGATTTTTTGTCGTACTAATTTAAATAATAATACATATAAACTTCATATAGATCGGATGATAACTTTTTTTCTTTGCGCGTCACAAGGTTCGATAAAGTAAAACAACGGTCATAATCCTAAAACTAATGAATGGTAATTGCTGAAATTCAACAGGATTCTTCCATTCACTAATTTAATTAATGCATATAAATTTCATACAGATCGGATGATAACTTTTGTCATTAGAGCGTTCACATGGTTCAACAAAGTGATACAAGGGCCATAACTCTAGACGTAATTAACAGAATTTCAATAGACTTCTTCTTTTCACTAATTTAAATGATGCATATAAATTTCATACAGATCAAACGATAAATTTACTCGTTCAAACGTTCACCAGGTTCAACAAGAGAGAGAGAGAGTGAGGGAGAGAGAGGGAGAGAAAGAGAGAGAGAGTTTAACGTCCACTCGACTCAAACTAGGTCATCATTTCGGGACTAACATGGTTTAATTTTATTTCAATAATTCGCTTGCGCGTAGGGGTCTTTAGCAGTGGGAGGACACCGGGGGTTCAACAAAGTTAAACAAGGGCCATAACTCGAGAAGCAATTTAACGGAAATTGCTGAAATTCAATAGACTTCTTTGTTTCACTCATTTTGAATACTAATAAGTTGATAACTTTAGTCGGCGCGGCGAGTTCACAAGGTTCAACAAAGAGAACCAGGGTCACAAGTCTAGAAGTAATTAACGGAAATTGTTGAAATTTGATAGGCTTCTTCGTTTCACTAATTTCAATGGTGCAGATGAATTTCATACATATCGGATGATAACGTTTGTCGTTAGAACGTTCACAAGGTGCAACAAAGTGAAACAAGAGCCATAACTCCATAAGAAATTAACGGAAATTAAATAGGCTTCTTCATCTCACAAATTTACACAACATATATCATTTTCAAAACAATCTGATGATCAATGTATTCTGTACGGTGTTCACAAGAAATTGTGGACGGGGGCGAAGGCAACATATATTTCCATGTAGGCGTATAAAAAGTTTGCTTTAAATACCTCTCGTTTTTTTTATACTTTCGATGGCCTACACTACGTAAAGATCTGACCAGTTATAGTGGAAGGTCGCGTCTGGTGTTATACTAGAGGCTTTTGACCTTATGACGTGAGACATTGATTAATCAGCGTTGACTTGTCTAGTGGTTTATCCAAAATTCGGTGCACGTAACGCCAAAAACTCGCCGTAATAGACCGTTTCTTTTTCTAAACCTGTGTTTCACAACCTTTTTTGTCAACGACACACCTTGGAACATGTGAAAAAATAGCAGCACACCTGGCTAAATATATATGAAAAATATTTGAATTTACAAAATAAAAACATGGAAAGTCATAGACGGTATACATGTAATTTGTAGAGGCTACCTAAGTTCTGTAAAAGATGCTCTAGTTAATGCATTGAAGTCGTGAGCTAGTACCAGTGACAACAAGAACTAGGCTAACAAGAATTATATCTGGTAAATTAAAATCGGGCAATGACATCATAGTCTGCTAATCCAAATATGGTAATCCCATGCTTTAGACACGCGGGCAACTGTCCTCCTTGTGCCCATATTAGTACAATGGGTTTAAAGCCAGGGTAGCGTCTGTGCAGCTGACCAATCCGATAAAGGAAGTACGCGAATATCGAAATGAACCAAGATCTTTGAGTTATTAACATGTACATCAAGTTTCATCAATATTGTGAGCACTAGAGAATTCGCAAGTTAAAAATGCGATTTTTCGAACAATCGGGGACCATAATCCAGGAAGTTACGTTCAAATATGCTCGATTATCAAAAGGAACCAAGATCTTTTTGTGTGTAACGGCGATATAATATTCACATTTTTTTTTTGTTTTGTTTTGAAATCGGATAAAAATTGTGACCTCTACAAGGACCACAAGTTAAAACAGGGGCGCAGATCGCCAAAAATTAGTGGTGGGGACAGTCCATGCGCGGGCGACTATTGGTTAAGAGGAGGGTTCGGGGGTCTTCCCCCGATATTTTTTTTAAAACTAGGCGCTCTAAAACGCACTCTGTGGGTATTTTCAGCATCATTTTCTGGCAAACAATTCTAATTCCTGAGGCAGCAAATGATACGAAATCTAATCCAAAGACAAATCTTCAAGCCACCGTTTACGATTTATTCTCGCATGTATACTACGCTACAAGAAGTAGAAATTTTTTACACTACTGAGATTCCAGCTCCGCCTCCCTTCCCAGTAGTGTTCGAAGTGTTTAATATATTTAAAACTAAAGCACAGTACACTTTAATTATATCCATTCTGCCCGTTTCTTTTCCCTTTTGTCTTCCTTCTGGCCGGCCCATGACGGGTTTTAAAAATCTTTTCCGATAAATTTCCCAAATTTCTAAACCATCTTCAAAACAGCAAAAAAACTTCACTTACTTGTAATAATAAGTACATGAATCTTGGCCCAGCTTACTGTACTCCAAAAAATAGAGGGTTCGAGTCTTAAATTTTAGATTTAATTGCCCACAGAGAGAGATAGAAACCAGTCTTTAAAAATACGTTTATTTAGTATGGCAGCAAATCTAGCAATGAACGGATCCCCTGATATACAAACTAAATCCTTTAGTTAGGTGATTTATCATCCAGTATACCAGATAACCAGCGGCTGCCAGGCAGGATACGCCCACATTTTCGAGAGATGGATAGAGAACAAGCTAACAAGAAAGTGATTTTTCCTACAATCAAAGGCCATAATTCAGGAAATTACAATTCGATATGCGTGAATATCGAAAGGAACCGAGATCTTTGGGTTATAAAATTACATTTCAAGTTTCAACAAAATCGGATAAAAATTGTGACCTCTATACCATATACCATATTTTTACGCTATTTGAGAACCAGGGGCGGCCATTTTGTTTGTCATTTTTGGGCCGATTTTCACGAAATTCGAACTTAGCCGTCCTTAGGGTGTAACGGTGATATAATAATACGTTTTTTTAAATCGGATAAAAATTATGACCTGTATAGGGTCCACAAGCTAAAAACACGATTTTGCGTACAACCAGGGGCCATAATTCAGGAAGTTACGGTCCGATATGCGCGAATATCGAACGGAACCAAGATCTTTGGGTTATAAACTTACATTTCAAGTTTCAACAAAATCGGAAAAACATTGTTACCTCTATAGTGTCCACAACCTTGATATACCATATTTTTACGCTATTTGAGAACGAACGGCGGCCATTTTGTCTGTCAATTTTGGGCCAATTTTCACGAAATTCGAACTCAGCAGTCCTTAGGGTATAACGGTGATATAATAACACGTTTTTTTTAAATCGGATAAAAATTATGACCTCTATAGGGTCCACAAGCTAAAAACGCGATTTTTCGTACAATCAGGGGCCATAATTCAGGAAGTTACGGTCCGATATGCGCGAATATCAGAAGGAACCGAGATCGTTGGATTATCAACTTAGATTTCAAGTTTCAACAAAATCGGATAAAAATTGTGACCTCTATAGTGTCCACAACATTGATATACCATATTTTTACGCTATTTGAGAACGAACGGCGGCCATTTTGTCTGTCAATTTCGAACCGATTTTCATGAAATTCGAACTCAGCCACCCTTAGGGTGTAACGGTGATATAATTGAACGGTTTTTTAAATCGGATAAAAATGATGACCTCTATAGGGTCCACAAGCTAAAAACACGATTTTTGGTACAATCAGGGGGCATAATTCAGGAAGTTATGGTCCGATATCCTCGAATGTCGAAAGGAACTGAGATCTTTGTGTTATAAACTTACATTTCAAGTTTCAACAAAATCGGATAAAAATTGTGACCTCTATAGGGTCCACAACCTTGATATACCATATTTTTACGCTATTTGAGAACGAAGGGTGGCCATTTTGTCTGTCATTTTTGGTCCGATTTTCACGAAATTCGAAATCAGTCAACCTTGGGGTGTAACGGTGATATAATAATACGTTTTTTTAAATCGGATAAAAATTATGACCTCTATAGGATCCACAAGCTAAAAACGCGATTTTTCGTACAATCAGGGGCCATAATTCAGGAAGTTACGGTTCGATATGCGCGAATATCGAAAGGTACCGAGATCTTTGGGTTATAAACTTACATTTCAAGTTTCAACAAAATCGGATAAAAATTGTGACCTATATAGGGTCCACAACCTTGAAATACCCAATTTTTACGCTATTTGAGAATGAGAACAAAGGGCATCTATTTTGGGCCGATTTTCACGAAATTTAAACTCAGTCGTCATTTAGGGTCCACAAGCTAAATTCAGGAAGTTACGGTCAGATATGCGCGAATATCGAAAGGAACCGAGATCTTTGGGTTATAAACTTACATTTTAAGTTTCAACAAAATCGGATAAAAATTGTGACCTCTATAGGGTCCACAACCTTGATATACCATTTTTTTTAACGCTATTTGAGAACGAACGGCGGCCATATTGTGTAACGGTGATATAATTATACGGTTTTTTAAATCGGATAAAAATTATGACCTCTATAGGGTCCACAAGCTAAAAACACGATTTTTCGTACAATCAGGGGCCATAATTCAGGAAGTTACGCTCCGATATGCGTGAAGATTGAAAGGAACCGAGATCTTTGGGTTATAAACTTACATTTCTAGTTTTAAAAAAATCGGATAAAAATTGTGACCTCCATAGGGTCCACAACCTTGATATACCATATTTTTACGCTATTTGAGAACGAACGGCGGCCATTTTGTCTGTCAATTTTGGGCCGATTTTCACGAAATTCGAACTCAACCTTCCTTAGGGTGTAACGTGGATGTAATAATACGGTTTTTTTAAATCGGATAAAAATAATGACCTCTATAGGGTCCACAAGCTAAAAACGTGTTTTTTCGTACTTGTAAACAGGGGCTATAATCCACGAAGTTTCGATCCGATACATTCCAATATCGAAAGCAGCCGAGATCTTTGGGTTATAAACTTATATTTCAAGTTTCAACAAAATCGGATAAAAATTGTGACCTCTATAGGGTCCACAAGCTAAAAACGTGATTTTTCGTACAAACAGGGGCCATAATCCACGAAGTTTCGATCCGATACATTCCAATATCGAAAGCAGCCGAGATCTTTTGGAGATAACCCTATATTTCAAGTTTCGTCAAAATCGGATAAAGATTGTGACCTGTAGAGGGTCCACAAACAATTGTGGACGGACGGACGGACAGGGGCGACGGCATAATACGTCCACATGAAAATGTGGGCGTATAAAAATTGTGACCTCTATAGGGTCCACAAGCCAAAAACGTGATTTTTCGTTACAAACAGGGGCCATAATCCATGAAGTTTCGATCGATACATGCCAATATCGAAAGCAACCGAGATCTTTTGGAGATACACCTATATTTCAAGTTTCGTTGAAATCGGATAAGAATTGTGACCCGTAGAGTGTCCACAGGGGCGACGGCATAATACGTCCACATGAAAATGTGGGCGTATAAAAACGTGACTTTTCGTACAATCAGGGGTTATAATCCATTAAGTTATAGTCCGATACATGCCAATATCGAAATGAACCGAGATCATTGGGAGATAGACCTATAATTTAAGTTTGGTCAAAATCGGATAACAATTGTGACCTGTAGAGTATCCACAAATTGTGGACGGACAGGGGCGACGGAATAATACGTCCACATGAAAATGTGGGCGTATAAAAACACACAAGGCCTAAAATAAGTTAAATTCTTGTAGCACGGATTCTGTGTCCGGTGGATTAAGCTCCGGTTTCCCATCCTTATTTCAATACTTAAGATCACAGATAATATCGAAAATTAGTGAAAATTATGTCAAAAATAAAGTGAAAGTAGCACGGATTCTGTGTCCGGTAGATTAAGCTCCGGTTTCCCATCCTCACAGATAATACCGAAAATTATGTCAAAAATAAAGTGAAAGTGAAATGACGGTCAAGGACGCAGCGGATCAGATACCAAACCTACGGAAAACCTGACTAGTGAGCGGATGCGGCTGGCGCTCACTCGACTCATCCGAGGTAGTCCATCGGGCGCCAACTGATGTGATCTGCCCACCAAAAGAGGAAACACTCATTAGGGGTCAGGAGGCATCGCTACCTTACACTTTTACAGAGCCTTACGTCATTTCTTATTTTCGAAGCACAGATTTTTCATTTCGAAGCACGTTCGTGCTCCAAGGCACGTTATTTTAGGCCCTGAAAACACAGCTATGAACGTACAAGTAGACACCAGGGAATATTCAATTTGGGTCACGTGTTCTTCACATTTTCTTAGTGTGCCCTTCAAGATTACGCGTCACACTGGTCTAATCCATCACATAATCCAGAATGCGGGTTATATAAAACGAAATTTTGAACTATAAAAAATGAAACGAAATAGGACCTGTGTTTTAATCAGATTGATATTTGTAGGGAAATGCGAATTTTAAACATGTCAGCTCCTTGAGTATAATACTACAATTACAGCGTGGGGCATTGGCGTCTGGCAACATTCACTATTTGACAAAGGTTCTGTGCAAGCTCGGGGCCCGGTTTCACGAAATTTTAACTAACGATAAAATCCAAATTTTAGTAGATACGTCAATTTTGATTGGCTAAACGCTAAAATCAATCTAATATTATCCAATCAAATTATTAAATTTGGATTTTATCTTAGTTAAAATTTCGTGAAACAGGCCCCTGTACTAATGATATTGTACGGATCATTTAGTAGGCTAGATCTGAACACAAATCTAGGAACTATCCAAACACCGATTTCCATGAGCGTAGTTTGCAGATTTTGATGGTTTCAAAAATACTTTTTAATACATAGCCTTACTGATTATTTTTCAACCTTTATATGAAGCTCCTAGTTTGATGGTATTTTATTAAAATTATCCATACAAACACCTCTTATATTTGGCGTCTTCGATCAATCCTTGTTTCCAACAATGTTTCCGTCTTCATTAGCCCAGTATAGGCACAGAACAGTAGGACGTTAAACCCCATTTCATTTCATTTCATATCCAACAACGTTTTTCGGCATGACCATGTATTTGCTCAAGGGTTAATCCGACAAAACTAATTTTTACCAGACCAGAGTGACAAATCAGTATAGTTTTATTACATCAACACACTGACTTCAATATGCATTAACCTCTGGTATCCACAATATCATGGGTGGTGGTGGGGGGGGGGTGCATTTATTGGGTTGATAAACAACATTTAAAATGATTTATTTTACATTTATTTGTTTTTCCCTTTAGTTGGAGGTTTGGCTGCAGGTTCTTCTTTCTTGTCTTTAACACCAGTAGCTCTAGTATAGATAATCTGTGTATGATGTTTACATACTAGTCGAATAAGTTCTTAAAAAAAAAAAAACCCTGATAAGAATTTGTTATAAATTGAGAATTAAGCACATAAGATAGGTTTTTCGTAAACACTGGGAGCATGACAATTACCAGCGGACAACTATCTGTAAAGACAATTGTCGATCAGATTGTTTTTTGTATTTGTTATGTTCTTTTTATTACCATAATAAATTAATATTCTGTATTATAATCATACTATTCATACAATATAACATTAATAATTAACATACATAAATTAAGATTTACTGACCCGGGTCAATATTATGAGCAAAACCATGTAAATAGTCAACACATTGCGACTGTTGAAATTACAGACTATGTTCAGTACACACTCTATACAGTTTCAATTCTGTGTTGAACTTGTTCCAGCACTTCTTATCAAATTGTGCTCAAATATGGCTTATTTATTTGAAAACCATTTATCAATGTATTCAGTTGAAATGCTCTCTTGGGAGATAGACGATAAATATCAAAGTAACCTTTCAATTAACAGTTATGTTTTGATAACGATTACAATTACATGCACAGATACATGACAAGGTTTATTGATCATTAAATAAACTAACAAATAAAATGGCGGCAATTGTCCTGTTGGAAATTGTTCTCGTGGGCATTGTCCTAGATCTGAAATATTATGCCAGAAGCATATTACTTTCTATAAATTCATTTGGGCTTTTATGTAAATGAATGCCATTGGTGGGTTGTTTTTTTAAGCCTGTTCAGTTACATAGAATTGATAAGATTTATTACTTACTTTTCTTGTGTAATTCTCTGAGGGCTACCTTTGCTAGTGAACCTCTAATCTTCAATCTTTCAGAAACAACTGAAGGAGTAATCAGTTTGTAGCTTGGAACCTCTTTGTAAAGTTTATCGTAAGTGCCTTTATCAAACAAGACCAAATTGTTCAACTTATCTCGAACTTTTCCTTTCGACCACTTCTGCAATTTGCAAACCAAATTATTTAAATAGATAAGCGTCTTGGGTTGAGGGCAAAATTTCAGAATTGGACATATAAAGTGAAGTTAAGAGGACTAGTAGGACTCACTAGAATGTGATGTGTATGAATACTATTGGGGGCCCCCGAGCAATAACAGGAGGATTTTGTTGTAGTCCTTGGCCTATTTTTATGAATTTGGAAGAGGATGTAGAAGGAACAAGCCAACAGTGAGGTTGATGTCCCCCACCGAAATCCCAAAATAAATAGATGACACATTAATTAATTGCACATTTATCTTTTTCAAAAGTATCAAGCAATGAAATACCATAGCTCTACTTAGTTTTAGAGGGAAATGTTAATCATTGAACTCAGTCAAGACATTCACCTAATGAACATCTACATCAAGTTTCACCATTCTACCTCAATTAAAAGCAGAGTTATGTTCCAAAGTCTTGACAAATCAAATTGCTTCTTAGTCTAAGCAGAAAATTCTCATCATCAACCTTAGCCAAGAGTTAATGATATAATGAATATATATTCGCAGTTTCATCGCTCTCACTTAATTATAACCAGTTAGGACCCCTAAGCATCAACCAATCAAATTGCTTATCTCTGCTTGCTGTAAGCAGACAATGCTCATCTTGAAGTCCATCAAGGCATTCACATAATAAACGCCTACATCCAGTTTGAACATTCTACCTCAATTAGAGAGTTAATGTGTTCCAAAGTCTCAACCAATCAAATTGCTTATTGCTCTCCTTACCCTCAGAAGAAAATGTTCATTATCGAACTTAGTCATGGTATTGGTGTGATGAAACTATACACCAAGTTCCATCACTCTCGATTAGAATTAAAGTTATCATGTCCTAAAGCATCAACCAATGAAATTCCTTATATCTGCTTACCTTAGTCTTCAAACTCCATTAAGGCATTGACCCAATAAAAACCTACACAAGTTTGAAAATTCTAGCTCAATTACAAGGAGAGTTATTGTGCTCCAAAAACTGTGACTTGACAAAAATGCTATGGATGATTATATAAATAATCTAATGACCCTGGATATACAGGAGACTACTTTAAAGCTTGTCCAATTAACTTCATAAAGGACAAATGTGTATACAAATAAGAGCCAATGACAACATTATTTGAATTATACTGGTACATGTATTTTGCTCCCTGTCAATACAAACTAAGAAAAGGCATATTACCTTCTTCTTGGCCTTTCCTCCTCCCTCCTTCTTGGCTTTGGGGGCAGATGATTTCTTGGCCCCAGCCTTGGGGTCTTGTTTTTTAGCTCCCTGAAAATAAAAATAAGAATTTCACTACTAAGTGTTGCAACTGTGTTCCCTGACCATGTGATTGATTATTCAGTATTATTTCTATAGTAGGGGTTTCAGGTCAAAGTTTTAAATGACAGAAAAATATCTTTTAAAAATATTGTGAAAATATACATAAATGCTACCCTCAAAAATTTATTTCATCAAAATATTCTAATTAGATCCAAAGTTATGGAATTTATTTCATCAAAATATTCTAATTAGATCCAAAGTTATGGAATTTTAAAATCTGAGATCGACGTCAATAATGTAATCAAAATACTCTTTACAGTCAATGCTTGCCAGGGCACCAAACCAAGTGCTTTTCAGTCATATCTGAATAATGTCATAGGCAGTATTTTTCCCCTTCAGAATCGCTAGTAACAATTTTAAAGCTGAAATCTGCGCGTTCTAGTCAGCTAAGATTTATAAAAATCATAATTTGAATGATAATGTCAAATATTTATAATCTGAATGATACCATAAAAGATAGGTTGCCGGGCAACGAAACATACGCCCACAGCAGCTAAATCGTCCGACAAGGGTTGTCGCATATTTATTCCTTTGTAGGTCATTGGGGGCCTTTACAGATCTGATTATAAATTTTGTCGTTTGAGGGTTTACATGGTTCTACAAACTGAAACAAGGGTCTCAACTAGGGAAGTAATCTACAGAAATTGTTGAAATTTGACAGGCTTTTTCGTTTTACTAATTTAAATAATGCATATAAATTTCATACAGTTCACATGATCACTTTTGTCATTCAAAAGTTCACAATCGCCATAACTCTAGAAATTATTGACAGAAATTGCTGAAATTCAATAGACCTCTGTTTCACAAATTTAAATGATGCATATAAATTTCATACATATCGGATGATAACTCATCAATCTAGCCAAAGTGAAACTAGGGCCATAACTTATAGAAGTAATTATTTTAAATTGCTGAAATTCAATAGGCTTCGTGGTTTCACTAATTTAAATAATGCATATAAATTTCACAAAGATCCGATGATAACTTTAGGCGTTGGAGCGTTCACAAGGTTAAATAAAGTGATAAGAGCCATAATTCTAGACGTAATAAACGGAAATTGCTGAAATTCAATAAGATTGTTCTTTTTACTAACTTAAATGGCACATATAAATTTCATACAGATCGGCAGTTAACTTTAGAGGTTACAGCGTTCACAAAGTGCAACAAGGGCCATAACTCTAGAAGTAATAAACGAAAATTGCTGAAATTCAATAGGATTCTTCTCTTCGACTAATTTAAATGACACATGTAAATTTCATACAGATCAGCAGAGCATTCCCATGGTGCAACAAAGTGAAACAAGGGCCATAACTCTAGAAGTAATTGATGGAAATTGCTGAACTTCAATAGGTTTCTTCGTTTCACTAATTTAAATCATGCATATATCAATTTCACAAATTGGGCAAATATCGAAAGGAACCAAGATCTGTATGTTATAAACATACATTTCAAGTTTAAACCAAATCGGATTAAAATTGTGACCTCTACAGTGTTCACAAGCTAAATACATGATTTTTCATACAATCAGGGGCCATAATCCATGAAGTTACAGTCCAATACATCCCAATATCGAAAGGAATCGATATCTTAGGGTGATATTGATAAACTTATATTTCAAGTTTCATTGAAATCGGATAAAAATTGTGACCTGTAGAGTGTTCACAAACAATTGTGGATGGACGGACAGGGGCGACGACAATAAACGTCCACATGAAAATATGGGAGTACAAAAAATCGAATAAAAATTGTGACCTCTAGAGGGTTACCACCTTTGTATTATATACTTATACACAATTTGCATACAAAGAGCGGCCATTTTGTCAAGCAGTTTCATTTCGATTGTGAAATTGTGTAAACCAGCATCTAGTTTAATCTTTTTGTTAAGCTGTAGTGATAAAAACATTGTACCTAAGGGTTTTCGTCTTAAATCACCGATTAGTTCCTCCAAAGCCAATCAAATACCTAAATGTGCAAGCCAACGATTAGTAAAAGAACGAATATCTCATCATAGGAAAGTAAAACATTCACTGAAAATTACTGAAACTGGATGTTAAATAAACTATTAGAGACTTTAACACCCTCGGATTATACAAACTTTATCAAGTTAAATCAGAAGGCGATAGATAAACTTAAGTTAGAAACTAAACAGAGACAAAGAAAGAAGTTTAACCATCTTCAAGTCAAATCAGAAGGCGATAGATAAACTTAAGTTAGAAACTAAACAGAGACAAAGAAAGAAGTTTAACCATCTTCAAGTTGAGGAGAGCAAAACAGGTAAAACCAAAGCTTCAGATAAAAGCAAGAAAGAATACTTAAAGAAAACAGTTATCAACCTCTCCTCCCACACGCTTACAGATGACCAGATAAACCTATTGAAAGGACTTAAATTTATACCATCCAACAACAAACCACCAACTGAAACGTTCATTACCAATATAGAGAAAGGCCTTCAGCAACTAGCCCTGAATGGTAAAATAGATTATATTAGACACCAAATCAAGAAGATTCTAGAGAAACCAGCAGTAACCAAAGCTAAAGAGGAAACCAGTGCCATCAAAGAACTAAAGGAAAATAAAGAGATATCAATAGTTGCAGCTGATAAAGGTAAAGTTACTGTACTAATAGATACTTGTCACCTGAATGAACTAGTAAACAACAACTTATCAGACAGTTCAACCTACAAACAACTAAAAAAGGACCCTACAGCTAAACTTGATAGACAACTTAAATCCACATTAAAAACCCTCCGCGACAATAATGAAATAGATAAACAACTTTATGAGAAACTAAACATATCCCATCTGACGCCACCTTATGCTCGAGTACAGGTTAAAATTCACAAAGACCAAATCAAAATTAGACTGTTAACATGTTCTCGTGGATCAGTGTACTACAACACGGCACAGTATATTTCTAAACTATTATCACCCATTGCAACTAGTGCTAATTCCTATATTAAAGCGGAAATTGCAAATTACTAAGAAAGTCAAAACGTAATTATTTCTGTCTTTTGCTCAATAGGTTGTCAACTCACACTTATACGATCATAGGTGTCGTTCTCACACTTAAGATTCATTTACACAGGAAATAATAACACAATTACCTCCCTTGTTTCCTATTCTCCACCATGGAGTAGCGATATTCAAATGTTTGCAAATGAAGAGGAAAATGATATTTTTGCCAATTTCTCAGCTGGCAATAATGAATTATAGGATAAATAGGATTATTCTTTAACAAGGTAGGACTGTTTATGGATACCATCTATTTTCAGGCTTTATTTTAATAAATTTTAAAAATATAACATAAAAATTTGCAATTTCCGCTTTAAAGATTCAGCAGAATTCTGCCATAGACATAAACAAAATAATGTGAATGGCCAGTTAGTTATGTTTTTGATTTGTTTACGAATATACCTCGGGATGAAGCAGTAGAAGTGTTAAGGCAAAAAATTGAATCCATTTACCAAGAACTAACCACAAACCTCAAAATCGACAGTATCATTCAACTAATAGACAGGGCTTGCCACAAGACGCGAGCAACTGCTCTCGCTGGCGTAAATCTACATTTACGCGAGCAGTTCATTGCTCGCGCAAAATTTTAAGAAAACCCTGTAAAAATAATCAAAATATTGACAAGTTTATTGCCGAAACTAACCCAACAATGTCAATAACGTCATAAATTCGTCTGTCAAACTGAGATTCACCCAGCTGCAAGCGGCATTTCCTCCTGAAATTTGATTGACTAATAAAGTTACTCGCAACTTGTGTTACTAAAAATACACTTTAGACCTGAACGTCATGACTGGTTTTCCTACGAACACCAGTAACAAACACGTGATAATCGAGTCTAAAAGTAAAGAATGTTTACATCCGGCATTTGGCATTCACGCTAAATGAACACGTTTCAAACTAATATTTATCGGTATTTCCTATTTTATCAAAACTTCGGTTTTTATTCCATTGTGCAGTCGTATAATTTTCAATCTAAGCGTAATAATGGCCAAAGGCAACCTGATTGCCCTATCCACATTTATTTCGTGGGGTGAAGAAATCCATACGGAAATTGGTTTTAATAAAGAAGAGTACGTATGACTGTCAAAAACAGAAAGCGATGGTCACACATGTTTACTGCAAACTTTGTGCCAGGAATAGCAATTTTCTTATGATTTTAAATTGAAACAATGTTACAAAATGTGTGCTCACGCAAAATGTTTTTATTGCTCGCCCAAACCTAAATTTGCGTGAGCAGTCAACTGCTCGCCATCAATTTATTCGTGGCCAGCCCTGAATAGAGCAATGCATCAATTCTTCATATTTTTCTTGGCAATCCGGTCTTTATGAACAGGTGCATGGATTACCCATGGGATCCCCCATAAGTCCTCTCATAACAGAAGTGTATATGGCCCATTTTGAAGAATCTGTCCTAAAGTCTACACCTATCCCACCTAGAACATGGATTATGATGTATTTGCCATTTTGGAACCAGGTCAGAATCCACATCACCTTCTCGAACACCTCAATATCGTCCACCCTCGATTGAAATTTACTGTAGAATTAGTTAAAAACAACCAATTACCTTTCCTAGATGTATTAGTAATCAACTCTGCAGATAGCCTAAAAACCACTGTTTACCGCAAGCCAACCCACACGGACCAATATATACATAATAGTTCTAACCATCCAACCAAAGTCAAAACAGGAATCATAAGTACATTAACCAGACGCGCAAAATTAGTATGTCATGATGATCTACTCGACGCTGAACTACAGCATATCAACCACGTCCTTACAGAATACAACAACTACCCTGTCAACACAGTTAAAACAACCATGAAGAAAACTCTGACGCATACTTGCAAACCACCCGATGCCATTACAAAAAGTCGTCCGATATTCATCACCATCCCATATTATTACTTCTCTCATCTTGTTTATTCTTAATTAATGATTAATCTGTAACATGGTTTCCAATTGTTAACTATATATTGCACCACATTTTTGTTATATATCATTATTTGTTTGATAACGATATCTGTATGTGCATCGAAACGTAGCATGTTAATAAATTCAGAAGTGTTTTTAATTTGTGAAATCTACCTCTATATGTCTTATAAGGATTATACCTAAATGCATTTTAGACCATTGGTACGGAACTGACTTACTGTTTGAACCGTGGTAAATTATAAACGGATTTCTTCGATTGTGAACAAATTACTGAATAAATGTTGTTAAAAACTTGCCTATGTGTTTGAAATCGCTTCCCGATGAATAAAATCCATGGCACAATTAAATTTCCCAACGAAAAAAATAGTTCTCTTGAAAAGTCAATGTTTTTGCTTGTATTTTCGACAGTCTCCATCACAACATTGCACTTGTCACGTGGTGAGTTAATCCATCGTATAATATTTTGAAGGGGGGTAAAGATTGACAAATTTTAACAATCATGTGTGCTGCTATCAAAACAGCACACAACCTTTTCGATCATTTGAGTTGAGGCAACAAGATTAGGAACTAAAGACAATATCAATTCGGAAACAATTGATTGTCCGTCTACTAAATTTTATTCACAATGAATATATCACTGATTACACGTATATATAATCATCGACCCATAATTGTAAATACCCTGTATATTATATATATTTCCATAAACTATATTAAATCCCTGCATGCCAATTATTAAAGGCAACTTTGTGGCTAACATTTACAAATAAACACACATAATTTTAATTGATCATATTTCATAACAGGGTTTAATCCCAATGCTCTGTGGTTATTAGTCCTTTACAAATTTGATGATTACCCGGTAACACCCCCCCCCCCACAAAAAAAACCCCAAAAAAGGTCACCGCTTGTTAATAATTTCCATATTTAATTCATGTCAATAATATTCCTGATTAAATTACTCTTTTTTCTTTATTCGACAAATACTGAAATCGAAACATTCTTGAAAAGAACAGTTCGGGGTGTCTAACTATCGTTTGCCGTCTTTATAAAAATGTATTTAAAACAAACAAAAAATCACTCGTCAAAAAGGGATCGCAGATTGCGTGTATTATTGTGTGTTAATTATGCAGACCATGGGAAAAACTTGTGAAAGTTTCGCGCCAAATTTAACCGTTTTCACTGCATCTGTGTAGCACACAATAACTCATATGGCATGGCACCTTTTACGGTAATAGAATTTAAAGCGTTGATTAGCTGAGGCATGATCGCGATCTACAAAATGCCATCAGGAAATAGTAAAGATATTTCAGGATGAGATTCAAGACCCGTAAATCGAATGTCGTTCTTTTTTTTTTTTACTGCACCTGTGTTCAAAAGAAATAATCCCACCCAACTCTCTAACCAAATAATTAATACAAGACGAAAACAAAATAACGGACTACGGGCGTATTTATGGTTGTAAACACCCAAACTAATAGGTCCGAGAGCAATAGTGTATTCATACACAAATTTGAATTGGCGGAAGAGAGCCAAATACCGTTACGATATAAACAAGTCTTGCTGCGACCCCCTTGTACGAAATGATCTATTCCGATAAGTGACGTAATTAGCTTCCATGTTTGTATTTCTCGATGTCCAAGTGTGTGATGAGTTCAATTTTACAACAGAGAACTTTTTTATTCGTTGGGATATTTAGTTGTGCAATGGATTTTATTTATGGTTGTAAACACCCAAACTCATAGGTCCGAGAGCAATAGTGTATTCATACACAAATTTGAATTGGCGGAAGAGAGCCAAATACCGTTACGATATAAACAAGTCTTGCTGCGACCCCCTTGTACGAAATGATCTATCCCGATAAGTGACGTAATTAGCTTCCATGTTTGTATTTCTCGATGTCCAAGTGTGTGATGAGTTCAATTTTACAAGAGAGAACTTTTTTTTTTTATTCGCTGGGATATTTACTATTTAGTTGTGCAATGGATTTTATTCAACGGGAGTTGATTTCAAACACACAGGTAAGTTTATAATAACCAAAGTTAAGTAGTTTGTTCATAATCAAAGAAATCCTTTATAAAATAGAAAGGTTCATACAGTAGTCAAATTCTGAAACTATACTGCCGATCTGACTTAGGCGAAAGAAAAAAGCTGGAATTAGATCAAATGGACCGAACATTTTGATCCGAGTTGAGCAAACAATTCTCAATAGTTTCTGTTCTCCAAAATACCTTAAAACTACTAATTTCAAGCGATTTAATTTATTGATACACATTGAGCCTTTGAGTATATTAAATGCCAAGGTCACAAATCAAATGCCAAGTTCAAGGCCAACCCACAAATAGATTTGGAAACGAATAATACGCAATAAACCCATTTACTTGACCTCTCTACGACTGTCTGACCATGTGCCAACATTGCTACAACGCATAAAAACTCTCCCCCGTTGATATTGTAACCGTTGGATCAACAGTTTTCAGCTTCGAAGCGTATTTTCTTACACCCTGCCCTTGGTGCCCGCACCGGAAATGTGCACTGCACGGGTGCAAACAATTTTAACTAAAATCTATTAAAATTGCATTTTAAGTTACAATCCATCTTCGTGAAACACATAAAATTTATTTTGATTTTAGTTAAAATCTATCTTAGTGACTTTACCTTAAGTTATTGTGAAACAGGGCCCAGACAAATAAAATGAAATTTTGAACTATAAAAAACGAAACGAAATAAGTTCTCTGTTTTAATCCGCTTGTACTACTTTTGACTTGGTGTAGTCGTCTATATTGTGAATAATTGTAACACTTACAATGCATAGCCTTGTGAAGGGAAAAGCAAGTTTTAAAATTCTCCAGCACCCCAAACCGTTTCTATCATTTTTTTTATTTCTTTTTTCACATATGTTATATGAAGTTAATTCTTTTTAATAATGAGCAGATGTCTGTATAAAAAACGCATGGTCTTGAACATGAGAACGGCGGCCATGTTGTAATTCAGGAAAGCTTCAGTATCAGACCACGTGGGAAATTTTAGTCTTTTTCAAAGTAAATAAGATTATGCAATCATTTAAAGTAGTGTTTGTAAAATAGCCAAATTGGTGTTTTAATGAAAAATCATTTATCATCTAGATTATATATCAAGAAATGAAATAATTAGTTGCAAATTACAACAGTAACAATAAACGCACCATACTCGGCTATGGAAAATGAAAAAGAGGCTTGGTACCGGAACATCCCCTACATCTTCGCAAAAATATTGTTGAGAAACATTAAGAAATTTTTATTCATAGAATTAATCCCAATTGTAGTATGAATCCAAAAAATGTTAAAGAAATGTTTTGAGTTGAAAATATTTTTCTAAATTAAAAAAAATTACATGAACAGTAATACATTGTTATTGTAATAAGCGACATGCGCAAAAGCGATGCGTGCTTAGTTTAAGATAGCTGAAAGTAAACAATTTTGGCTATCCAAAGTAAAGGAAACCGTCGAATTTATTTACAGTCATAATTGTTTTATGAAAGAAATTCACAACTGTTAATATGAGATGTCAACACTCAAATTGATTCCTGAAATTGTTACTGTGCATGTAAAGACGAGAATGTGTGATCTTTAAAAGAGCAAGAGGTTAATTTCACTTTCATTTGGATGTCAGCTGTTTCGTAACCTGGCTGTTTCGTACTTTTTGTTCATTCGGACTTCACATGAGTCATGTCGTACTTCACATGAGTCATGTCGTACTTCACTTCGTATCTCTTCGTACTTCACATAAGCTATTTCGTACTTCACTTCGTACCTCAAATGGATTCGTACCTTTTCCTATGTTGTTGAAATCAGTTAAAAGAAGGAAGTGGATAAACGACCGGATTCAATTGCTGACGAAAATTTACTACGAAACCGGATATCGTCTCTGATTGGCCTATTTTATCACGTGGTTATGAGCGGTCTTTTCGAATATGGCGGCCTCTACAGGCATCCTTGTTGGTGCTGAATTTACGACTCTAAATACACTTTTAGAGGCGATTAAACAATTTGAATTTAAGAATTAAGTGACATATTGGCGAAGAGATACGCGGACATTAGAAAATGCGAGGGTTAGGGTTAGAATCGAACCTATCGCGATAGAATAACCATGTGATGAAATTGGCCAATCAGAGACTATATCCAATTTCGTAGTAAATTTTTGTAAGGAACCGAATCCGGTCGTTTATCCACTTCCTTGAAAGAAATTGAAATAAAGGTGAAACGATTTCATCAAATCAAACGCCTATGCTAAATTTATAAAAGTGGCTGCCGAGATTAGTTTTTTATACGGCCACATTTTCATGTGGACGTATATTGTCGTCGCCCCTGTTCGTCCGTCCGGACGTCCGTCAGTCCACAATTGTTTGTGAACAGTCTACAGGTCACAATTTTTATCCGATTTCAATGAAACTTGAAATAAGGGTTAACACCCTAAGATCTCGGATCCTTTCGATATTGGCATGTATTGGACTGTAACTTCATGGATTATGGCCCCTGATTGTACGAAAAATCACGTTTTTAGCTTGTGAACACTGTAGAGGTCACAATTTCTATCTGATTTAGTTTTAACTTGAAATGTATGCTTATAACCCAAAGATCTAGGTTCCTTTCGATATTCGCGCATATCGGAACGTAACTGCCTGAATTATGGCCCCTGATTGTACGAAAAATTGCGTTTTTAGCTTGTGGACCCTATAGAGGTCATAATTTTTATCTGATTTAAAAAAACATATTATTATATCACCGTTACACCCTAAGGACAGCCGAGTTCGAATTTCGTGAAAATCGGCCCAAAACTGACAGACAAAATGGCCGCCCTTCGTTCTCAAATAGCGTAAAAATATGGTATGTCAAGGTTGTGGACCCTATAGAGGTCACAATTTTTATCCGATTTTGTTGAAACTTGAAATGTAAGTTTATAACACAAAGATCTCGGTTCCTTTTGATATTTGCGCATATCGAATTGTAATTTCCTGAATTATGGCCCTTGATTGTAGGAAAAATCATTTTCTTTTTAGCCTGTTCTCTATCTATCTCTCGAAAATGTGGGCGTATCCTGCCTGGCAGCCGCTGGTTTTCCTAAATGTGTTTGAAAGAAATTGAAATAAAGGTGAAACATAATTAAACGATTTGATCAAATCCAACGGCTGCGCTAAATTTATAAAAATGGCAGCTGAACGAGCATTAGCTACGATCGATGATGTCTATACTAAAGATTTAATAACAAAAAGCGAATTTTATGCATTGATAATTACATGAATATGAAACATTTAAATCGTATACCACAGCCTGTTAAAATATTAAAAAGAACAATTTTTTTTATAAAAATTTAAATAGCTGCCGAATGAGAATTAGCTACATGATATAATAACAAAAAGCGAATTGTATGCATTGAAAAAAAAAGAAATTTCCATATTGATATTACACAGCCTGCCCAATAGTAGTAATTCACACACCAAGGATATATTTAAACTAAAATTGCTTCAGCATTTTACAAAATTTACATCGGTTACGATCGAAAGCCATATTCATGCAGTTGGGTTTCAATAACAGAATTAGCCCGTGATATAACCGTATATACGGTCCATGATATAACAGATCAAAGAAACACGTAGGCCCATCTTCACACGTAGGCACCTTTTGGAAATGAAATGAAATGAAATGGAGTTTTAACGTCCTACTGTTCTGCTCCTAACCTTGGCTAATGAAGACGGGCATATGCCATACAGTGTGCTATGAGGGAAATTTTGCCCGGACAGCGGCACTACGGCCTACTCTTATATCGAATTCCAACTGCCAAGGGATCTTTTACGTGCACGCCAATGTGTACACGGGACCTCGGTTTTTCGTCCCATCTGAACGACTAGACAGCTTTCCTTGTCAGCCCCTCCGTCCTGCATCACTGACAAGGGAGAATCACGCCGGAAAATCTGGATGAACTTTCTCGGCCAATGCAGGGATCGAACACCCGACCTCCAGGCTAGCGAGCTAGCGTCTTACCCACTTAGCCACATGATCCCCAGGCACCTTTTGGAGACTTGCTGTGTTCTTTTTTTTAGGCTCAAATAACCTTACCATATCAGAAAGTATGCAGGTCCACCTTACATTGAGTTAAATTGATTTAAGGTTTATTAGGTAATGAATAATACATTACATGTCGCATTTTTGAATTCTTAGTATATTCAATCGTTTTTAACCACTCTAACAACCACCAATCAATTATCGTCAATAATCACAAATCACAAGGTACAAATCAATTTGAGGTACAAATCACGTGTGTATTCTAATTCTCGTTCGGCAGCCATTTTATAAATTCAGGAAAAGGAACTAATCAATTTGAGGTACAAAATTCGTGCATATTTTAATTCTGGTTCGGCATATTCAATTTCTTTCAACTGATTTCAACAACATAGGAAAAGGAACGAATCAATTTGAGGTACGAAGTGAGGTACGAATGAATGAACTAAGTACGAAACAGCCATGTTACGAAACAGCCTGCACCCTTTCATTTCAATGAAGGATTTACGGTTATACAAACAGGGAATCATTAGACTAAAAATGTAATTTATTATTTTATATGCCCAGATTTAATATGACTAGTATCAATATACATGTAAGAGTATTTAGAGTACCCAAATGGTATTGTGTTCAAATTCAGACTTTGGTGTAATAAAGACTGGTCTCTGATCGGAGGATGTCCACTGACCATTCCTAACTGGGGTCCCTATATAGCTGCAATTTGCAAATTCTGCTCTTCCCCACCACTGTTCAGAGACCGTTCCTAAAGGAACTAGGATTGTTCATTGACACTAAGGAAGAAATGAAATAAAATGAAATAAAAAGAAATGGGGTTTAATGTCTTACTGTTCTGCTCTGACTGGGCTAATGAGGATGGGTATACACAATGCATTGTGCTATGAGGGAAATTTTGCCCAGACAGCGGCGCTACGGCCAACTCTTATGTCGAATTCCAACTGCCAATGGATCATTTACATGCACACCAATGCAGGGATCGAACACAGGACCTCCAGGTTAGCAAGCCAATGTCTTACTCACTTAGCCACTGTAGCTCCATCCTAAGGAACTTCAGCTCAGAACGTAGGTCTCCCCATCTCTGCCTGTACGTTTAGGAATGTTTTTAATGGCTTTTACTCTGAACTTCTTTACTTCTTTGCTTACACCGCTAGAGCTAGTATTTGTGCGATACAACACGCTGGTAAAAACAGGAACCCTTCTACCAAATAGATTGCAATAGATAACATACAAACTTAAGAATGTTGATTCTTTACAAGACGAAACGAAATTTAGGTAATCATTCCATGGCAATAGACAACGTACAAATTTAAGAACATTGGCGATTCAAAATTCTTTATATGTTTGTATTGTAATAAAATTAACTACTAATGTCTATTAAACATACATTATGCAAGAGCTATATCTGCCTATTACAGGTCTTTCTTTAGGCCTGAAATGTTATCTAAATTATTAATTAGACATTAATTAACTTATCCAGACCATAATCAACTCTCGATGTCATCGCAAGCCTGCAATGTTCATTGAATTAGGTTCCGATTTGCTGTTCGACTTCCATTCATGATTTAATCATGAAATGGATAATCGAGACTATGTTTTTTATCGTACCGACTTTAGAAATGATGATCGAAGCTATTCCGAAAATTCAATTGCTAAAATCTTGGTTCATAGTGGATCAACTTGACTGAAATTTTCAGCAAATTCCCTTTAAATTATCTAGTTTTTAACTATTATAGTGAGAACTGCCAGCTCTTTATCTAATCTCCCATAATGTATATTTAATGTAATTTCTAAATTAGAACAATATGTAATGTGCCCAAATATGGGCACTCCTACATTGGCAACCATCTTTATGACACCATTTGGTATCACCACTCTGTGTCAAATTAGTAAGTTAGTGCCAGATTGGAAACATTATGTTGATGTAAACGACTCAAGCTTTTAACTTGTGGTTCACCTAAAAGTGACAATTTTTATCCAATTTAAAAAAACATTTTAGTGTATCACTGTTACACCCTAATGATGGTTGAGTTCAAATTTTGTGAAAATCAGACCAAAACTGTCAGACAAAATGGCTGCCCCTTGTTAGCAAATAGTGTGAACTACTGTGAACATCTGGTATATATCAAGGTTGTGGACCTCCGGGGGGGTGGGGGGGGGGTGCGGGGTGGATGGCCAAATGGTTAGCACGTGCGCGCTGAATTATAAGGCCTGTCATTGAGTCAACTAGCGTGGTTTCGAATCCCCGGTTGTACGTGACAAGGAGTAGGGTCGCCTGTCCAACCTCATGGGTTTTCTCCAGGTCCTCCAGTTTCCTCCCACTGCTAAAGACCCCTACGCGTAAGCCAATTATTGAAATAAAATTAAACCATATGTTAGTCCCGCAAATGACCTAGTTTGTGTCGAATGGACGTTAAACCCTCCTCTCTCTCTCTCTCTCTTTCCCTATCTTGTGGACCTCCTAGAGGTCACAATTTTGATCCAATTTTGATGAAACTTGAAATGCATGTTTATAACCCAAAGATTTTGGTTCCTTTTGATATTCACGCATATCGGATCGTAACTTCCTGAATTATGACTCCTGATTGTACAAAAATCGTGTTTTTAGCTTGTGGTCCCTGTAGAGGTCACAATTTCTATCCAATTTAAAAAAAAACCATGTGAATATTACCATTACACACTAAGATCTTGGTTCCTTTTGATAATTGTGCATATCGGAATGTAACTTCCTGGATTATGGCTCATGATTGTTTGAAAAACCGCATTTTTAGCTTGCACAATTTTTTTTTTCAGATTTTAAAAACTGTTTAAATATATCACCATTCCACCATAATGAAGGTTGAATTCGAATTTCGGGAAAATCGTAATGAAACTGCCTGACAAATTGTGTGAATGTATGCAATATTTGCGCATTTGAGTCCAAAACTTTCTGGATTATGGCTCCTGATTGTACAAAAAATCGTTTTTGATTTTAGCTTGTTCTCTATTCATCTCTTGCAAAATGTGGGCGTATCCTGCCTGGCAGCCGCTGGTTATCCAATTTTGATGAAACATAAAACATATCTTTATATTCCAAAAATCTCAGTCCCTTTTGATATTTGCGCATTTCAGACCATAACTTTGTGGATTATGGCTGTTGATGGTACAAAAAATCGTTTTTGTTTTTAGCTTGTTCTCTATCCATCTCGTGCGAAATTTGGGCGTATCCTACATTTTGTACGACTTGTCATAAAGATGAGTTCGAATTTTGTGAAAATTGGCCCAAAATTGACAGACAAAATGGCCGCTCTGCGTTCTCAAATAGCGTAAAAATATGGTATATCAAGGTTGTAGACCCTATAGAGGTCACAATTTTTATCTGATTTTGTTGAAACTTGAAATGTAAGTTTATAACACAAAGATCTCGGTTCCTTTCGATATTTGCGCATATCGAATTGTAATTTCCTGAATTATGGCCCTTGATTGTAGGAAAAATCACTTTCTTTTTAGCTTGTTCTCTATCTATCTCTCGAAAATGTAGGCGTATCCTGCCTGGCAGCCGCTGGTATCCGATTTTGACAAAACTTGAAATATAGCACAGATCTCGGTTTCTTTCGATATTGGCATGTATCAGCCCATAACTTCATGGACTGGCCCATGATTGGTCGAAAAATCCCGTTTTGATGAAACTCGAAATGCATGTTTATAACCCAAAGATTTTGGTTCCTTTCGATATTTGTGCATATCGGACCCTAACTTCCTGAATTATGGCCCCTGATTGTATAAAAAAATCACGTTTTTAGCTTGTTGACCCTCTAGAGGTCACAATTTTTATCTGATTTTAAAAATCGTTTAAATGTATCCCCGACAAAATGGCCGCCCCTTGTATGCAAATAGTATAAAAGTATGTACAGTAGAATCTGTATGAGCAGCCACTCCTATTCAGCGACATCTCCTTGTAAGCGGTCACGATAAATTCCCCCCGTAAAAATTCTGTTGTTTCATCTCTTTATTCAACGGTCACTCCTCTAACGCGGCCAGCGGTCACTATTTTACTAATAAATTCAACAAAACATAGCCCATTCAACGGCCATTGTTGAATGATACCATCTTGTCGTTCTTTGCAACATCCCCCGCTAATCCTGTGAGTAGTAGTTAATTAACTGGACCCCCACTGATCAGGTAAAAAGAAATGTAAAAATAACAATCAACCCAGGATTATCTACTAATTAATCTTTTGTTTTATTAAACGACTAACTTGATCATTGTTTTCATGCGTAACGACACATTATTTGATACTGATTGAATAAAATAAAAGTACTGAGTTTTGTCACGATCATCTAGTATCTCTTTTCCATTGCCACTTTATTGTTAAACAGACGTTTTAGCGCCTCCTATAACATTACATACAGAGTTACACCCCCTGTAAATAGGTGATAAAATGGTAGACAGTAGTATTGAAGGTTGGTACAAAATGACAAGTTTACAGAAGTTTTGTCCGAGATTTGAGTAAAGAATTTTCGTTTGGCGCAAGATTCAGCAACAGTCAAATTTTCCGCTTCCACTGAATTTAAGCGAAATATTTAATTTATGTCAGCACAAAAAGCACCAAGATTTTATTAAGAGGCCACTCCCGTTAAGTTATGTCAGAGATTTGAGTAAAGAATTTTCGTTTGCCGCAAGATTCAGCGAAGGTCAAATTTACCGCTTCCAATGCATCCAAACGTAATATTTAATTTATGTCAGCACAAAAAGCACCAAGATTTTATTAAGAGGCCGCTCCCTTTAAGCGGTCAGTTGTGAAAATTCACTTGGGTGGCTGCTTAATGCAAATTCTACTGTAATAGCAAGGTTGTGGACTCTCTAGAACAGTGGTTCTCAACCTTGGAAAACATGAAAAAATAGCGGCACACCTGGCTAAATATAAAAAATATTTGAATTCTGCAAATAAAAACATGGCTATTCATAGACGGTATACACCCTAGACAGACTAGTCATAGACACACAGAATGACTGAAGGTAAACTAAATAAAGATAAACACAGCTATGAACTTATCAGTAGACACCAGTGAATACGCAATTGGGATCACATGATTTTTCACATTTTCTTAGTGTGCCGTTCACATTTCGCGGCACACTTAGGAAGATATCGCGACACACTGGTTGAGAATCACTTCTAGAATGTCACAATTTTGAACCGATTTTGTTGAAACTTAAAATATATCTTTATATGCAGTCTTTTCCTGTTCATATTTAGTGTGTGCCTAAGCATATTTTAAAATGCCTTTCCTTGACATTATTTGTTTTTAATTTTCCAAAAATTTTGTTTTATCTTTACAGTGAGAAAAATAGTCAACTTCTGGAAATTGAAGCGGTTATCAAAATGTCAGATACATTTCAAAATATTATTTCCAACTTGGTATGGGGTTTCAGAGATAGCATCTTTGGAATGTTTAAAGCATTCAAGCTTGATTCTGAAATCCCGACAGAACATAGTTCGAGAACTGTTGAACCTATGACAGCACTTGCTAAACGGAGAGCAGAAAAATCTAAACATAAAGATACAGTAAAAGAAAGGTTTCTGTATTTTATTAATCTTCAAATATTAATAGTCATTGAGTTTTGTTAGTTTTTGGACAGTTTTCATGTGGACATATATTGTTGTCGCCCAAGTCCCTCTATCTGTTCACAGTTAGTTTGTGGACACTCTACAGGTCACAATTTTTATCTGATTTTGATGAAACTTGAAATAAAGATTTATCTCCGAAGGATCTTGGTTCCTTTTGATATTGGCATGTATCGGACCGTACCCTCATTGATTATTATAGTCACTTATATTACGAAATAATCACAGTTTTAGATTGTGGACACTCTTAGAGGCCACAATTTTTTATCCGATTTTGATGAAACTGAAATTGTATGTTTACAACCCAAAGATCTTGGTTCCTTTTGATATTCTCACATATCAGATCGTAACCTCGTCAATTTTAGACCCTGCTGATTGTACGAAAAATTGCGTTTTAAAAAAACGTTCAAATATATCACCTGTCACACCCTAATGAAGGTTGAGTTTGAATTTCGTGAAAATTGGACCGAAACTACTCGACAAAATTGTCGCTTTTCACATCGTAAATTTGGTCGTCGCTGAAATTTGTTATTGGAACGAAAATTCTTTGACTCAAATCTCTGATATAAATTCTATAATCGTGTCTATTTCTACCATTTATTACTGACTACCTTTAAATATTCGATAATATTTATCCATTTTTATACGCCCACATTTTCATGTGGACTTATATTGTCGTCGCCCCTGTACAGGTCACAATTTTTATTCGATTTTGACGAAACTTAAAATATAGGTGTATCTCCCAAATATCTTAGTTTCTCTACTATTGGCATAAAATGGACCATAACTTCATGGATTATGGCCCCCGATTGTACGAAATATCATGTTTTTAGCTTGTGAACACCTACAGGTCACAATTTTCATCTGATTTTGATGGAACTTGAAAAGCATGTTTATAACCAAAGGATCTTGGTTCCTTTCGATATTCGTGCATATCGGATCGTAACTTTCTGAATTATGGCCCTTGATTTTACGAAAAATCACATTTTTAGCTTGTGATCCCTCTAGTGTCATGATATTTATCCAATTTAAAAAAACATTTGAATATATCACCATTACACCCTTATGATGGTTGAGTTCGAATTTCATACAAATCGGACCAAAACTGCCGGACAAAATGGCCGTCCTCGTACGCAAATATTCTAAATACACAGTTTTTATACGCCCACATTGAAATGTGGTCGTATATTGTCGTCGCCCCCGTCCGTCCGTCCGGCGTCCACAATTGCTTGTGGACGCTCTAGAGGCTAAAGTTAATATCCGATTGACTTTAAATTTATACACAGTGTTTAAGGTCATGAGACGAAGAAGCCTATTGATTTTCAGCGATTTCTGATAATTACTGCCAGAGTTATGGCTCTTGATCACTTAAAAAAAATCTTGTGGACTCTCTAGAGGCCAAAGTTAATATCCTATTGACTTTAAATTTATACACAGTGCTTAAGTTCAGGAGACGAAGAAGCCTATTGCTTTTCAGTGATTTTCGATAACTACTGCCAGAGTTATGGCCCTTGATCACTTCAAAAAAACTTGTGGATGCTCTATAGGCTAAAGTTAATATCTGATTGACTTTAAATTTATACACAGTGTTTGACTTTGAGGTCACGAGGCGAAGAATCCTATTGATTTTCAAAGATTTCTGATAATTACTGCCAAAGTTATGGCCCTTGATCACTTTGAAAAATCTTGTGGGCACTCTAGAGGCCAAAGTTAATATCCGATTGACTGCAGATTGATACACAGAGTTTAAGATCTTGAGACGAACAAGTATATTGATTTTCAATGAATTTTTAAATTCATGAGGCTGACCTTAAAAATATCTTTGTTTCACCAAACCCGACCCACAATCGAGGAGAAGGGTCGGTAGGTCGGGGTTTTTTTCAGATTTTTTTTTAAGAGCTAATTTGACAGCTTGATAATTTTCCGGGTGCAAACATTTGTCTTCTTTTATTGTCAAACAAATCAATGACATCGGGATTTTTCGTGATGCACGACTCGCACATGAATTGCCAGAAACTGACGTTTGAAACTCCCTCAACACTTTTTTTAACGATCGTGCGGGTTGTGCCTTCATTATTCTCGAAAACGGATATTCAATATCCGTTTTCGAGAAAAATAGAGGCACAATCATTTCGTGGGAATGGACGTGCTTTCGTCTACAACCATTTTGTTGAGAAGCGAAACCTATGATGCTTTCGTCTTGATCAACCAGTTTCAATAATGAATCAAACCATAGCCATAGTAAAGGGAAATAACTCTCGTGATATATTTCAGGTTGACACACAAAATAAAATAAAAAGATCGCGGAAAAGTGCAATAAAATAAGTTAAGTCGGGGGTGGTTTTAGTTAGTCGGTCGCGTTAGGCGAAACAAAGATATTTTTAAGGTCAGCCTGATACAGTATTAAAAGTTTTGTATACAAAACGTTAGCATGGGGCAGAACTTTATAAAAACCAAACAAATTCTAATGGTTTTCTGAGTTGTTGCTCTTAATCAGATTTTAGTGTATTATAAATGTTTCATTACCGAAAAAAGTAAAAATATGCGACAACTCTTGTTGACTGCCCGGACGATTTAGCTGCTGTGGGCGTATGTTTCGTTGCCTGGCAACCTATCTTTCAAGGTTGTGGAACCTCTAGAGGACACAATTTAGATCCAATTTTCATGAAACTTTAAATATAACTTTATATCACAAAGATCTTGTTTCTTGTTGAAAGAAGTCACAATAATTATCTGATTTATCGGATCATAACTTCCTGAATTATGGCCCTTGATCGTACTAAAAATAGTAGAGGTCACAATTCTTATCTGATTGAAAAAAACGTTTGAATATATCACTGTTAAACCCTAATAATGGCTGAGTTTGAATTTCGTGAAAATCGGACCAAAACTGCCGGACAAAATGGCCGCCCCTCGTATGAAAATAGTGTAAATATATGGTATCAAGGTTGTGGACCCTCTAGAAGCCACAATGTTGATCCGATATTGATGAAACTTGAAATATGTCTTTATAACCCAAAGATCTTGGTTTCTGTCGATATTCGCGCACATTAGATTGTAACTTCCTGAATTACAGCCCTTGATTTTACGAAAAATAGCTTTTTGTTTAGCTTGTTCTCTATCCATCTCTTGCAAAATGTGGGCGTATCCTGCCTGGCAGCCGCTGGATTTCCATAAGTATACAGTGTTTTTGTGAAATTTTATCCAATTTTAAAAAAACCTCTAAATATATCATCATTGCACTGAAACCGTCCAACAAAATGGCTGCTCCCCATATGCAAATACTGTAGAAGTATGTAATACTAAGGTTGTGGACCCGCTAAACGTCACAATTTTTATCTGAAACTTAAAACATATGTTTATATCCCAAAGATCTGCGTTCTTTTTGATACTTGAGTGTATAGGACCGTAACTTCCTGGATTATGGACCCCGATTGTACGAAAAATCACTTTTTTTTTAGCTGTCCATCTCTGTGGGTGTATCTTGCATGACAACCGATTGTTAGTTTGGGTACAAGGTAAAAAAGCACACAAGTACTGAAAAGTATGATTATCCCACCATCGTCCTAAAAACTAAATAATACTGTCCAATTTTGGTTGCTTTTATAAACATATTATTCCAGAGAAATAGAGATTTTTTATTCATTATTTTTCATTTTTTTTTTTTTTAGCAATGAACCAAAAGTAACTCAGAGGATTGCTTTATGTTGTGCATGGAATGGTGGTGTTTGTTTGGTATGTTGGATATGAATTCTAAATCGTTTCCAGGGATTGCTCATATTCAGTGGGCTATTAAATTGGGTGGTGTGGTTCTTCTTTTCCACTCTTTGATACACAACAATGCTATGCAATGGATTTTATTATCACAGTCACACTCCTAGCTTCAAGTATCAGTAACTGTTATGTGATGGTTTGGTTCTTAGAAGTGTAATAACTTTAAAGCGCGTAATAACCTTAAAATCAACGATAATGGGTCAAAAAGTACATGTTAATGTAATATGAATGTTTGAAAGTGATTTATATTCAATTTTAATATGCCCACATTTTCATGTGAACGTATTATGCTGTCGCCCCCTTCCGTCCGTCCGTGTGGACGTCTGTCCGTCCACGATTTTGACGAAACTTGAAATTTCGATTTATCTTTAAAAGATCTCGTTTCCTTCCAATATTGGCATTTATCAGATCGAAACTTCATGGATTATGGCCCCTGATTGTACGAAAAATCACGTTTTTAGCTTGGTAAACTCTAGAGGTCACAATTTTCATCCGATTTTGATGAAACTTGAAATGCATGTTTATGACCCAAAGATCTTGGTTCCTTTTGATATTCGGGCATATCGGATTGTAACTTCCTGAATTATGGCCCCGGATTGTATGAAAAATCATGTTTTTAGCTTGTGGTCCCTCTAGAGGTCACAATTATTATTCGATTTAAAGAGACGTTCAAATATATCACTGTTACACCGTAATGTTTATGGAGTTTGAATTTTGTGAAAATCGGCCAAAACTGTCAGACAAAATGGTCGACCCTTGTACGCAAATAGTGTATAGCATTTGATATATCAAGCTTGTGGACCCTCTAGAGGCCACAATTTTGATCCAATTTTGATGAGAGTTGAAATACATGTTTATAACCCAAAGATTGTGGTTCCTTTTGATATTTGCGCGTATTGGATCGTAACTTCCTGAATTATGGCCCTTGAATGTACAAAAAATCATGTTTTTAGCTTGCCGTCCATGTAGAGGTCACAATTTTTATCCGATTTAACAAAACATGGAAATATATTACCATTATACACTAAGATCTTGGTTTCTTTTTGATAAACGCGTATATCCGATCGTAACTTCCTGGATTAAGGCTCCTAATTGTTCGAAAAAAAGCATTTTTAGCTTGAGGATTCTCTAGAGGTCACAATTTTTTTTTCCGATTTTAAAAAACGTTTAAATATTCGGGAAAATCGAAATAAAACTGCCCAACAAAATGGCCGCTCTTTGTACGCAAATTGTGTAAAAGTATGTAAAAGAGGTCACAATTTTTATCAGATTCTGATGAAACTTAAAACATATCTCAAAGATCTCAGTCCTTTTTGATATTTGCGCATTTCAGACCATAACTTTCTGGATTATTGCCCCTAATTGTACAAAAAATCCCATTTGTTTTTAGCTTGTTCTCTATCCATCTCTTGCAAAATGTGGGCATATACTGCCTGGCAGCCGCTGGTTTGTATTTTTCAGATGAGTATATTTATATTTAATTATTGTGTTTTACCAATTATATTTTGGGTGACAGAAATTGTCTCAGGTAAATAAGATTTGTGTTAATTAATTCACACACCATAAATTGGTAGGGGGGTTGGATGGCCGAATGATTAGCATGTGCGGCATGCGCGCTGTATCATATGGTTTGTCATTGAGTCAACTGGCAGGAGTTTCGATTCCCCGGTTGTACGTGACAAGGAGTAGGGTCGCCTGTCCAACCTCGTGGGTTTTCTCCAGGTCTTCCAGTTTGCTTCCATTGCTAAATACCCCTACGTGCATGCGAATTATTGAAATAAAATTGAACCATGTGTTGGTCCCGAAATGACCTAGTTTGTGTCGAGTGGACGTTAAACCCATTTCTCTCTCTCTCCATAAATTGGTGAGTGGGGTATAATATGGTTGCGAGTGAAAGGGAAATTAGAAGAAACAGTAGATAAATATGTAGGTATGTAGGTGCTACTGTACTAATAAGTACCTGTAATATAAAAGTTAAAGATTTCATAGCACCATCTTTATTGATTTAGAATTGCCAATCAATGACTAAATGATCATTTCTATTCATGACCATCAAGATCAAGATGGTATAAAACCTACGTTGTTTGTGTTAATTGTTCTAATTGGTATCTAAAGAACACTTTTGACTATTTTGAGCCCTTATTTTTGTTAGATTTAGATGAAGAAAATGATTAACTGCTCTCTGGTGCACTGCAGCGTTAAGTCATTTCACTGTTAATGTTTGAAAATCAAACCGTGATCAGTTCTATATTTTGATATATTTTTAAGGATATTTTGCTTATATCTTACCCCTTAGTCTGTTTACATAAGAAAGTATGATGGAGTATAATAAATGTTTCTTCTGATATTTTGACAGCCAGAGCCGGCAGTTCTAACACAGTATGGTCTTGGCTGTCCGTCTTGCTATCTGCAACATTTGACGCTCTTTGGATTCTACCGTTATTTGTTCTTTCAAAAATAGTCAACTGTTTCTGGTTTCAGGTATAGTATGTCTTGTAAACTCATGACTTTTTTGTGGGAGGGGTAGGTAATACTGAACTGCAAAATTTGTCATAAAAATCATATTTCGTGACAGGACCCATTTAATGCATTCATTCACAGACATCAGTCTTCTATATTTGTATCAAAGGGAGGTAACATATCATATGGTTCACTAATGTACCGGTAATATTAATATCACCTGGCCGTATAATTGTAGAGGAATGCACACTTTTAATAAACCTTTGGTCACTGATGTTTGATACAATTTGCAAACGCCTTTTACGGTACAGTCTATATAGTGACCTTGCGTGAATATGTCTCAACAAATTATGAATGAAATTGGTGTAAAATACGTATTACAAACACTAGCTTTGAGTACATACCACTTTTATATTATGGTCATATTGTGTGCTTCTCACGCTTCAAATGCTGGGAGAAAAAAAATAATAAATATATAATTGTATCTTCTTTGAGCGGCATTTAGCAGTTGACATGTGTAATAAATACTGTATATAATTGTAGAGGGATGCACACTTCTAATAAACAGGTCGTCACTGTGACGTCACTGACGTTTGGGATAATTGTAAAAGCATATTAAGGGATGGTCTATTTTTGTGACATTGCATGAAAATGTCTTGGATTATGAATTAAATTGGTGTAAAATGTATATAGTAAACACTAGATTTGAGTACATACCACTTTTACATGGTCATTTTATGTGCTTGTTTTACCACAAATGCTGGGAAATAAATAACAAATATATTACCGTATTTAAAATGAAAAACTCTAAGGAAAGCAAATATCAATGACACAAGAAAATACTGTGTATTCTAATATAATATATGGGTTTTCTAATTCTAATAAAGGTATGGCAGTGAATGTTATGGCTTGCATAATCTAGTATTTCACATTATTTTTAGAGAAAATATTGTGAGGAACTGAGAAAGGAATTTCAGGTGGAATAACCTCTCCATGGCAAGCAGTCTATGTGGATTATAAAATGTTTTCTTGTTTCGGTGTGAAATTGTGTTTTGATATTAAGTTTGGGCAAATTTTCCTTCATAGCTCACTGCATGGTGTATTTCCATTTTCTTAAGTCCAATGGCACTGAAAAATAGGTAGTTAAACTCTTGCCTCAACTGTCCCAGAACACCACTGTGTAATGTGATTGGTCCTTTGATAACTAACTATGACAGGTTAGTTACTAAGTGATGAAAAAATATATATCTTTTATTTAACATTTACTTTTATTTAGATACATGTAGGTTTTTAAAATATTAATTTATTAGTTCAGTTAGTGGTATGCAATTTTGACCCACAAACTCCACAAGAAAAATAGAATCTGACCGACTAAACCAGGTATTATTATTTGGGGTCTAATTTAATTTCTTGTTACAGTATTCATTATTTGATATAACATTATATTATAGGATATAGCAGATGCCGCTTATTTAAAAACAAGAGGTAAACCACAGTTACCTAGCATAAGTAGATTTATAGCTGATATGTCTTTTAGTTTATTATTACAAGCTCTATTCTTAATACAGGTAATATACTATATAATTATTATTTACCCTCCCCACTCACTACCAACAAAATATGTATCTTTGTTAACCCCTCCAATAATAGAATTTCTTACTTAAAATTCGTGCAAAACAAGCAGATCATTTTTCAAGAAACCTTCATGCAGTAGAATACAATTTTCCTGGAACTTGCTCTGTGAGTCATAAAAATTATTATTTTAATTTTTAATAATAATTTTTATGACCCACAGCATGGCTAATTCCATTTGATTCAGTGAACTTAAATTGCACATAGAGTGATCTCCCCCTTGACTATTATGCATTGCATATTAACTTGCTTATCAGTAAGTTATCTCCCCCTATTTGCATATATGCCAGCTACTTTCAAACAGATTCTGTCTCACAGTCCCATAAAAAAACCTCTTTGCAGGAATTATCAGTGAGATGAAAATCATCTGTGTAGCAGATTTCTTCAATCAGTAACAATAACTGATTCCTTTATTTGTGTCTCATCCAAATTCTTCAAATCTTTGTTGCGGATCAACTTAATGTAGCAAAGATCTCTATGTTAAGATTATACTTGGATTGTAGGTAAGATTAGATAAAGAACTGACAGTTCTTGCTATAAGTTAAAAGAAAAATAGATCATGTAAACAAAATATGCTGAAAATTTCAGTCAAATTGTTTCACTCTGAACCAAGCGATTCCATTTGAGGCTAGTCTCGGTCGTCATTATCTGACCAACAATGCACAGTACTGCATAGTACTGCATAATTAATATGAACAATGCACTAACTGTTCACGTATACAACACCATCTTAACGAAAAAGATTTGATGCCGATGGCAGTGGGTTGGAAAGTCTCAAACCTGATCTTAAAGATGAATTATGTAAAGAGCTTGTTTCTGGCTTCAATCATATATGGGTCATTCTCAAAATATGGCCACATTTAGACCTTGAAAAATTAAAAAATACAAAGCGTCTAAATGAATAATTTTTGTATTCTATGCAATGCTCAGCACATTGAGAAGTGCTGTTATGATGATTTGCACACAGTAAGTAAATAAGATATTTTGATAATAAGGTTTTTGATTTATCCACTTGAAAAAAATGTGGTGTAACGAGCATAAATGTTTATATTTTCACACTTTTAAGTAAATAAAAAAAAGATTTTCCACTGTTGTCATTATCCATATTTTTTCTCTTTTTAATTGTGAGTTTACTTATTTAATTATTTTCACAATTTAATCCTGGGTTTGTCAAAGATGTATGTTACACCACTGATATGTGTGTTACACCAATGACAAGATCTGTTACACCACTGATTCTCTTGCAAATTACTGAAGATAAAAGCCAAATAAACTGTCATATAAAGATTAAAATGATTTAGCTGTCATTATTAAAGAACAGGTTTTTAAACATTTGGATTTGCAAAACAAATCATCTGAATATGAAACAATATCATGTAAAACTACAAAGAATACTGTTACACCAATGACTTATTTTGTTACACCACTGATTTTTCTTTACATAGATACAAATAAAATGCCTCTTTTGCTAATCATCAAAATCAAAAAGGCTTAATAGTAAAGTCTGAACATGAATTTTTGAAAAAGTTTAAACAAATATTAACTTTTATGAAATGAAAATATTGTGGTAATGTTGTACACCAATTTGTCAATGGCGTAACATATCTAGCAAACTTTAGCACATAAAATGTTGCAACATTACTTTTATAGTATGTCTCTTTAATAAAAGAATAAAATAAACAATCTGAAAGAAAATACTCTTGATAGATGTATTGCAAACCAATTCAGTTTTGCAAAAAAATTGCCTAAAAGGAAAGTTTTGTCAGTGGTGTAACAAAACCTGTCAATGGTGTAACATTTTTAGTGTTACACCACTGACTGTTACACCACTGACCCATTCATACTTTTATGAACATTTATAACAATAAATGCTCCCTAAATACTGACCACATGGCATAAAGGATGATGTTTCAATAGTTTTAATTTGCTTAAAATAAAAAATGTTTTAAATTAGTTCATATGAACATGTAATCAGTGTTACACCACTGACACAATAAAAAGTTATGGTGAATAATAGACTTATCTAATTGCGTGGAACTTCTACAGGAATTCAAATTTGACCTCCTCAAAACTTCAGCCATGAGCAGGAAGTCATCAGCAAAAGGAGCAGTCAGTATTTCATATAATTTTCAAGGGAGATAATTATTTAATGTCATAATTTTAGAGTTCGTTACACCACTGACCGTGAAATTTTGGACAGTCATTAATTGTGTGATTAATATTGGATTTTCATAATTTTTCCTAGTATATCTGTTAGTTATGTGTTTGTTATACTCGTATTTTATTTCAAATGCCAAAAAAATATTAAAAAGGTCTTGGAATTAACATTTTATTGTTCTGCAAAGTCATTTCCGTGTATACTGACGGTGGTTTTTCTCCTGAACTGATGATAAAAAACCCTATTTTCTCAAAAAATTGTTTACACATATACCATTTTACAACTTTAAGAGAAACAAAATATCTTCTTCTTAATGATATGACCTTTGAAAAAATGTTAAAATAAATATTTTCAGAGCTTTGTGCTACTGACTGAAATTTGGGCAAATTTTGAGAATGACCCATATAAATTATTATTTAGACAATTATTCACATAACAAGCCCACAATCAACTCTCTATGTAGTGGATTAGACAATGTCTGCCATATCTTCATTAAACGTTGAAATGGAAAAAAAAGACTTTATTTTGTTAAGTAAATTGGTACTTGACAATCAGGACTGTTTATGCTATTTCTTGTCAACACTTCAAACATTCAGAATGTTGTTCAGAATGTTTGTAATTTGACAGAAATTTTCAATATATTCATTTTTTATTATCTATTTTAAAAGAATTACTGCAAGAACAACCAGCTCTTTATCTAACTCTTACATAATGGAGCTTTAATGGTAGAAATAAAACTTTCAGTTTGTTTAACAATGGGGATACTCGATTGTATGTCCCAAAATGGAATTCTCACAATCTCAAAAATAACGACAATCGAGAGGAAAAGGGGATTTGGGGCTACAACACATGCACTGACTGGATAAAAAGTATTTCAACCAACCATCAAACAAAATTACATCACAATTCCACTCGCACTACCTCAGTTTTCTGGACTGATAGAACTGTCACAGGACTGAATTCCGTGTCACTCGTTTGCAATTCCATCAATTTGGAATGTTTAGGACTGACAATCAATTCCAGTTCAATTACTAAATGCCATCGACACAATTTGTCCTACAAGGGTTTGTATTGTTTGGTCCTCTATTGTTCATACATATACAACACCTCTAGGATCACTTAGTTCTATGCTGATGTTTACAGTTGTATATTCCCACAAAGTTTTTTTTTTATTCAAAATCAGATTAATAATTATGCCACTTTTTGCCAAAATCTGTCAACACTGCTTGTAATGCTTGTCAGCAGGATAGAGGCCGAGGTTTATGATAAGACGAGGGCCCTATTTCTTTTCGTCAAACCTTTCTGAAAACCTTCAGAACGTGTTAGAACCTACAGTTTTTGACAGATTTTTATCAAATTTGGTCTAAAGCATTGAGGTCATGAGAGGTTAAACCCATATGTTATTCAGCGTTGCACACCCTTCTTTTCCAGAGGTATGCCTCCTTTTCCGAATAGATTGTGAAAGTGATAGAGACTTAAAACCTTTTTTTGTTGACAAAGCTGCTGTGTGGACATATTCCACGCTTTGTGTGTCCATCTTGATGGCTGTTATGGATGTTAGGAAGGATTTTGTCAGAATAATCAGATCCTATTTTTCTCAAAATCCTGAGATGGGGTTTTCTCATAGATTAAATCCTCAACACTTCATTTATGTTCTCTTGATGTGGTAATAAAATCACCAGGGAACTCATTACAAAACGATAAACAAACTGTGCAGTTTTACAAGAGGAATTAGCCTTGAGTAAGATTGACAACTAAAATCACTAAAAAGAGTTTGTGTGTTTTGGGGTTTTTTTTGGCTGAGGGTTTGTATTTTATGATGTTTTGCATAGATAAATAAAATAAGTAATTCTATCACTATTTCTGTTATTTCCAGGCCATGTTGATCAAATTATTACCGATATGGGGAATTGGACATCTGATTAGTCTTGTACATATCTGTTTACTTTATGCTTTATATGCATTTGAATACAAGTGGTTCAATATGGGTAAATTTTAGCTTTTAAAGTTTTGTATTTACTGTAATTTCAAAAATATACACAAATGTTATACACATTTAGATTATAGTCTGATGTCATTTAAGAAAAAATCTGTATGCAGAGGGGATGACTATTTAGTGTCGATTATGAGGATGATAGATCTATGAAATTGATTTATTTCCAAAATGTCAAAATTGCTACACCCTCAGTGTACCACCCCGATATTTTATAACATAACTAAGTACATTCGGAAATTCTAGAGATAAGTGAATTGTTAGTAAAGCTTTATAGAATTTCTATCCGGTTATTGGATTTGCAAGTCAGAATACATATCCTGTATAGCTCAACAATACACATTTATGTCAACCCACTTCAGGATGCATTTCTTTTTTGTCTTATGGTACATAATAACCAGTTAGTTAACTATATGTAATTTATTGTCCTCCGCCTTTCGAAGAAAGCAGGGAACTATTAAAATGGGTCTGTTTGTCCATCTGTCTATCACACTTTTTGGGACACAATAACTCTTCTTCTATTTGAGCTAGAATGTTCAAACTTGGTGTAGGTGTTCATTAGGTGAATGCCTTGATGGAGTTTGAAGATCAGCATTTACTGCTGAGGGTAAGCAGAGGTAAACAGTTTGATTGGTTGATGCTTTAGGACACGATAACTGGTTCGAATTAAGGAAGAGTGATGAAACTAGTTTCATTATATCATTATTTTGACTAAGTTTAATAATGAGCATTTTCTGCTCAGAGTAAGCAGAGCGATAAGTAATTTGATCGGTTGAGACTTCGGAGCTCGATAACTTTGATTCTAATTGAGTGAGAGTGGTGAAACGCCGTGTATAGTTTCATTACATCAATACCTTGAGTAAGTTCAATGATGATCATTTTCTGCTTTGGCTAAGTTGATACTTCAGTGTGATTGGTCGAGACTTTTGAACACAATAACTCTTCTTCTATTTGAAGTAGAATGTTCATACTTGGTGTAAGTGTTTATTACAGGTGACAGTGTTCAATCATGCACATTTTCCACTAATTTGATTGGTTGAAACTGTGGTTCTAACATACCAACACCTTGACTAAGTTTGATAATGAGAATTTTCTGCTTAGGCTAAGTAGCGATAAGCAATTTGATTGGTCAAGACTTTGGAACATAACAACTCTGATTTTATTTGCGGTAGAATGTTTAAACTTGACTGAGCTGAGTTTGATCGTGAACATTTTCTGCTCGGACCAAGATTAGATAATCAGTTTGAATGCTCGCTACTTTTCAAAAAGATAAATGTACAATTAATTAGTATGTGTCATCTATTTATTTTGGGATATTGACGGAGGACATCAGCCTCATTGTTGGCTTGTTTTTTCTGTTTAGGTCTAGAAGTGCACACAAGATTAGCTCACATTGAAACCAATTGGGCATACTTTTGTGGATTTGGTTTGCCTTTAGCTGTAGTAACATCCCTCCCATCTTCTAATTTTCAAAGGTAAGCAACTTGATCAATATTAATACTAATATGGAAGTCAATGAAATGGAGAGATGTCTGTATACATTATAACATAGTGTATACTGTATAGTGATGTGTGATATAAAGTATATTAGAGATTCTATGTGTAATGTATATTGTGTATGTGTGTGTGAAATGAATGAATGTGGATGAACATTTAGACAAAGAGACATAGTATGTACATATATTTAAATGAGTCATTTCAGTCGGTCTGGTCGATTTGTCCAGTTGAATGGCCTGGCGGTGCAACTCTTCCTTGAGGCTTGTTGGTGAGTGTAGGGCCTGGTCCAATCTTCCTTCCATTTCTTCTTCTAGTACAGTATGGTAGTTGATTTCATCTTTACTTCTGTTTGTTCGTTCGTTCCTTTTGTTATGCGCCCACATTTTCATGTGGATGTATATTGTCTTCGCCCCTGTCCGTCCGTCCGTCCACAATTGTTTGTGGATTATGGCCCCTGATTGTACGAAAAATCATGTTTTTAGCTTGTGAACACTGTAGAGGTCACAATTTTTATCCGATTTATTTTAAACTTGAAATGTATGATTATAACCCAAATATCTTAGTTCCTTTCGATATTCGCGCATATCGGACCGTAACTTCCTGAATTATGGCCCCTGATTGTACGAAAAATCGCGTTTTTAGCTTGTGGACCCTATAGAGGTCATAATTTTTATCCGATTTAAAAAAACGTATTAATATATCACCGTTCAACCCTAAGGACGGCTGAGTTCGAATTTCGTGAAAATCGGCCCAAAACTGACAGACAAAATGGCCACCATTCGTTCTAAAATAGCGTAAAAATATGGTATATCAAGGTTGTGGGCCCTATAGAGGTCACAATTTTTATCTGATTTTGTTGAAACTTGAAATGTAAGTTTATATCCCAAAAATCTCGGTTCCTTTCGATATTTGCGCATATCAGACCGTAACTTCCTGAATTATGGCCCCTGATTGTACGAAAAATCACGTTTTTAGCTTGTTGACCCTATAGAGGTCATAATTATTATCTGATTTAAAAAAACCTATAATTATAACACTGTTACACCCTAAAGACGGTTGAGTTCGAATTTCGTGAAAATCGGCCCAAAACTGACAGACAAAATGGCCGCCCTTCGTTCTGAAATAGCGTAAAAATATGGTATATCAAGGTTGTGGACCCTATAGAGGTCACAATTTTAATCCTATTTTGATGAAACTTGAAATGTAAGTTTATAACCCAAAGATCTTGGTTCCTTTCGATATTCGCGCATATCGGAGCTTAACTTCCTGAATTATGGCCCCTGATCGTACGAAAAATTGCGATTTTAGCTTGTGGACCCCATAGAGGTCATAATTTTTATCCGATATAAAAAACGTATTATTATATCACCGTTACACCCTAAGGACGACTGAGTTCGAATTTCGTGCAAATCAGCCCAAAACTGACAGACAAAATGGCTGCCCCTCGTTCTCAAATAGCGTAAAAATATGGTATATCAAGGTTGTGGACCCTATAGAGGTCACAATTTTTATCCGATTGTGTTGAAACTTGAAATATAAGTTTATAACCCAAAGATTGCAGTTCCTTTCGATATTCGCGCATATCAGACCGTAACTTCCTGAATTATGGCCCCTGATTGTACAAAAAAATCACTTTCTTTTTAGCTTGTTCTCTCTTCATCTCTCGAAAATGTGGGCGTATCCTGCCTGGCAGCCGCTGGTTATTATCCCGTGCCGAACGAAGTTAGGGAGGGATATTGAAACGGGGTTCGTCCGTCCGTCCGATTTCGTTTCCGGAGCATATCTCATAAACTGTTCAAGATATCTTTCTGAAACTTTGCACACACATCAACCTATTACAGTAGTTGTGCCTTTTGCTATTTAGGAATTTTTGGGATTTATATTTTTTGTGTTTCCATGAAAACAAATTTGACTTAGTTTTTGGTGTATAATTTTGTTTCTGGAGCATATCTCATAAACCATTTAAGATATCTTTTTGAAACTTTGTACAGACATCTACCCATTATAGTAGTTGTGCCTTTTGCTATTTAGGAATTTATGGGATTGATATTCTGTGTAATTCCATGGAAATTACATATTGTATTTTGTTATGTTCACTTTTTTGTATAATTGTTACTTGAATATCTATCTTTTGCCGCCTCATTGTTATGCTTTCATAATCCATTTTCTCATCAGTTTCTGGACATTCCTAAAGGAGAAGATATGTTTGTAGTAAATCATTTACTCATAAAACTCATTTAAATACACATTCAACTATTCATCATTAATTTTAAAAACCTTGCTTGTATACATGTACATTTATTACTGCTACAGAGAGGAAGAAACATGAATAAATGTGAGGATTGTACTAAATCATTTACATGCCAGCGTAAATGTCTGCAGTACAATCGTAATGATACATTGCATAAATTATAGGATATATGATTCCTGTTCTAGGTTATTTGGGTATTTGCAAATGTACTATTCTTTCATTGATTGGCTCAAAACTTTGTAACAATACAAACAGCTACATGTATACATTAACAATAGCATAAAGAAGTTATTTTTCCTTATTTCTTCCAAACAAGTGCAAAGGCGCGGGATGTTGATGACTAGTCATCTTGTTGGTTCTCTGAAGGAAGAATCCAGCACCTGAAAAGAAAAGAGAGAGAAGAGAGTGTATCTGGTCTTACGGTGGTTTTGTTTCATCTAGTAAAGCTTCCGAGGGGAGGATAGAGGAGGGAAAAAAAAAATTATGGCAATCTAAATGTACATTCGTATGGATGATCGTATATATATATATATATACTCTTCAAAAAAAGTAGGGGATATTGAAATGCAAATACCTATGCAGGTTGTTATATGATAAATAGTCATGGACACTAGACATGCTTTGAAAGTATGTTCACAGATGAATATCTTATCGCCCCAACATAACCACTGAGCTGCACATGTGACACGCAATAGTGCCATATACGTGGGAGGGGTTCATTGTCAAATTTGACACTTCAAGGAAGGGTTGATGAAAACTGCGGCATGCTGGTTTATCTATCCATGTTTGCTTTCCTATCGGTTCTTGCATAAGATTTACTGTTTAGCGTATCTTTGCTTTAGTGTGTTACGTTTTAATTTGATCGGGAGACATGTTCGTCAATGTCAACCGACAACACTGCAAGAATTGGCCGTGGCACTGCAAGAGGAGTGGGTCAGATTGCCCCAAATCGTGATTGGACGGTTGATTAGGAGCATGCCACGATGAATTGCTGAATGTCTGAGGAATTGTGGAGCAATTACTCATTATTAAGACAAGAATCAAAAACGTCCATTTTCACTTTTAACGGTGTATCTCTTTGCGAGTGAAATGGGGCCTTCAGATAAGCTGCCCATATGAACTGTTTATTTTCATCTGTAGGCAATTGGCCTGTTATTAACATATACTGGTTACCTCTAATAAAAACAGCAGTGCATTTCTGCAGTTTTGTATTGTTTCTGAATATCCCCTACTTTTTTATACGCCCACATTGAAATGTGGACGTATATTGTCGTCGCCCCCATCCGTCCGTCCCTCGTCCACAATTGCTTGTGGATGCTCTAGAGGCTAAAGTTAATATCCGATTGACTTTAAATTTATATACAGTGTTTATGGCCATGAAACGAAGAAGCCTATTGATTTTCAGCGATTTCTGATAATTACTGCCATGGTTATGGCCCTTGATCACTTCAAAAAATCTTGTGGACGCTCTAGAGGCCAAAGTTAATATCCAATTGACTTTAAATTTAGGTGCGCGGAAATAAGTCACAGGAAAAAAAGTAACAGTAAAAAAGTCACAAATTTGCCTAGGTAAAAAAAAACAGGAAAAAAAGTCACAGTTTTTTTATTACATCTCAAATTCAATAACAATATAAACAATAACATACATATTTAACCTTTCATTACACATATGTTCATTACACAGATGTAACCAGACTGTTTCAGTCTTTAGAAATCAGCACATTTTGATATCATAGCACATTTGACGTATTAGCACATATGGCATATCAGCACATCTGACATTTTAATACATAATAGCACATTTGACATCAGTACATCAGACATTTTAGCACATTCTAGCTCATTCAACATTCTAGCACATCAATACTCTTTGTTAATTCTAATGTTCCATCCAACTCCATGTAAGAATTCTGGGATGGATTTGGCACCGCTGACACGATCTCTGCAAAGATTTCGTAATTGTGTCTGCATCTTTACAAACTTTTTCTTGACCTTCCTGACAGGTGGATTTCTGATGGCATCCTGGGCGACGACTGTCTGGACTGTGGCTGATTCCTTCTGGAACCACTCCACCACTCTCCAGATATAAGTTGTGACTTTTTTACCTGTGTTTTTTTACTGTGTTTTTTTTACTGTGACTTTTTTACCAGTGACTTTTTTTCCTAGATTCTAAATTTATACACAGTGCTTAAGGTCATGAGACGAAGAAGCCTATTGATTTTCAGCGATTTACGATAATTACTGCCAGAGTTATGGCCCTTGATCACTTTGAGAGGCTAAAGTTTATATCCAATTGACTTTAAATTTATACACAGTGTTTAAGGTCATGAGATGAAGTCTATTCATTTTCAGTGATTTTCGATATTTACTGCCACAGTTATGGCCCTTGATCACTTTGAAAAATCTTGTGACGCTCAAGAGGCTAAAGTTATCATCCGATTGACTTCAGATTGATACACAGAGTTTAAGAGCTTGAGACGAACAAGTATATTGATTTTCAATGAATTTTTATGACTTGAACAGCTAAATCCATGATATTAAAAGTTTTGTATACTAAACATTAGTATGGGACAGAACTTTATAAAAACCAAACAAATTCTAATGGTTTTCTGATAATTACTTCATGAGTTGTTACTCTTAATCAGATTTTAGTGTATTATAAATGTTTCATTACCGAAAGAAGTAAAAATATGCGACAACACTTGTTGACTGCCCGGACGATTTAGCTGCTGTGGGCGTATGTTTCGTTGCCTGGCAACCTATCTTTTGAAGAGTATATATATATAAAAAATAATCTTTATTTCAAGTTCATATGCAAATACAATACAACATTAAAATTAGTTACATGGATGTACTATCAATCGTAATTTAAGAATATGCATAATATAGTACAGTTTTGCAAACTGTCCTGCTGTGTGTGTGGTTTTTTTTTATTTATTTATTTTTTAATTTATTTTGTTTGTTTGTAATATATTGTGTAATAGAGATGTGTGATATAAGGTATATTAGAGAGACTGTGTATTATAGATATAATGTATATTATGTGTAGAGATGTGTGCTACAAGGTTAGAGAGTCTTATGTGTATTAGAGATGTAATGTATTTTGTGTAATAGAGATGTGTGATATAAAGTATATTAGAGAGTCTATGTGTATTATAGGTGTAATGTATATTGTATATAGAGTGTGTTAGAGTTTATGTGTATTATAGGTGTAATGTATTTTGTGTAATAGAGATGTGTGATATAAGGTATATTAGAGAGTCTATGTGTATTATAGGTGTAATGTATATTGTATATAGAGTGTGTTAGAGTCTAGGTGTATTATAGGTGTAATGTATATTGTGTAATAGAGATGTATGATGTACAGTATGTTAAGAGTCTGTGTAAATAAGAGATGTAATGTATATTGTGTAATAGAGATCTGTGATATAAGGTATGTTAGGGAGTCTATGTGTGTGTATTAGAGGTGTAATGTATAGAGATGTAATATAAAGTATATTAGAGCCTGTGGGTATTAGAGGTGTAATATATGTGTATGTGTATTAAAGATGTAATGTATATTGTGTATAGAGATGTGTTATACAAGGTATGTTAGAGAATCTACATGTATTAGAGATGTAATGTATATTGTGTATAGAGGTATGTGATACCAGGTATCGGAGAGAGTATTAATGGGGGCTTATGTCAACTTTGCAACAATGGAGACCAACATACCATTCAACACTAAGAACCTACTCTTCCCGAGACCAGATCTGAAACTGCAAATCTTCGAACAAATCCACGCCCTAATGGACACAGTTGTACTAAGTAGAATAGTGAAGTAAGAGGGGGTCACGGTTAGACGGGCCCGGCATCTAAACACTAAACTACATAGGGGATTTATACCAAACTGGCAGGATAGTGGAGTAAGGGAAGTCACGATCAGATGGACTCGGCATCTAAACACTATTCCACCAAAAACAGACACCAAACCTACAGAGTGGGATAGTGGAGTAAGGGGAGGTCATGATAAGACGGGCCTGGCACCTAAACACAAACCCCACAAAGATGACATCTACCAAACTAGCAGGATAGTGGAGTAAGGGGGAGTTACGGTCAGACGAACTCGGCACCAAAACACTATTCCACAAATAAAACTGATACCAAACCCAGAGAGTGGAATAGTGGAGTATGGGGAGGCCACGATAAGACGGGCCTCCACCTAAACACTAAAACGATGACATCTACCAATCCAGAAGCAGACGTAATCATCTACCAAACGATATGTTTTATATTAAATAAAGGGAAGAACTTCCCACTAAACCAAATCCATGGCCTAAGGCCAAATGGAAAGATTGCAAAATCATATTCTAAAAAACAGGAATCAGCTTCGGCTCTCCTATGTCTTGTGGGCGATATCACTTATGTGGAAGCAGACGTTAAACACCAAGAACGAACTTTGCAACTGGGGGGTTGGGATGGCCGTGCTTCGACCTCTAGCTGGCTGGTCACCTCTGGCTTGCATCTGTGGTTTTGATCCCTCGATCCCTGGTGTGAGCGTATGTGGCTTGGAGATAGGGGCGCCTTCTCAACCTCGTGGGTTTACTCCGGGTACTCCGGTTTCCTCCCACAGGAAAGACCCCTGCGCGTGCACTAAGATATATATAAAAAAAGAAAAAAAAAAGACTTGTCTGTGATATCACACACAACTTTGCAACTCATTGCAACTAGTTGCAGTCAGTTGCAAGTGTGCTTATGTCAATCATATCAACGAATGAGAGCAACCGAATTCGGAGTGCTGATGTTGACTCGGAACTGATAGGGATTACGCGTGACTGTTAATTTATTCATCACATGATCAACAAAATTGCGAATACATGTACCTTAAAAGAAGCACCCCCAAAGGCATGGACGGTCTTGCCATAATTCTATTAATATATTATTGTCGACATCATCAACATTTGAAAAGTTGGTATCCTTTTTGCTTATTTATAAAGTTACATGACACATGTCTCTAATCACATGATGTTATTTCCATGGAAACGAGTTGGCGCCAATTGTAAGAACACCCATGTCGACTGCAACAAGTTGCAGCGAGTTGCAGAAAGTGAAACATGTGCGATTGACTGCAACTTGTTGCTTTGAGTTGTAAGAAGTGCTCAGGTCGACCTTTTTCAGTTGCATTCTTTTCCTTTAAGTTGCTCTCAGTTGCCGAAAAGCCAGTTGCTTTCAGTTGCAAGGTCGTCATAAGCCCCCATTAAAAGATGTAAGGTATATTGTGTATAAAGATGGAAGGTATATTGTGTATAGAGATGTGTGATATAAGGTTAGAGAGTGTATGTATATTATAAGTGTAATCTATATTGAGTAAAGAGATTGTGATGTCATTATGTTAACCTGTTAAGTGTGACGTTTTTAAAACGTTAACTACCCCCTATTGTGTAATTAATTTGACGAAGTGACGAAGAACTATGTACTATGTTCTAAGAATAGGATGGGGAAAATACCTCCACACTTCTTCAACATGATGAACGTCTACGTACTATTGACATGCTTCAAATGGGTTCTACACAGCGAGCAGTAGCCAACATGCTTAATGTGTCACAGTCTATGATCAGCAGACTGTGGAACCGGTACCAGCAAACACACAATGTTGATGATAGACCTCGTTCAGGTCGTCCTAGAGCCACTACACAAGCCCAGGATCGATACATTCATACACAGGTCCTGCGAAATCGAGGATAAACGTCCAATCAGCTTTCTGTTAACTTGTACCAACATACAGGAATTCGAGTTATACCCCAAACGATTAGAAATCGGCTACATGCAGCCCATTTGCATTCACAACGACCGCGTGTTGTGCCTCCATTAACTCGCCAGCACATGGCAAACAGACGTAAAAGGTGTAGGCAGCGTAAAAATTGGGGTAATCGTTGATGGGCGCGTGAAATGTTCTCAGACGTGGGCGTGGGTCTGTTATGGTGTGGGGAGGAATCGCCATAACTGTGAGCACATCCTGGCACTGATAGTTCTGCCCTTTGCTTAACGTGCAGGTCGACGTTTCATCTTTCAAGATGATAATGCCTGTGCCCACCACGCTCGTGTCGAGAATGACTTCCTCCAGCGTCAAAATATTGTCCATATGCCTTGGCCAGCCATGAGTCCTGACCTTTGCCGTATAGAGCATGTGAACCGACAACACTGCAAGAATTGGCCATGGCACTGCGAGAGGAGTGGGTCAGATTGCCCCAAATCGTGATTGGACAGTTGATTAGGAGCATGCCCAGACGAATTGCTGAACGTCTGAGTATTGGTGGAGCAATTACTCATTATTAAGATAAAAATCAAAAAAGTCCATTTTCACTTTTGACAGTGTATCTCTTTGCGAGTGAAATGGGGCTGTTAGATAAGCAGCCCATATGAACTGTTTATGTTCATGTGTAGGCAATTGGACTGTTATTAACATACACTGGTTAGCTCTAATGAAAACAGCAATGCATTTCCGTAGTTTTGTATTGTTTCTGAATATCCCCTACTTTTTTTGAAGAGTATAGGTTTACAGTAAGGTGTAAACTATATAGATATGTAACTAAATAGCTGTAATGTGTTTATATTGCAGTGGCTGTATATTCTCCATTATATTTCCACTTGTTATAATTAGTGCTAATGAGGCTGTTGAACCTACAGAACCATTGTAAGTTTTTTTATTGTTATTAATATACTATTCAAAAAAAGTAGGGGATATTTGATTTTGGGGGCATAATACTAAAATATGCAAATGACTACGAAAAAAGACACTATAGAACCTAACAGAAGAAACATTTCCAGTTACATGTGACGTCCAAACGCACCAATAGCTACCGCACGGAATGCAGGTGATGCTTGGGATCATCATGGGGGTCCAACCCAAGATTTGCACGACTCTGACTTTGAATGTTACAGTCATTGTGGCATTGAATTCCAGGGTGGAAACATCAGTTTAATTGTTTTAGTGACCAGAAAAAAATTTTGATATGCGTCGGCTTACCCAAAATGAAAGGTTACGTGCCCTTGGCATGCTACAGATCGGCACAACACAGGCGGTTGTGGCGCGGACGATGAATGTTTCTCAGTCTGTCATAAGCAGGCTATGGTCCAGATACCGTGATACACAATCTGTACAGGACAGACCACGCTCAGGTCGACCAAGGGCGACAACTCAAGCCCAGGATCGATTTATCCGTACCTTGGCCTTGAGAAATCGTGTCATCACAGCAAATCAGATCAGCGCTCGTCTTCAAACAGACACTGGTGTGAGAGTGAGTGGCCAGACGATTCGGAATCAACTGCATAGGGGTCACCTTCGCGCCCGACGTCCTCGCGTGATCCCTTGTTTGAGAGATCATCACATTCAGGCAAGACGTCGTTGGTGTAGGGATCGTCAACACTGGGATAATCGACGCTGGAGCGATGTGATGTTTTCAGATGAGTCAAGGTTCACTGTTGATTTTTTGGACAGACGTAGGAGGGTGTGGCGTCGTCGAAACGAGCGCTTCCAAGACGTTAACGTCATCAGACATGATCGAATTGGGGGTGGTTCTGTTATGGTGTGGGGAGGCATCACTGTTGCTGGAAGAACGGCTTTACATGTTGTTGCAGGGCGTGTTACAGGCCAGTACTACCGGGACAACATCTTGGCAGTCCATGTTGTGCCGTTCGCACGACGTCATGGCCGCCGTTTCATCTTCCAGGATGACAACGCAAGATGTCACAGGGCCAGGATCGTTACAGGTTACCTCCAACAACAGAACATCACCACATTACCTTGGCCAGCACTGAGTCCCGACCTCTCCCCCATCGAGCATGTCTGGGACATGCTTGGACAGAGGTTACGTCAACGTCAACAACGTCCTGCCAATGTCCAAGAACTTGCTGCTGCGTTGCAACAGGAATGGGACAATCTGGACCAAAATGACCTTAGACGTCTCATTAGGAGTATGCCACGTCGGATCAATGCTTGTTTGGCAAACAGAGGAGGATTTACCCGTTACTGACTTGGTTGTGATGCTGTGGTAACTTTGCTGTTTGACCCCGGGTATCATTTTACCCTTATAATGGTCAGTCTGTGCCTTACTTAGTCTAACGATCATTTGGAATAAATCGATGAATGTGAACTTCATTTCATTTTGTCATTTGTTTCTTCGTCAGTTTCATTAGGTGACTTTAATAACACTTAAAAATCAAATATCCCCTACTTTTTTTTAATAGTATATTATAGATTTGATTGTCATTTTTATACGCCCACATTTTTATGTGGACATATTATGCTGTCGTCCCTGTCCATCATACTCCTCGCAGTGTTTCATTTGATTAGACCTAATCGCATTCAAACACTACTGTTCCAAATTATGACTGGTTAATAGTCTGATTAACAACCAATACCTAACTGCGTAACAATCTCATTCGGCTTTAAACAGATATAATATGTTTACATAACGTTACGTCATGACGCACAAAATTGATTACTGCCAATTAATCAGTGCAATTGCAAACAAACAAAGCTATCAAAACAGCAAACAATGTAAACAATACTTCTTCAAGACGAACATTATTTTCACCGTTTTTAATACCTTAAATCACTGTCCAAAGTAGGGAAGACCCCAGATTAAACAAAGGGCGGTCACGCTGCTGTACTTAGGAGAGATTTGATTGAATGGAAAGAATAGACACACTCCCTCAAAAGCTCAAGTATCAGAAGTGAATCCAGCAATGGCCAGAGAGGGATTTCTCGGGCTATTGCTTCAGGAATATGCTGTCTGTCCACAATTTGTTTGTGGACACTCTACTGGTCACAATTTTTATCCGATTTTTACGAAACTTGAAATATAGGTTTATCTTCCAAAGATCTTGACTCCTGTTGATATTCGCATGTATTGGACCATAACTTCCCGGTTGTATGAAAAGTCGCTAGTATAATTTTTGAAACATTTGGCATCCTCTGATGATGATATAAACGAACCACTGCCACCTATCAGTGTTGGGTAAAATCTTTTGATGGGCCTCTTTTTTATCCAATCTAATCTAAGTCACAAGATTATCTACTGACCTGCTAATATTTTGGTTTAGTTCTTGCTAATTAAATGGTAAAATATTCAATTTTAGTACATTTTACTGCTGAACAAATCATGAAAAATTAGTCTTGATAACTTTATAGATTCCATTGAATTTTTCTTAGTGTAATTGATAATCTTTGTGATTCTTATCCAGTACATACATTCTTATAAATGTTATGTGATTTATATAGCCAACTATTTGATTTGTTTTTCTTACAGTGAATATCCTTTAAAACGGTAATTGACAATCTTTGTGATTCTTATCCAGTACATACATTCTTATAAATGTATAAATGTAATGTAATTTATATAGCCAACTATTTGTAATTATTTGATTGTTTTTTCTTACAGTGAATTTCCTTTAAAACTTTTTGCCCCTGTAGTATCCATATCTAACAGTATATTTCATCGATCTGTTAGTAAACGGATAAGAAATGTCTCCAGTTCCAGCAGTCGTTCCTCATCCACATCGTCAACTCCTCAGAAAACAAGACATTGATGTTAATATATAATGTATGGCTACTGAAACCATGTGATATTATTGTTAGTGATTACACTTTTACTAGTGTTGATTTACACATATGTATGTGACAATCAAAGTGAAATTCTTCATTCAGTAAAACTATAACATCCAATCAGTGTATGTGATATCACTTCATGGAATTACAACAACTAAAGGATTTTCAAATTTCATTCGGGTGTGCGAAAATGTAGGTTTACTACAATTACTGAATAATTTAAACTACAGGTCTCTCATAATGTCACGTGTATAACAGATACCTAATTTACAATAGTTTGGGTAAAATTGTGGCATGTACGAGTCCAAAGATTTTTATTTTTATTTTTTTTTAGCTATGAATTTGAGAAATACTAGTGTATAAATATTTTATACAAATGTGATTTTTTTTGTTTATGTATGTAACATAGTTCTAGTCTCAATGCTTTTTTTTTCATAAAGCTACGTTTCTCAGTGTCTGTCATATTTGACCACAGTTACTCGTAAACTGAAAACACCTCCATAAAAGTAGGCCTATTGTTTAAAACTCACCAGTATTTAAAGTAGTCCGTAGATAGCCTTATATTACAAGATTAATAATAATAATAGTGTATATTTACAATGCGCAAATTTCCATACACTAAGCAATGCTCAAAGAGCTAAACACTATGTACCGGTACTCTATATATCTTTCACTATTTACACAACAGTATATTCGGTAAAATACAACTGTATTCACATTTAAACAGATGAGTCTTTAATTTCGATTTGATTTTGAATGATATTCCAGTGAAGGGGCAGATTAGGAGCACTGAACCGAAAACATGAATTAGATCAGACAGATATGTTGGACTAGTGCCATCTATATACATGACAGAAGAAAATTTTGTAGCGGATTCTTGAATGGACAAGATTTTTTAATAACAGTTGGGCATGTTTTGAAGTGCGACTGACTATCCTGAAAGCAGTATTTTTAATAATTTGTAGTTTTGATATTTAAGTTGCGATTTAGACCACTCAAGATGCTGATATTTAAGTTGCGATTTAGACCACTCAAGATGCTGTTGCAGTAATCCAGTCTAGAAAAGACTAGTGATCTAACAATCAATATGCTATAGGTTCTTTTTCATACCAACAAGAATGACTTTGGTATTGTCATGGTTTAATTTTAACTTGCTCGACGTCACCCAAGACGAGATTTCCTGAGTACATGATGATGTCATATGGAATGAGTTAGTATATTGACTAATTTCCTTTTAACCGGTCCTATTTATCGCCTACAAGAACTGACAATAGTGCCCAAAATATTGTAAAATGTGACCGACAAGGAAAGATATGTTATAGATATGCACATTTAAAAATCATATCCAAAATTCAAATGTTTTCATAATTAAATGACAAAATTATGGATTATTGAAATTTTGACAAAAGCGTTCTTACTAATTACAGACAAGAACTGACAAGAATGTTTTATTCTGTAAATCTCATTTATCCATAATTTTTTTTTTTTTATGTGTAGAATATGCATATCTATAACATATGTTTCCTTGTCGGTCACTATTTGTTGATTAGTAAGACCCTTTCAGGTATAAATCATTAAATATGTAGAAAGAGAAGTGGGATCTAACATTGAATCGACACCAATTAGGTTATTTCAGGATTAACATATGATACATGTATTGTACAATTTTATTTCAATAAATTGCTTGTGCGTAGGGGTTTTTGGCAATGGGAGGAAACCAGAGGACCCCAAGAAACACATGAGGTTGGGCAGGAGACATACAGGTTTGGGACCAAAACCAAAACTTGACTACCAAACCCCCCCCCCCCCCCTAATCATAAAGGAAACAAAAAAAGAAAGTTGGTATACAGTAGACTTGATTAGCATAGCGATTTGATGATATATTTATTAAAAGAATTAATTATCTATCAAAAGTTTGCTTCAAATCCCTCTTAAAACATTTTAATCGTAGAGAACTATACAAGCCGTAAAAATCTATTTTAAGCCTCCTTGTTTGTCATGTGACTTGATTGAAGGATGGTCCATTTTTAGCTTTTATTTATATTTATGGATATCTTTCAGGGAATCCAGTATTTTCTGAGTAAGATTGGATGTCTCTACTTGCTATGTATACCAAATTTGTCATACTTTTATTGGAAATAACTACCCTATAAATACTTTTGTGAGAATGCATCTTTAACCTGCACAGGGAAAGAATTTCTACAAATAAGCTATTGTTTATTGTTAAAATAATTCTTTTCCAGGTCCAGTTTGCATTTCTTTATAGCTGGAAACACTGCAGATTGCATCTTGTATAATTGCTAGTGTATGTAGTAGTTGCATTTCTAGCTTGATCCAGTAGTTGTTGCATTTCTTGTTGTTTAGCTAGGTGAACATCAGCCTTAAATATCAGAATATCTATTTATACTCTGTATATAAAGAACTTCTTTCCATAATGCTTCCACTTTCAGCCTGGTAGTAGAAACACTTACAGAATGAAATTTCTTTTATTTGTATATAATTTATAACCAAGTTTTCATAATTGTATCAAATTATCATTATTAAATGTGCATAATTTATGTATTTATTAGAGTTGATTTGTATATAATAATATATGTTTTTTAGAAGATGCATATGTGAGATCCATGCATTAGTTTTCAAATATTAATTTTTAGTGTACATAAGTTTTTTTATATTACTGAATGTATATTAAATTAATTGCAATATTTAACTTTCATTTTCTATAATTTTCGAATCGTTGTAATAAAAAGAGTTTTATCTATTCATTATCTTGTCTTAAAATGTTTTGTTTGGGAAATAATTATAATTGTGTACCTTATTATGGAAAAAACAGGAGGCTCTGTAACTGTGCTGACTGTAATTTGTGATCACTAAGTAGCCATCAAGTACCTGCAACTGAAAAGACTAACTTCAACACAGATACATGCCGACATGGTCTCCACTTTAGGAGATGATGTCCCTTCCTTTTCCCCAGTAAAGAAATGAAATGGGGTTTAACGTTCTACTGTTCTGCTCCGAACTGGGCTAATGAAGATGGATATACGCCATACAGTTTTGCTATGAGAGACATTTTGCCCAGACAGCGGCACTAAGGCCTACTGTTATATCAAATTGCAACTATCAAGGGATCTTTTACGTACGTGCACGCCAATGTGTACACAGGATCTCGGTTTTTGTCCCATCCGAACAATTAGACAGCTCTCCTTGTCAGGCCCTCCGTCCTGCATCACTGACAAGGGGGGAACCACACCGGAAAATCTCGAACTTTCTTGGCCAATGCAGGGATCGAACACCTGACCTCCAGGCTAGCGAGCCAGCGTCTTACCCACTTAGCCATCCTGCCCCCCCCCCCAACAGTAAAGAAGTGGGCTGCGGAATTTAAGCGCAACAGGGAGAGAGAGCCTTGTAGGCTGTGATTTAGCCCCGAAAATCGTTTCATCTCGTCCCAGCAAATTCCGGGTGAAAATCTGACGCTTTGTTACATAATTTAACCAGTAGGCCGTCACTGTCGCATACTTTTCTGTTCCGATGCATTGCACAATACGTCTTGCACTTGAATTACGTCTCGAACTATATTTGTCAAGTGTAGCCATAATCGGGTGAAAAAATCAAATTCTAAGCCAATCAGAAACCATAAAAGCAAAGATCGTCATAGGTCAAGGGTCAATAGCCATAAATAGACCAGTGAATACATTTTATGAGGCGGAACACGGATTGTTTACATTTGTCTGAGAGAATTTCTCTGCAAATATGCCGGGATTACTGGATAATATCACCTGTTAAATGTTGCATTGACACAGTAAAGACGACTTACCCCTGATCTGTGGCATAAATATGGCCAATAATTAGGAAATAGCACCAATGATTGAATGAATCTTTTATTTCCTGGAAACAAGTATTTCTTCAAAACTATTTCAGTGAAACAATATCCAAAAGAAATATATACTTAATACAGATGAAAACGATTTTGGCATGCTTGAAATACTGGTTCCGTCTTATAATTATATATAATGCTAAGAAAAAACAAAAATAATAATACCATGTGATCTGATCGATACAATTAATAATAATTCACCTTCATCAATTTTACTATTTTTTTAAAACGAGAAAACAATAGACTTATTATAAGAGTATAGAGAGAGAGAAATGGGGTTTAACTTCCACTCGACACAAACTGACAAGGGGAAACCGTCGGAAATGAATTAGAATAAAAAAGTAAAATAAAAACATATAGTAAGCATAAAGTGACAAAATATAATATGAAAATTTATTGACATGTACAGTACATTCAAGTAAAACATATTTAAAATATGTAATATTAAAAAAACGCTTGCAAAAATACATGTATACAGGTGCAGGCCTACTCACATAATTTCATCAATATCATCATCACTATTAAAATCAATGTCACTGTCAGCATATGTTTGGCTGTCACTTTTATATTCGAACAATATACACAAAACCATACAAGAAAGTTTTCACTTGTAACAAGTACATCTATTACTGATCTATCTGTAAAAGTGTAATGCAGCTTGATTTACATTCACATTGAAAATTTTGTTTGGTGCTTGATCTCTAGTCACCCTAACCCTGTCATTTGTTCAACAGAGTTTAACAAGAGGAGTTTAAATTTCCACAGCTACAGTTAGGCAACCTGGGAGGAATGCGCCAGAATATGCCCCCTTTTTGACTGGTGATGCAAAGGCAGAAATAATTCTTCATACATATTTTTTTCCAAAAAAGTAAGTGCACATGTACCAACTCATCTATTTCGGTTCTAATTGTCTCCATAACATTGGGGTTGGATGGCCGAATTGTTAGCACGTGCACACTGTATCATAAAGTCTGTCATTGAGTCAACAGGCGTGGTTTTGAATCCCTGGTTGTTCGTGACAAGGAGTAGGGTCGCCTGTCCAACCTCGTGGGTTTTCTCTGGGTTCTCCCCTTTCCTCCCACTAATAAAGACCCCTACGCGCAAGCGAATTATTGAAATAAAAAAATTAAACCATATTTTAGTCCCAAAATGACCTAGTTTGTGTCGAGTGGACGTTAAACCCCATTTCTCTCTCTCCATAACAACTTGTTGGGTATGAGTACTGCACATTGTATTTCACTAATGACACAGTCTTAACCATAGTGGTCTTCTGTCTTTGACTGAGTGGACTTCTCTATTGGTTTGAGTGGTCTTGGGCGGAGTAGTCCTTGCTTCTGTGAAAGAACTATTGCATTTATAAAGTTCGTTTTTTTTTATGTCTTCGGTAACACATATACCTACTAACCTAGTTCGAGACAAACAGATACCATACCTTTAATTTAAGAGACCCGGTTTGCAGTTTACCGTGTGTGGTGGGTTGGCCTTACTTTATTTCAGGTTAAGGCTATTCGTTTTAATAAGGCTTTAACTTACCCGGGATGGTTTTATGCCCATCTTCGCATTGCAAAAAGAAAATGTTTGCCCAAAGTAATACACGAATCAAACGGGTGATGAGATAGATAACGCTAGGTCAGGTGATTGGCTAAACGTAAATAAGGTTAGCCAATATATAATGCCTTTACAACGACGGATTTCCCAGCGTTCTTTACCCCAGGCAGACGACGTCGACTGTCTTTAAAGAACAACGCCAAAAAGGTGAGCATTATTTCAATTTCATTAATTTGGTTGCAACCAATTTAATTAATTTGTTTTAAAAGAAACGAGCGGTGTTATGTCTTGCAGAGATATTATTATCGATTTCTGGTGTAGCCTTGAGCTTTTTATATTTATAAAGTTTGTTTCAAGACATTGTTGTAATTTTGGATTTCTGACAAGCCCAGAAGTCTTCTTTTTAATTTGAATTTTATATTCTGACGATAGGCTAAATTAGGACGATGGACCATAGGTTAAATTCTGAATAGGCCCACTGAGACGCATTGTTTGCAGCGACGTTATTTTGTGACCCCTGTCCTTATTACGCTTTGGGGGGTTGGATGGCTGAATGGTTAGCGTGCGCGCGCTGTATCATAAAGTCTGTCATTGAGTCGACTGGCGTGGTTTCGAATCCCCGGTTGTACGTGACAAGGAGTAGGATCGCCTGTCCAACCTCGTGGGTTTTCTCCAGGTCCTCCGGTTTCCTCCCACTGCTAAAGACCCCTATGCGCAAGCGAATTATTGAAATAAAATTAAACCATATGTTAGTCCCGAAATGACCTAGTTTGTGTCGAGTGGACGTTAAACCCCATTTCCCTCTCTCTCTCTATTACGCTTTGTTTAATTAACGACCTATTTTAGCACCAGACCATTCCAAACCGTATATTTACAGACCGAAACGGTTTGGCCTAGCTTACTTAACGACAAAAAGTAGGCCTAGCCTGGCATACAAACATACTTTATAACATGAACATTTCATCTGCGTGTACCAAGCCGTTACACGTGACCTCGTTCGTCCCATCAGAAACGCTAAACACTTGTCCTGTAGAGGTTAAACTTACACCTGAAAAGTTACCTATCGGCTCACGTCGGGACATTTTTTTTGTATTCTTTATTCGGTGTTCTAAACTCTTTATTTCTTAATTCATAATCCTTAATTCTCATTTCTTCATTTGTTGTCGTATTTCGACATTTGTATACTAAAATTAATATTTTGTATCTTAAAATCAATATTTGTTTTACAAATCAGACATTTGTATACTAAAATTAATATTTTGTATCTTAAAATCAATATTTGTTTTACAAATCAGACATTTGTAAATTATATCTTTGTTTAATTTAATTGTATTTTAATATAAAATACAATTTAAACACAATTACAAAGACACAGTTGGTTCCGGAAAGACTTGTTTATTCTATCAAATTTTCTGTACATTTTTATACGCCCACATTGAAATGCGGTCGTATTTTGTCGCTGCCCCCGTTCGTCCGCCGGTCCGTCCGTCGGCTAAAGTTAATATCCGATTGACTTTAAATTTATACACAATTTTAAGGTAATGAGACGAAGAATCCTATTGATTTGCAGCGATTTTCGATAATTACTGTCAGAGTTATGACCTTTGATCACCTTGAAATATCTTGTTGACATTTATACGCGCTGCTTAAGGTCATGAGACGAAGAATCCTATTGATTTTCAACTATTTTCGATAATTACTGTCGGAGTTATGGCCCTTGATCTCTTTGGAAAATCTTTTAGAAGCTCTAGAGGCTAAAGTTAAAGATAGCTTCCCAGAAAAGTATTTATCGGGTGTTTCTTTCCAATAAAAGTATGGCAATTTAGTTATATATTGAAAGTAGAGATATCCAATCTTATTAGAAAAATACTGGGTTCCCTGAAAAACACTCATGGAGAGTATACAGGACAAAAATGTAAATGTTCCCCTAATCGACAGCCCGACGATTAGGAATACCTGCGTGACGTCGAAGGTTGCACGCGAAGATTGAGCGCTTGGTGTACATGTTGATAAACTATATGAATAGTTAGACGTACAACACTTTCTGAGATAAAAATCACGGAAAAAGACGCAAGTAGTGGATAATCAGAGAATTTAATTAGGATTCGATATCTATCTATCTATCTATCTATATATATATTTGTGACTGTCGTTTGTCTGTCTGTCTGTCTGTTCGGGGTTGGCGGCTACACTAGGTCTGCCCCGAGTCTAAAATTTGGGGTATAGAGGTAGCTCGGACCGGGGAGTAACATAGGCCAGGTGGCGTTAGTCTACCACTTCCGGTTTCGGAGTTATGACTCCCGAGCGAAGTCTGTTCGGGGTTGGCGGCTACATCTGCCCCGAGTCTGAAATTTGGGGTATAGGGGTAGCTCGGACCGGGGAGTAACGTAGACCAGGTGGCGTTAGTCTACCACTTCCGGTTTCGGAGTTATGACCCCCGAGCGAAGCCGGTCTGTTCGGGGTTGGCGGCTACACTAGGTCTGCCCCGAGTCTGAAATTTGGGGTATAGGGGTAGCTCGGACCGGGGAGTAACATAGGCCTGGTGGCGTTTGTCTACCACTTCCTTTTTCGGAGTTATGACCCCCGAGCGAAGTCTGTCTGTTCGGGTTGGCAGCTACACTAGGTCTGTTCGGGGTTGGCGGCTACACTAGGTCTGCCCCGAGTCTGAAATTTGGGGTATAGGGGTAGGTCGATCCGGGGAGTAACATAGGCCAGGTGGCTTTAGTCTACCACTTCCGGTTTCGGAGTTATGACCCCCGAGCGAAGCCGGGTATCCTGCTAGTTTGTAATAAATAGTCAGCGATTAAAGACAACACCGTCTTGTGTATACAATGAATTCTCCTTCGACTTCGCCCTCGTTGCTATAGGTACCGAGAGAGGTAAGTCACGTGACACAAACATGACCTCTTTTGATCGATTTTTATAGCAGGGTATGCCTTGGCAATTAAAATGTTTTGAGAAGGATTTGAAGCAAAATTACGATAAATTAATTAGTTTGAATATGTTTTAGTCCAAATATATCATCAAATCACCCAGTTTGTACGCGGTAATGTATCTTTAATATCTGATTGACTGTAAACTTATACACAGTGTTTAAGATCATGAGACAAAGAATCCTATTCATTTGCAACGATTTCCGATAATTAATGTCAAAGTTAAAGTCCTTGATCACTTTAAAAAATCTTGTGGTCGCTCTAGAGGCTAAAGTTGATATAAATTGTTTAAGGTCATGAGACAAACAATCGAAAGTTTCGGAACAAATTCTAATGTTTTCTGATAACTGGGTGGTTGGATGGCCGAATGGTTAGCACATGCGCGCTGTATCATAAGGTCTGTCATTGAGTCAATAGTCGTGGTTTCGATTCCCCGGTTTTTTGTGACAAGGAGTAAGGTCGCCTATCCTACCTCGTTGGTTTTCTCCATGATGTCCGGTTTCCTCCCACTGCTAAAGACCCCTAAGCGCAAGCGAATTATTGAAATAAAATTAATCATATGTTAGTCCCGATATGACCTAGTTTGTGTCGAGTGGACGTATATTGTTCTGTACGTCCGTCCACAATTTGTTTGTGGATAGTCTACAGGTCAATATTTTTATACGCCCACATTTTCATGTGGACGTATATTGTCGTCGCCACTGTCCTTCCGGACGTCCGTCCACAACTTGTTTGTAGACAGTCTACAGGGCAAATTTTTTATCCGATTTTGACAAAACTTGACATATAGGTTTATCTCCCAATTGGCCAAAGATTTCGATTTGTTTTCGGGAAAATCGTATCGGAACTGCCTGATAAAATGGCCGCTCCTTTTGTACGCCAATAGTGTAAAAGTATTAATACGAAGGTTGTAGATCCCAGAGAGAGAGAGGGGGGGGGGGGAGGGGTAACGTCCACTCGACACAAACTAGGTCATTTTGGGACTAACATAGTTCAATTGTATTTCAATAATTCGCTTGCGCGTAGGGGTCTTTAGCAGTGGGGACGGGGGGGGGGGGGGCGAGGACCCGGAGAAAACCCATGAGATTGGACAGGCGACCACACTCCTTGCCACATACAACCGGGGAATCGAAACCACGCCAGCTGACTCAATGACAGACTATCCCGCCCCCCCCCCCCCTAGATCCCCTAGGAGTCACAATGTTCCTTTCGATATTCGAGCAGTTCAGACGATAACATCCTGGATTATGGCCCAGATTGAACTGGGTCATTTCATTAGCTTGAATTATTTGGAAGCAACACAATATCTGGAAGTAATTTGAATATAATTTGGGAAAAGTCAGGAATAACGAGTGCATAAAGTGTAAAAAGGAGATCTCTGGTATTGTTGACAGAATGAGAAAGCATGTTGAGGATTGTGATAAGAGATTTGACGCTGGGGTATCAAGTTCAAATGCTATATCCACTGATGACGAAAGCTTGTCATCTGAATAATGTGGCCCTGCACGTCCTCAAAGTAACAGTTCAGATTTAACCGAGCAAAACCCAAATTCTTTGTTAACCAAGTTTGTTGTTAGGACTACTGTAATAGCAAAGGCTGCATAGGATAGACTGTTTGAAAAAGCAATATATGCTATAAATTCGTCTTTCCTCACCGTCGAACATCAAAAAGTTATAAAATTTACAGATGTTAATACTAGGATATAAGTCACCTTCAAGAAAGAACGTTGAAGGACCATTGCTGGACGAGGTTTATAAAAATCTACAACAAAAATGTGCTCAAACTTTAATATATCTCTTGATGGGTGGAGTAATATTCACAATGAACCAGTTGTTTGTGTGTCTGTTACAGATGAATGTAACAACTTCTCACTACCCCAGTTAAATGTTGAATCCACTATTTTTCCCAAGTAAACTAACATCTGAAGAGGAAGATTTAGCCCTTGAATATGTGAATACTCATTACCTACCAATGATGTTTCTCATAACACAGTACAGAGCACACACAATCAAATATATTTAAACCATATCTATTTAAACCAGAATTACTTTCCCGAGCAGGATGTCTTTCATGGTGGATGTCAATTCTACTTTCAAAGAAGGAGTATCTTGATTTGGGAATTTCGGATTTGGTCAGCACGTTAATGGGGTCATCATGTTCCTCAGCAAATATCGGGCGTATATTTTCAACGTTCGGCTTAGTACATTCTAAACTCAGAAACAGGTTAGGCGTGGAGAAGATTGGAAAGTTAGTTTTTATTTACAGAATGACCAATATGTAACTTCAGTTATGTTTTATCGAGAAACGAGAAATATTTGTGACACTACAGGTAAGATTACGTCGTGACTGCCCTTCGTCACGGCACTAAATATATATATCTGACACTATCCTGGTCATGGATCTCTAAAAAGCATACATGTGACACTACGGTGTTGTTAAATAAATGAATTAACTCTGACTCCCACTTTGTATATACGGCCCGTGACACTAGGGTGACACTTTTCTAGTCAGGACTTTCACGCTGTGTATAAAACTTCAATGAATTAACTCTGGAACACAGTGTTTTTATAACTATGTTTATATATCATGATAGTACATTAGGAGTTATTATGATATCTACAGTCTGAGTTTAACAAGCCTACACTACATTGTCCCTACCCCGGCCTCTAACCAGAAGCTGAGAGTACGTCCTAAGAACTCTGCACGATGTCGGTATCGCGGCCTGTACGTCGAGGCTGCTAACGGTGTATCTGTCTGGGAAGGCCACATAATGTCTCTCCTAGGATCTCTAAGTGATGCCTGAAGGGAAATTTAACCTCGCTCTTTCTTATATACACTGAAAAAAAACTTGTGTTGGATCTCAACACAAGTACTTGTGTGAAAATTATTCTACACAAAACTTGTGTTGTTTTGCATTGCATTAACACAAACTTGTGTTCTTTTTAATGCATTAACACAAATCTTGTGGGTTTTTTCCTATAATTAACACAAGTAATGTGTACCGTCAACAAATATTTTTTTTTTAAATTTGAACTCCATACAAAGTCTTAATCCGGGCGTCCACAAGTATAAGAAAAGTATTTTTTACTCAGACATGATGGCCAGACAGACTTGAATGCTAATTGGTGTTAAGATGTCTGTAGTTAAAATAAAGTTGTTGATTTTTTATGAGCCCAATAAACTGGTAGATCAAAGGCCTATTGAGCGCTCATGCCCGGTGTGATTTTAACAATTGACTCCAAATGCATTGACAAGAAAATAAGTAAAACTATTATCTAATGTGATTGGTTGATAAAATCAACGTACTATAGGCTACAGTTTGTCTGCGATATCATCTCTGTGCAACCGGACATTAAATGAATTGATTTCACACAATTCATTTACCATTTAACAGCGTGCTGAAATGATTTTTGAGCAGTGATATGTTTGACAAATGTAAGCTAATGGTCACAGAGAATAAAAGACCGCAGGTTTGTGAATATTTATATAAAAAAAAATAATACCATTTATTTTATGATCAGTAGTGGAATACCGCGTTTTATCAGTGAAATAAAAGTGTTATTCCACTGGCTAGTTGTTTTTACCTAAAATGATTGTAAAATCATAAAATAAATAGAACATTACGCATTCGTGAAAATATAAGTTTTCTTGCTTCTCGATGAAATAAAATATGTTATTCACTCTAAAACGACAAATATCCTCTATGTATGTAATTTAGCATCGATATTGTTTTTGTGTATAATATTAGTATTTCGTTTCCTTAAAAAAAACTCCAACAATTTAACCCGGAAGTTCATGATTAAAATGGCGGGCGGGGACAGGGAAAAAATTTCGGCATGTTATTATCAAATCTGTTCAATTTTTCTGAAATCGTGCTTAATTAACATTAGTTGTTCGGCGCTACGATGTTGTTCAAATACGTACATTACAGAATCACATTATGATTAAACCAGAAACGGCTCGACTTGAACCAGCAGATAAGAATCTGTTTTGAAATTATGTCTTGGGAGGTTGGATTGGATTGGCGGCCATTTTGATTCTTGTTTCATGATTTTTTATATTATAAAGATTTTGCCAAGAGTAGACATAAACGCGGGCACAGACTAGAAAAAATCTTTTTACACTTTTGTGTTAGTTGAATTGTAATCTAATTTATGTTTAAAAAAACAACCTTAAATCAAATAAGCAGATATTTTCCCCAAACCCTCCGTTCAACCTCCGACTCTGTCACTCTGTGGAATATTATTAGGCCCCTATTTTCCTGATTCAGTCACAGTTAATAAATAATAAATAATGGAACTAGAATCAGTCTGTGGAAGTTTCTCTATAGTTTCATTATTTTTCCCAGTCAGTGATGATATGACTCATTCCACCTTACAGTTACAGCAATTACCGTATTGAGAATTTACCGTTCAAGGACTCCATTTTGGCATTGAATTGGAATTTGAAGAAAAACTGGTAACAATTTCATTTAATTTTTCTATTACCAATGTCCTAGAATGATTAGTGTATGTGAACATACAATCCCAAGTAAAGTATTTATATGACACTTACATGCAACAGAGAGAGAAAAATGACATAAACAAGGCCTTACGTGTACTTGTATTTGAAGAATCAAGTAGTCCAAGCTATGCCTATATGCATACCGGTAATCAACTACGACGACGATTAGCTTTCTTCCGTTTCCACCCTTTCCCTGCACACTGTTCCATTCTACTTAGCCTACAGACGCTAGGTCGTTTCGGGAAAAAGGACAGGTAAGGTTAAATTTGATATGAATAATTCGTTTGCTGGTATGGGTATTTAGCAAACGGAGGAAACCGAATGGCCCAGAGAAAAACTCAAGAGATTGGACAGGCGACTCTACTCCTTGAAATCGAAACCATGCTACTTAACACAATGACAGACCCTGTGATTTCATGTGAATGCATTAACTACTAGACCATTCCCCCCAGCCCCACCCCATATTGAATAAAAGTATGGCTTATTTCAAATATGATATTTACATATAAAGAAAGTAGAGAGACTTCAATCTTACTAGAAAAATACTAGATTACCTGAAATGAAATGGGGTTTAAAGACAACGTCCTACTGTTCAGCTCCGACTGGTCTAATGCAGTGTGCTAAGAGAAAATGTTTGTCCGGGCAGCGACACTATGGCCTACTCTCATAGCGAATTCAAACTGCCAAGAGAACTTTTATGTGTACGCCAATGTGTACATTGGATCTCAGGGGAAACCACTCTGAAAAATCAAGATGAGCTTTCTCGGTCAACCCCAAGAGGTAACCTGTGGCCTCCATGCTAGTATTCCAGCACCTAACTCACTCAGTCACCATGGTCGTCTTCTAATTACTGCGACATTGAAACCATGTGACAAACAAGGATTATAAAAATAGATTTTTACGGCTTAGGTAGTTCCTTGGGATTAAAACTTTTGATACATATAGATACATTAGTTTCAATTTCAAATCACACAGTTTGTATATATGGTATGGTAGCTTTAATGGTAAATTACATATAATGTATTTATTTTTTCAGTTTCAATATTGGATGTATATGCAAATCACCCAGGAAAAGATCATGTAACAAAAGAAATTATAAAAGTAAAAAAATGGAAGAAGAAATGGCTGGAAAAAATGATGATAGAGCAGCTTTTTCTTGGTGGGTAACTATTCAATTCTTATAGAAAAGATTGCTGTTATGCTATTTTGAAATCTAAAATTCAGTTTAGTATAGTAAAACTGTACACGTACATGTATGAGCACAGACAGAATCTTAGTTAGATATGACTGTCTCATCTGTGGCAAAGCAAACCAACACATGAAACAAAACAAATGTAGTTAAATTAACATTTTTTGACTTAATCAAAACTGTCTAGTCAATTTAAGCCAACTAATGTAATACATTGCATATTTTTTTTCAGTTAGCCACCTCGGAAGATCAAGACAGCTGGAAAGGGCTATTGATATTGTGGAAGTGTTTTCTTACAGAGGTTGCTTATCAGACAAAGGCTATGTAAGTACCATGCATATTTGCTTTTTGAATCAGGAACTGGATCTATACACTTGGTGGGGGGGGGGGGTGGATGGCCGAATGGTTAGCATGTGCGTGCTGTATCATACGGCCTGTCATCCTCGGTTGTACGTGACAAGGAGTAGGGTTGCCTGTTCAACCTCGTGGGTTTTCTCCAGGTCCTCCGGTTTCCTCCCACTGCTAAAGACCTATATGACTTCAAAACTATAAGATGGATGCAATGTTACACCCTTTCATAATCATTATTATAAAGCGTTCAAATGCATGAATTTGTAAAATATAATTAATATCATATTGTAATACTGTTTGCAATACTGTATTCACCACTGCCTTAGTGGAGATAATTGGTAAATTAAATGATTATTTTTTCATTTTGTCTTTTTTTCAAGACTTTTGTTCTGGCTTCTGACCCATTGAGGCATAATAATCTACCTGGGTCTGTAACTTGAAAAGACACAATAAGTATTATGCAAAGTTGAAACAAAATAGAGACTCAACCTGTGGAAAAATAAGTTATTTATTTAAAAATTGTGAACCGTAGAAAGTATATTTATTGCCAACTCAACCACATACTATCATCCAGGGTTTATGGACCTACTTATAGTCCAACCTTCGACGATGGGTTGTATGTTCAATCTAGTTGGAGGTGTACGATTGAACATACAATAATTCAATAACTCACTTCTCTTAGTATAATCTTATATTCTGTAACAATATCTAACAAAGATAATATATACATATAATACTGACCCACAGGATAGGTAACTTAATAAGGAACAGCATCTAAGAAATAACTTATCAGAGACCTGCCCTTCAGTATGTCCTCTGCCTGCCTGTGGTTAACTGCCCTTTTCTTTAATATACAATTTTTAGGACTTTTATACCTTAGCTTTGTTTTTAGTTACAATATAATCCTTAATACCTTACTGGAATAACTTTACAATAGATAATAATATATGAAACAATGTCTCTCTAATATAATTACAGAGTTTATTTTAATTAGGATTCTGGCTAATCTATAATGGCTCTGGCCTCAAATTAACTATGCTCTAATTCTACCTGGTCATAATACTTGAATATTAAGCCATCAAATTATTTTATAATTTTGAAAATGAAATGAAATGGGGTTTAACATCCTACTGTTTTGCTCATAAACTGGGCTAATGAAGACGGGCATACACCATACAGTGTGCTATGAGGGAAATTTTGCCTGGGCAGTGGCGCTACAGCCTACTCTTATATCGAATTCCAACTGCCAAGGGATCTTTTACATGCACGCCAATGTGTACACAGGACCTCGTTTTTTTATCCCATCCAAACGACTAGACAGCTGTCCTTGTCAGGTCCTCCGTCCTGTATCACTGACAAGGGGAAGACACGTCGGAAAATCTGGATGAACTTTCTCAGCCAATTCAGGGATCGAACACCCGACCTCCAGGCTAGTGAGCCAGCGTTGTACCCTCTTAGCCATGTGATCTCCTTATAATTTTGAAAAAGAATATAGTGATTGTAAAACCTAATAAGTTATCAGTTGCATTTTATTTTGGTTTTTAATGTTAAATATCCCTCTCAAACACAATTATATTTTAATTCTCTCCAGAAATTTGTGTAAAATATAGACTGTAAATTAAAACTTTCATCTTTTAACTGTTGAGTCAATTTAAGTCATCTCATACATAGTATGTTTTTTTCCAGTTAACTACATCAGAAAGATAAAAACAGTTGGAAATGGCTATTCATATTGTGGAAACTTTTCTCACAGAGCTTGATAATCAGGCAAAATGTAAGTAACATACATATTTGTATTTTTAATCAGGAAGTAGTTTTATACACTTGCTTGGTAATCTAGTTATTCTTCTTGGGGCAATGCCTAGGACTCAGCTATTTCAAGTACTTGGCATGCTTGATTTTTGCCAATCACATCCATTACAGTAAATAGCAGTAAAATAATGATGGACAATATTTTACTTTTCAAATAGATTTCAATAGATTTTAAAGGGTAATATCCAATTTGTTGTCAATGGAAATAAAATAAGAATGGGTCCAAAAATAATTAGACATTGCCAAGTAAATAGGTGCTGCCAATGATGTAGTAGGGAATCTGGATTTGCAGACAATACATGTATGAACCGGGTGAATAGTTGACCTATTATGAGACTTCAGTCCCAAATCTCAAGACTTTTTTCTGACTTGGCCTGACAATGACAGCTGTCTAGTCCTTCCGATGAGACGAATATTGGAATGCACGTAAAAGATCCCCTGGCAGTTGGAATTCGATATAAGAATAGATGATAGTGCCGCTGCCCGGGCAAAAATTCCCTCATAGCACACTGTGTGGCATATGCCCGTCATTATTAGCCCAGTATAGGAGCAGAACAGTAGGACGTTAAACCCATTTCATTTCATTTTTCTGACTTTTAACCCATTTGATTTGAGCATAATAATCTGCCTGGGTCTTTAAGTGGACAAGACACAATAAGCGTTACGCAAAGTTGAAACCAAATAGAGACTCAGTCTCGATGTGGCAAAATAAATTGTTTATTTAAACATTGTATTCTTATTGCCTACTTTTTATTTTTTAGGCTGGAACACCCTTGAAAGAGTATTTGGTGTATGATAACAACAAGAGAACCCAAGCATCAATTTATTTTATACTTCTGGGAAAGAATGCATTTGACCCAATTTTTAAATATTTATTTTTTGTTATTAATGTTAAATTTTCTTCCAAAACACAATTAGATTTTAATTCTCTTCAAATATGTATGTATAATATAGCAAGTAAACTGACATAAATCACTTAGAATTTGGTCGGAAATCATAAAGTATTTAATAGGCATTACTAGAAACCAAATGTAGATCAAATACACCCAGAATTACAAAAAACCTTGACCTACATTAAGGTGACTTTCCCTTGCTTATGAAATGAAATACGTTTTAATATCCTGCTTTTCTGTGTTCTTAGAGTGATTCTACCCTACCCTTATATCAAATATTTCAACTGTCAAGGGTTCTTTAAAGGGTACCCAGGGGGGCCGAATGGTTAACACGCACACATTTGATCAGAAGGTCTGTCATTGATTCAAATAATTCAATTTTCAAGGGTTCTTCAAAGTGTACGCAGTTGGGTTGGTTTCAATTCTGGGGGGTGGGGTGGATGGCCGAATGGTTAGCACGTGCATGCTGTATCATACGGCCTCCTGTCATTGAGTCAACTGGCATGGTTTCGAATCCCCGGTTGTAGACAAGGAGTAGGGTCGCCTGTCCAATCTTGTGGGTTTTCTCCGGGACCTCCGGTTTCCTCCCACTGCTAAAGACCCCTACGAGCTAGCGAATTATTGAAATAAAATTAAACCATATGTTAGTCCCAAAATGATCTAGTTTGTGTCGAGTAGACGTTAAACCCCATTTCTCTCTGTCTCTCTCTCTTTTGATTCTGGGCTTGTACCCAATTATCCCTTGCCATATCCAACACTGAAAAGTGGGAACTATGCCGGAAAATCCAGTTGAAATTTCGCGGCCAACGCCTTATGCTCACTGAACCACTGTGGCTTATGACTTGTGATTGTATATAAATCTTTTGTACATATGATATTTTTTTATTTCAATCCTGTAATCTTGATGCTTATGACTTGTGATTGTATATAAATCTTTTGTACATATGATATTTTTTTATTTCAATCCTGTAATCTTGATGCTTTTATTTATAAAATATTCATTTTGTTTGGGTTTTTTTTAATGAGGAAAAGGCTCTACATCATTTTATTACTCCTGCAAAATAGAGCAATTTTCTTTTGTTAGTTTTCTGTGTATGCTAGTTATTTCTAGATGCCTCACAAATCACTTGTAGTGTGATTTTGTAGCATTTTTCAGTTTTTGAAATTGTTTCAATTTAGTGCATAATTAATCTTATTAGTACTTAGTTTGGATGTTATTAAATTTAGATATATTTGAATTATATATTTTGGGGTATGGGGTAGGGATACTGTGTACATATCTTTATATTCTCAGTTCTTGTTTTGGGGTAAAGAACAATTTAAATAGCTATTTTATATTTTGTGATGGGTAAAGTGTGTGGGGCAAAAAACAATTTAAATAGCTATTTTATATTTTGTGATGGGTAAAGTGGGGGGGGGGGGGGAGGGGTCATTATATATAACACAATATAATTTGTATTAGAATTGAAGTCTCTGTTTTTCTGTTAACATTTCAAATATCTATTTAGTTTTGATGTATTAATTTACTTTTTCCTATGATTTTATGAATAAATAATAATCTTACAAAATTTTTTTTTGTTTCCTTCTTTTATCAAACTTTACAGGTCTAACAGAGCAAAGAGAGGGGTCCTGCATAGAAAGGTTGCTATGCTGGATATAAATTGGGGAAAAATACAACACAAGTTTTTGATGATGGTTATACACAAGTTTGTATGAAACTACACAAGTTTCAGAAATTTCAACACAAGTTTCAGAAATTTTAACACAAGTTTCAGAAATTTCAACACAAGTTTCAACACAAGTATTGTGTAGATTTCACACAAGTTTCAACACAAGTTTTGTGTTGTTTGATACATTTTAACACAAGTTTTGTGTTGTTTCAACATTTAACACAAGTTTTGTGTTGTTTTAACACAAGTTTGTGTTGTTAAATAGAGACACCTAACTTGTGTTGAATTTAACACAAGTTTGTGTTCTTTCAACACAAGTTTTTTTTCAGTGTAGAAAGTATAGATGTGTCGGCTATTTGGGCGGGACAATTACCAGTTTTGGGTAAGTGTTTCGTATGGGCACCGTTTTACGTCAACATTATTCCATTTAATTGGACTAATCTGTGCACGAGATGACTGGAGGATAGTACCCCACTTTCAGCAATTGAAGGTGGCAGGAACTGTCTGTGAGTTAGTCTTAGAAAGTTGTATCTTGCAAAATACCTACTTAGCCCATATGTCGTTGTCACCCATTTGTTTAACAACTTCAATATATTAAACAGAGCACCTTTCATAGAACTAAAATAACCCCTGCAGTATTACATGTTGTGTAATTTTTACTTCATATACTTTAAACTGGACATACGTTTCATTTACCATATCAACTCACTGTCCATAATAAACTAAAATAAAGAAAACTGTACGAGTGTTTTCTAAACAAATGTGTTGTTCGAGATTTGTTTTTCGTTGTATGTTTCTGATGAAATGTAAATTTTATTTTCAAAGGTGTTTCCACCTTAACGTTAAGAGTTATGCCCCTTTGTAACGAAACTTGTTAACATTCTGAGCGCCACAATTATTCTCATATCTTCTTGAAATTTTGTACAGCTTTCCAAGTTATATGAGAGGAAGTAACTTGGCGGCAACCATTCCCGTTCCTAACAAACCAAAAGAAAATACGCGATCGAGTTCGATTAAACAGAAAGTAGTAGCAAATAACCAACATGAAGGAGCTATTTAATGGGCTAGCAGATGGCGGGTTATTTTAATTAGAAATCAAAAAATAATGCTCTAAGAAAGCAGTGTAGGTTATCAAAGAAGCAATGGTATTAAAGCTGGTAGCAATACATCCTCGGTTACCCAGTGTACACATTCCGTTCTACTCCACTATACCCTGGGTTAATCCATCGGGTTTCCACGATTTCAAATTATCTGCCCTGGCCTAGAATGTAGCTAAAGTCTACGAACCAATCAGAAAACAGTTTACAAACCAATCGTTTCGCCTTCGTTTTTATAAGGGTAGATAACCATATTCATGTCCATTTACTGAATGATTTATGCCAATAATGTATATATTTATACTTTATTTATATTTAATTGTTTTATCAAAATCGGTAGTATGTATTGTTGATTTCAAATTATGTATAACATCTATATGTTTGACTTTTGTTATTATTATTGCTATTCGTTCTTTGTCTGAAGTATGTCATTCTGTTATGTTTATTATTATTGAACTTATACTTGACAATTTGATTCACAATAACTTGTCTACGATATCACGTGGACTTAAAATTACGGGAACGAACGAACGAACGATTCTCGATATAACTATTGACCCTACATTATTATATGAACGTCTGGACTTCATTAACATAATATAAAATTGGTTGTTAATTACCCATTTAGAATAGGCCAACCCCTAACATTGTCCAATGAGAGTTATTTCCCTTTGCCAACTTCCTTTTCAAATAACAATTTATGGAATTGGTCGATAAAAATAGCATAATCATCAAGGGTGGATAACTTGAAAACGTTTCTCCCCCATAGATTAACCCAGGGTATAGTGGAGTAGAACGGAATGAGTACACTGGGTAACCGAGGATGGTAGCAATATTATGACTATATTGTGTCAATTATTTAGCTGCCATTCAATGATTATCCCTAGTTTCAAAACCACAGCCACTGTAATTTTCCATCAACCAGAGTAGAATCGGATTATTTACTGCCAAAATATCTCACAGTTTTAAAAAAAAATCAAAGGAATTTAAATTGTTTGCTGTTTAGTATAATTATATGTTGAAAAAGGATCGGATTAACCCGTGGGATGAAATGGGGGGGGGGGGGCAAGTGAATGGAGGAAATGGGGGCTGAATTAAGAAAAGAAAGTAAGGTTTCTTGCTACGGGAAAGTTATTTGAAAAATAGATACGATCTGTTGCATTTTGGACATACAAATGAAATTAGAACATTTTGTATTAGAAAATATCAAAACTGTACAGGTTTAGAAAATTCCAATGCTTATCGTTTGTTGACCGAGTGCAACAATAGATCCCATTTTATAGCAAACCTCAATACCTATTATATCCATATTAATGTATTCATGAATGATGTCACGTTTCCTGACGAACTGACGGCACTATAAGGATGTATGTCTACTAGCGGAGTTCGATCTAAAGCAAAAGCCAAAGTTAAAATTACCCACGGAAGCCCTTTTTGGTGTTAAGGGGGCCGTGTCGAATGCAACAGGCGGTAGTTAAAATGGGGCCCCCGATAATGGACCGAATGAAGATCCAGAGAATGACTTTCATATGTTCAAATCTGAATTAGAATCTCTCGGTCATCCAATGGAACTCAACCCAAATATGTGGAGGGCCTGGGACATTTGTCCCACTTTGCCCTCCCTAGATCCGGTGCTGTATTGAAACTCCTTGACTATAGTTGTATACTTTAGAAGTTGGGGGAGGTCCTCGTCTCTTTTAAATCACATTATGTCGTGTGGTTTTTAGTTGTTCTGAAATTCAGATCCGTACATCAATTTTCGAGAAGTTATCGCACTGTGGTTGAAAACCTGGACAGCCGAGTGTTGTAGTCTTACGCGATTTGGGGGGTTGGATGGCCGAATGGTTAGCAGGTGCGCGCTGCGCTGTATCATACGGTCCGTCATTGAGTCAATTGACGGGGTTTCGATTCCCTGGTTGTACGTGACAAGGAGTAGGGTCGCCTGCCCAACCTCGTGGGTTTTCTCCGGGTCCTCCGGTTTCCTCCCACTGCTAAAGACCCCTACGTGCAAGCGAATTATTGAAATAAAATTGAACCGTGTGTTAGTCCCGAAATGACCTAGTTTGTCTCTTACGCGATTTTATTTTTTTTTAGAAATGATAAGATTGTTTGATAAGTAAAGAGGTTGAACCTTTATAGATACGCAAAGTCGCATCCAGTTCTTTTACGATGTTTTCCGCTTGTCTTAAACTCTTTGAGATTTCTTCATGAAACAATATGTTATTTAATTTGTTACTAAATGCCTCTAAAGATAAGACCCGACACCGAGCGAAGTTCCCGAGACTGTTTTCGAAATGATTAGCTGGGCGTAAGTCTCATTGCAGATCTCTTTCATCTGCTGATCATTTTTGTTGTCAAAAACACTTTTCGATGGGTGTAATAAGATTTAATACCGGACCTTTAATTTGTTTCATTCTGATTCTAGATACTTACTCAACAATACAAAATGGGTTCAACTTCAATTTCAGTGTTTCACGATTTTTCCACCCGTCGGAAACAAAATAATTATAACTGACATTTTCATTGTTATAATCACGCCAGTCCACAGTAAGCGTGTTGTCAAAATCACGCAGTATAATTGTTCGATTGTTCTTGAAAATACATCTTAAACTTGGCATGAGCGGTATGATAATATTTTTTAGATAATATACGTTTTATTGCGTAAAAAAGCTCCTGGTGAAAGTGAAAATGACCCTTTATATTAAGGTAGTTTTGACAGAACATAATATACATCACTTCCCACAAACGAGAGAGTCTAGTTTATAGCCCACATATCGCCTTCCCCACAATGGTACATATTTTCTCATGTCATCCAATTCTTTTATAAACTATCGGCCAAGCGAATATTTACTGTGGATCAGTTTGATATCTCCCCTCGTGTATCGCACACTTAAACAAAGTTTCACATAAGTACATCAACTGTGGTCAACGGTGATTTAGTCAATTGGCATGACTAGACAGTTTCTTGCTCTGTACACCCACATAAGTACTGCAAATGAGAAGTAGTATCAAGTCGAAGTGCTCTTCTATAGAAAGAGTAAACAGATCCTGTCATGTGCACGCAACCTTACGCTACTTATATCTAACAACTAGGCCAACGGTTTGGGGTTCTGAGTCGAAGGCAAATTTGGCAATTACAAGCGTACAACGTGGTAGGTATTATGTGTTATCATACCATGCCCTATGATGTTTGACACACATATATGTATCTGGGGCGGGATGGAATTTAGAAAATCCCCAAATAACTAAACTTTATAAACATTTTTTGTTGAGCCAATTTATTCAACTATTAGTTAGCATTTAATACGCCCACCTTTACTAGGACCATGTGGCTCGGGTACGTCGATTTTCGAGCGTAGTTTTCCATTGTCAGTGGTGACCCGTTGACAGTTGAAATTCAATTGCTGTCCGGGCAAAAATCCCCCATTACACGTTGTATGATGTATACCCGTCTTGATTAGTCCGTTTGGTGCAAAAAATTAGGACGTTAAACCCCGGCGAAATCCGTTCCTGTGTCGGGTTTTTTCTTGATAAATCAAATGACAAGAGAGAGAAATTGGGTTTAACGTCCACTCACTTGTGCGTAGCGGTCTTTAGCAGTGGGGGGGTGGGGGGCGAAGAAAGAAGAAAACCCATGAAGT